GTCCCTTATCTTGCTCACAGCACTAGATTTTACTTCTTTATTAATTTACTAATTCAATCGCTTCTTGGAACATGTATCAATGACCCTTAAATGAACAACAGCTGACTTAATTACATTAGTATAAATGAATATAAACATGCAAGCTGTACTTGTGTTAGAACGAGCATTTAAATAAAACCCAATTTACAGTACCAAAAATACTTTTTGATGGAAATTTATTAAAATTAATTATGCATACAGTACAAACATTACAGGTATACATTATGAGTGGAAAACATGCAATGAAAAACACAACAAATTAACTTAAAATTAAGTAGTACAGCCTACAAAATAAATCAAAATAACAATCATAAAAACTACAACCCAAATAACTGGCAATAAAATATAAGATCAAACATGTGTTACTTATATATTTTACCTTTACTTAAGTATTCTTTCAAGTATTTGATGCAAAAGTGTTTTTCACTTTCTGCAATTCAACACTATGAAGTAAAACCACAGGCACGGGTAAACAAAATGGAGGTCATGCAAGTCCCTAGTAACAGTGCCTGGGCAGCACTGTCCCCAATCCATAATAAATGCCCTGCGAGAAGCGAGTGCCGGATTTAGGAAGATTTAAGGCATTTAAGGGTAAATGCCGAGCAGAATTAAGTTGCAAGTAAAATGCAAAAAGCTTCCACCTTGGGTTCTCATGAAAATTTCCGTTGCCACGGCATGGGCTCTTTCGTCCCAATCAGAATAATGGATGAAATGCCCAGTTCAGAATGGATGAGAAGGGGCCCATTTGTTTCCGTAACGTGCCAATTTTGCCGTCCAATTTTTCCCCTTGATCAACGTTGGGACAACGAATGACTTTTTTCTTTTTGGTCAACGGTATTGACTACGCAATTCTGTATCTCCATGGTAACTCCTACTTAATCTCAACTCTGCTGCTCTCTAGACAGTCGACAATTCACAGTTCTCCAATTTCTTAACAGCTAACTCGTGAGATATACTTGCACACATTTTATGGTTGTCAATGTGATGACCAATTTGTATTCATTTAAAATCAAAAAAAAAATTGGGGGATATAAATACTTGCACTCCAACCTATTGAGGTACATATACCAAGTTAACTAGTAAGTGCTGGTTTAGTGCGTTCTATGACAAAACTATACTGTAGACCAGTGGTAGTTATAAAAAAAAAATTAAAAAAGGTTGACACAAACTGACATTTGTCTGGATAGCAATTTTTCTTCCCCTTTTCCAAGTTGAAATAACGAGAGAGAATGTTCCTTTTGACTGAATGTTTGAAAAAAAGACACGTTTTTTTTTTTGTCCTTCCTCATTTTGTCATCCACTTTGGTTTGGTATCTATTTAAGCCACCTATTCAACTAATGTAGACTTTCAGACTTTCCCTACAGTTATATCAAAAGTTGTGTGCCCTAACGCATTGCCCACACTTTAATACTGAAAAAAGACACACAAAAACATATTACGAAAGTTGCCCCTTAACCACTAATTTGAAACTTCTCTTATAATTTTACAAATGGCCATGTTTCCATGGGGTTTGTGCTGACCATCTGCTTTTGTTGCCACAAAGAAAAGCTTGCCCACGAGAGGCTCTTTCCGTCTGACAATTCACACAAAGTGCTCCAATAAGAAACCATCTTCCGAACAATGAGTGGACAATGTTTTTCTCCACGGCTGTTAATGTTCACAGCTCTACCTGTACTCTGTCCAACTGAAGAAAATGCTTGCAAACACAACGGTTCACGGTACTTGCCGTTTTCCCAACGGGGGAACCTTCCAATGTGACATCGTTTCACCACAATCTGATAAACTTTCTACAGAAGAAAGCCTCTGGGAAAAAGTCGCAAAACTGTCTTTCACGGTTCTAATAATGAAGTGCAAGTCTTTTGACAATAGAAGAAAAAAATTATTTGCCCATCGACTGTCTATTTTTGACGCAGATGTCCTTCAGTTCACGGATACTTCACATGACTCGCTCGACTGAATACTCTTGCAAAAATATTTTCACAGTTTTAAAAATAGCTGGATATACATGTATAGGAATAAGACAAAATACAGAATTTACAATAAAACATTTACTGATGTATTATTGTGCAGCAGAAGAGAATTGCATCTACAATTTGCATCTAAAATAAATTCTAGCTTGCAACATCAAAACAATAACTTTATGAAAATCTCATCATAGAAATAATTAAAGGTAGAGTCCATCATTTGCAGCCATCCGAAAAGTAACTGGCGTACTTATTGTTGAAAAACTAACTTGGTTGAAAGATAGTAAGGAGACTAAACTCCCTGTGAAATTATTCTTTCTGGGAAGCTGTCATTTTGAAGTAATCAATGAAAGAAGGCATTTCCAACGGTGATTCTTAAGAAGCACCGTAGGAAAATTTAAATTAGTAGTTCGTTTTGTCATTCAGCGAAGCGCGCACAAGTATTCGAACGACGCACACGCGCGCGCGGTTGTTATAATTCGTCGGATCAGTGCGCGACGTCGCGTATAGTTGCAATTCAAAACAATTCAAAACATGATTCAGCAACTTTTGATTTGAAATTGAGATCTTAGAATGCTGTTTTTCTCGGAATGTACAGCTGAAGCTTAGCTGAAACTTCATCAGGTTAGTTGCTCAGTATCCTTCCTTAGATTTTGAACTCTTTTGTTGCTTCAAACGAACAAAATGCACAAATTACAAATGATGGACTCTACCTTTAAATACAACAAATCTTAAAGTATCAGAATATTTAGAATTAATTGATAAAGATATGTATTTCATGCTGTATTAACAGTGTGTACACAATGTGTACACACCATGTTTATAAAATCTAATGATAAAATATGATTCTGAATCTAAAATATGTGAAATTTCAGTCAACATATATACATGTACATCTCAAAATATGTACACAAAAATGATCACATACCTGAATTTGTCGATCAATTTCAGGAGGGAAAAAACATGCTTAACCACGTTTCAATTTATCTGAAATTGGACCATGATGGTTGAACTAGTTCAAACAAAGTAATTTCAATGAAATGTTTTGCCATATAAGTATTGTACATTACTGAGCTATACTACTTCTAAACCATTGCTGTCTTGTGAAAAAAATTGCATCTTAGTAAAATCATGCATACGATTTATCTGCAGTTGCATATAAGTCGGAGTATAGGTCATGATGAATACCGTTTACAAAATCTCTAGTCCAGATAATATGGATTGAAGTTTTTGAAAGTGCTCCATTATTGCAACATGTCATACTCTGGCCACGGAAACTAATATTTTCGAGTCAATCATTTACCGCGTTATAATGAAGTAAAACTGAAAATGGGGGTATAGTTGGATTGTCTCAGAATCTGAGGTATCTATTTCCGGTATTTGAAAGAGTTCATCAAAGCTGAAATATTGAGCAGTGTCTGTCACTGAATCATACAGGATACAAATAGACCCAAAATAAATTGACAAATCGGGAAAAGTGGGCCAACTTTCAAGACTAGTGTCAATGCAAACTGCAATAGGCTTGACTATCTTATAATTTATCCCTAAAAGTTTTCACAGCCCAACTTTAGCTCCTCCAAAATCGATATACCGTAGGCCATCAATTGAATTCTCAGATAAACATTTGACAAAACACGAGCCGGTTTAATCAAGAACTATGGTTAACCCTTTCCTTACTTTGTACAAGGGTGACCCCCCGATCGAACTATACGACCGTTATCCAACATGCATATTGAATAGTGTACTTTTTTCCAACAAGGACTGCTAAAGTAATTTGCTGCCCTCTGTTGGTGACTATTACAGTGAAACAATGTATCTGTATATAGGTACTTTGCAGAAACCTATCCAGGCATTAACGCAACCGTTGTTCATTACTTTTGTTCTATCAATGAGAGGATCTATGCCAACAACCTTGGAGAAATACGTGAAGACAGTAGTTCAGATAATACTCAGCGTTACAAGTACATGAATACTAAGGAGGATATGAACAGAAATGACTTAATTTCGGAAAGAAGAAAAGTTGCTTCTTTTGCCAAGCAGAGATTCAAGATGTCCAGGGATTTTTCCTTCACCCTATATGCTCTACCAAATATCAGTCAATTTAATGCAGCATAACAGATTCACAAAGAGATACACAAAGAGATAGCTGCAGGCAAATTGGCAGTACCTTTGTAAAATTTCTGCAAGAGGCTATCAAACACAAACTTTGCAGCATCCGTGTCATTCAACTGCAACAAAGCCCTTGCAGAAAAGCACGTCTTGCTTGATCTGTCATGTCACAACCTCATTCAAGATGGCTGGACAAGATGAAAACTCTACGTTAAGTGATCTATAGGTTGCATATTTTAACATGAACCTTCGTACAATTACTCTAGTGAACTAGATTACTTGATTCATCTGATGAAGTAGTTGTTGCCACCACTTTTTGTTTCACATATTAAGAATACATGTCCAACTTTTCCACAGTAGAGGTAGCAAAGTTGCATCTTTCCAGGATTTTTTTCCTATCCTCAAATCTTTGTCTACAGCGTGAGCCAGTCACAACACTTCGTTGTTGGTTCCTTCTTCCTTCCCAATTCTATACACAGTACCACAGCGTTGTCGTCGAGTCAATCACAACTCCTCATAAGGCCTAACCATTCTATTACAAGTCCATCACGAGTCCTTCACAAGCCAATCATAAGTGCAAGTAATCATCTATTCAGTGACAAAGGCATTCCCTAAATTTGTCAATTTCTATCCCTTGTTACTTGTGACCTGGACTTGTGAATGGACTTGTGATTTACTTGTGACCTGGGCCCAATTTCAGGGCGCTGCTTAACAGTTAGCAGAAAAGTTGTGCTTAGCATAGCAGAAACATTTGCTAACCTTGACGTGCGTGGACGTGCTAACGGTCGCGTGTGCATGGAGATTTCTATTGTTACGTCACTAAGTTAAGCACATTTTTCCTCCGAAGTAAGCATGCCTTTTGCTGTGCTTATGCTTACGGTCTCCATGAAATAGACAGAGGCTCTGTTAGCAGAAAATCATGTGCTTAACAGCGCTGTGAAATTGGGCTCAGATTGTTGATGGATTCCACTACGACACGGCATATCAACCGACATCAGTTACGTAATCTTGTGTCGGTATTCTGTTAAAACTGTGATCTTACTTAGATTACATTGTGCTACATAACCCTACCTCCACCATTCTCTGCACATCCACAGTTGCTCATCATGGTCTGGTCCGGACTAGATGCTAGAAGGTGCTGCTCTGTTTAGAACGCCAGGTGCGAGCTTTCTCAAAGCCGTTGACGCCGTTGCGGTAGTCTGAGATGGCCTGTTGAATCTCCTCTTGTGTGTTCATGACAAAAGGACCTGCAGTGGATAAAGGGATATATGCCAATGAAGCCATCAAACAAAACACCAGGGGCTTGATAAGACGCCTCCTTGGATTTGTCTTAACTTGTGACTCGTCCTAGGATCCATTTCACCAAACTTAAGATGCGAAATTTGCTTCAGTAAGAGCGAAGAATATGTGAAAAAAATTGAGAAATAAACAGTGTCTTGAAATTTATTTCTTGCGGATCAAGTCAGTGTGATGTAAATAATAATAACATTGGATGAATTTTTTTCGGGGGATAGAATATATTGCACTCGCCATGACAATATTGCACGAGTCGATATTTGCAGCTCGTGCTGCAAGGAGTCAGATGCAAAATGTTGAGCTAAATGTACCAAAAACTAGTTTGCACCGACTCCTTGCATTGCGCTAACTGTACGGGATAGCCACACCAGGCGTTTGTACAGAAGCTTACAGATGCAGATATATTCCTGTACCCCCCTCAAAGCCATCCAATATATAAACTTATATAAATAAGTATGCTTAGCAACATTTTTTTTCTGTACTTGGCAAATTTTTGTGCTCAGTTAATCTATGAAATTGGCCCAAAGGTTCACATTTCATGGCTCTGCAAACCATGGAGATCTGCATTTATGACCATCGTGGAAAGCATGCATTCTGTAAGTTCAGTGATTCCTACTGTGATAATAATCAGGTTTTTTTCCCCTTCTGGTAAAAATAAGAAAATTGAAATCATCAAGGAAGGAGACAACTCACCATGTTGAACAATGGGTTCTCCTATTGGCTTGCCAGATATAAGCACAAAGTGACAGGCTTCTGTCTCCTAAAAGCGAATAAAAAAAAAACGACTCATGCAGGAACCATAGAGAGCATTGTATTACCAACAAACAAGAACTATTCATTAGACAGTGGGTTTTGCCCTTTAAAAGACTAAGGCTGAAACGATACATCGATGCATCGCGATACATTCGTTCACGATCGGTACGAATGCTTGATATCGATATTATTAATAATTGAAACCGCTGCGGTCGGTGCGGCTTATACACTGGTGCGGCTTATACACTGGTGCGGCTTATACGCCGACTTCAAATCTTAATTTGCAGATTTTTGCGTGCTGCGGCTTATACGCCGCGCGGCTTATATTCCGAAAATTACGGTAGTACCTTACTGTATTTGTGTATTATCAGAAACGAGTAGAGACAGATTAAAGAGGACTTAGACCCTGATTAAGTTCATCTGTTATGATTTTATTTATTTTTTTATACCAAGATATATCGCGATATATATCGTATCGTTTGATATGTATCGTGATACGAATCGTATCGTGACACAGGCGTATCGTTTCAGCCTTACAAAAGACGTTGGTGAAGGACAAAACCCAATATTGAAAAAACAAGAACTAGGGATAATTAGGTTGCAAGTTCTGGTTTACGCTGCAGTCTCAATGCAAGTATCTAAGCAAGCAAGAAACTTAGTTTGAGAGTATCAACAGAGCAGAAATGGCACTAAGGTGTAGTTTAACAATAGTATAAATGTACAGTTATTGCTGTGGTAGATAACCACATAACCCAAAACAGAATCTGGCTTCCTCAATAAATGGTTTCTTCAGAGACTCTCTCAGGCTAACATGGAGCAAACTAATCAACAAGTACCTTGTTTTCAACATGAATGTGGTCACCGTCACTTAGCACCAGTGTGTGATGTGGTTCGCCTTGCTTCTGCTGGTCACCAGTTCCTTTACATAAAACAACAACATCTAAAGAATTAGTGCCTCGACTTTACAAAATTTCTGTTCTGATTAGATTTTTGGCAACATATATAATAATCATCTATAATCATGATACATTTGGGTTATGTCATTTTCAAAAAGAAACAAAATATTTTTAGATGTCAATTTTCAGATGCAACATTTGGAAAAGAGTTTGCAAAATGCTACAAATGCACTTGTCATGTTGTAGCAACACATAACAGCCCTACAACATGTCACAAGTTAAGACGTGTTTTGTGAAATCAGGTGTATGACTTACCAAATAAAGCCTTGCCAGCCAGCACATAGACAAAGGCTGTCCAGCCTTGAGGGATTGGTTGATCCAAGACAGCTCCCTTACGTAAGGTGAAATCCAGGTAGGATGTTGGGGTCCTAGTCCGAACCTTGGACTAAAAGGAGCAAGTATAAACTGAGTGTCTGCTTGACATTAATAAATGAACTTCCCAATGTGACAATTTTCTCTAGCATCTAGGCTGAGCAAAATGTTTACCCCCAGTTATACAAGACATGATGTTCTGGCAATTTCTAAATATTCCTGTTAATAAATCTAATCTTTACCAACATATTGCACTTTGAAGTGCATTTTTAAAATGCCCACACAAAAAAAGAAAAACTTACAGTTAGATGTGTGAGTGGAGATAACAATAACACTTAATCATGCATGTAACTTTTCAACTTGAAAAAAAAATTCTTTCAATTCAATTCAATACTACATTTATTTATATCCAACCATAAACAACATACAATTCATATAGCATGTACATTAAAGGCTCACTTTAGAATTTCTGGGATTTGTCCAAGTCAAAAATGTCGACAACCCCTCCACCCAATGTTTTTCCAATTTCTGATCATCACATTTTTTGACTTTCAGACCAAGTTGTATTAAGGTTCTAGCACAATCATTTAACTGAATGAATTGGAGCTCAGCAAAAAGAGAGGGTTTCTTGACAATACTGGAAAGTCAAGGGAAAAGTTGAAGAGTGCCATCTTAGAAGACTCCACTATGCCGTCTTTACCTTCTTGCCCAGTGCCTCACCAGCGATGACCCGCACTTTGACCCCATCTTTCTCCGCCTCAGGGATGTTTTTGCTCTTTAGCTCCTGGTACTCCGGCTCCACCATCTTGAACTCCCTAGCAAGGTTGACCCAGAGTTGCAGGCCGTGGCACATGTCCTCGGTAGCCGGCATCTCCGAGTGGACGATACCCCGTCCTGCTGTCATCCACTAGGGTTGAAGATAAGATGATATTTAACCCTTACTCTTTTGAAACTGAACCACAGGGGGGACCTGACTAGATTTAATACAATTGACTTGTAATAAAAAAAAAGCTGTATCCTCTCTGAGTGATATCTGTTTGCTATTTCCTAGGTCTGCATCGTGTCTTTGGGTGTGATCCCTGGCTGCATGGCTTATATGGGTTAATGGCTTCTGACTAGCGCCCTTTGAAAAAAGATATTGACAGATTGGGGAACCGCCAACATAGGGCTGGATGGCTGAGTTAGTAGAGCACCAGAATGGTAATCCGGAGATCGCAGGTTCAAGCCCAGCTCCAGTCAATTTCTTTGTTCAACTTTTTAAAACAGTTTGTAAATTAGACACGAATTGATACAGGTTTACTTTCTGACTTTAATGATTTATTTCTTCCTGTCCTTTCATCTTTGCCATAGCCCTTAACTCAATATTTTTTGACTCGCCAGCCGGACTACGTAAGGAATAGTTTGACTAGCCCGTCGCTGTTTTGACTAGCGTTTGGCTAGCGGGCAACCGCTGAAGTCAAACCCTGGTTAGATATAACACTACTGACCTGAAGATCACCTGGCCCGATGATTCCTGAATGGCCAGTGAAGTCTTCATGGGCAGATTTCCCAGACAGTATGTATGACACCTGTCAAAGCAATCAATCAGAAGCAAGTCTGTATTTATTTTTTGCACAGATATGGGATTTGCATTCCACATACAAATCTAAAAAATATACGATTCAGTCCAATGTTGCTTTTTAGAAGAATAATTCTCATGTTGGTCTTCAACTCTAAACAATCAACAAATTCATCATATATGAAGTATGTAGAGTGACATGTATGGCACAAAAGGTTTAAGCTGTGAAAAAAAACCATGAAATTACACAAACAGTGACTGCTTATCTGCCATAAATGGGGTTAGAAAGTCGACAAAACACAGAAATAAGTTGCTGTGAGGTAAGAAATTGTTGGGGGGGGGGGGCAATGGCCCCCTGGATCCGCCAATGATACAAGTACACATATGCCTCTCAAATAATTCAAGTGTGTGATATTGTAAACATCATTTTCTCCAAGTTGTTGAAGTTGATCTTTCCAAGAAACCAATACATTCACTTACAGTTTCAAATCCTCTATGCGGGTGATCTGGAAAACCACCGGGTTTCTTTCCTTTGAACTCATCTAACATTAGAAAGGGATCCAGGTTTTTGAGCTGAGGGAGAGAAAAGAAAGTTTTGATAAGAGTGGGTGAGTTCAGTTGCCAAAATCTTCTATTTCATGTTTTTTTCCGATCTCAGTGGCATTTATACAAACAAGGGGAAGGAGAGGTCAATTTGTGTTGAACCTCAATGTTTTATTTTTTCATTCAGCCAGTCGGCAAACTGTCATATTAACCTCTTTGGGATGGGGGCGATGGGAGTTACACAAATTACTGACAAATGAATAGTACCACCTCAGATGTGGACTAATGTCACATAATTGAAGATTGCCCCTGTGAGTCACATGATGTCTAGCCTCAGCCCCCCCCCCCCCCCTCCATCTTCTATGCGAAGTTGCAAATAGGTCTCGTTCAAGTGACGTCTTTTCCTACCGATGGCCGCGTGCATCGGCATTTTGAGCGTCAACTTGCATAACGCGCATCGTCTGCGTCGTATTTCGAACACATTTCGAGCAACAAGCGCGCGTGTTTGGAACATTTTCAACACTGCGCATTGCGTGCTTGATTGCGTAAAATACGTAGTTGCAGTTTTCCTACAGAGATGGCCGTCATTGAACGAGCCCTATTGGCTCAGATAACTCCCAAACAAAATATCTCTGCTACGCCTCTGGTCAAGATCTAATTTTGCTCCTTCTTCCATCCACTAGTACATTAACCACACCCCTGCCTTCTGTCACATATGATATTAAAGCAACATAGTGCATTTATTTTTTTCATTTGAAGGAACAAAATTGCTCTAATTGTCAGAATGGTCCATGAAAATGATGCTCAGTGCATACTATACATTTTGAGAAAACAGAGAAAAGTATGCACAATTTTTGGGGTCTCATAACTGGATTCCATTGATAACGCATGTAATAAAAAACTCAAGCCGCCTTTAATGATTGTTTTCTTCCAAATGATACCAATTCAGGCGGAACATTTCAAAGGGTATTTGGTACCAGACATATCTTCACTTTGCACAAGGATTTTCTCGTAATATTGATAGGCACGTTTCCGGATAATTGCAAACGTTTGTTTGTGCCTTTCATTTATGCCCAGACTCGTACCTCAGGTCTACCCACGCTGCGTCTTACGCGTGCTCCTACTCCCTCCGCTTGCTCCTTGCTCAAGACGGACTGTGTGATGTGCCTTGACATGGTGAAATTGGCCAGCCTGATGCGCACACTGTTGGGACTTTCCGACGCGATGACGTTCACTACGGGCTGAGTGTCGGCAGATGATGAAATTGTTGACAGGCTGGCTATCACCAGGAGGGTTGTGACGATGTTGAATAGGCCTCGGGTCAACATAGGATACAATCACTGTGAAAGAATGAAAACAAAGCCTTATATATACAGGGAGCTTATGTTGCTGTCAACCAAATTTAGAACACAACTAACCAAAACAGATTATCACTGTTAGAAAAGTGCTGACTCAGCATGACAAATCCATTTAAGCCCTTTGGCAACGTTTGGGTTAAACAAGGAGCTTATGTTGCAGTAAAGTTTATTTTACATTTATGAGTTCAACCAAATTTAGAACACAACTAATCAAAACAGATTATAGCCGTTAAAAAAGTGCTGACTCAGCATGACAAATCCATTTTAGCCCTTTGGCAACGTTTGTGTTAAAGTTTTACCCATGTTTAAAAGGTCTTCCAGTTAAGTTTCAGATGAATTTTGCCTTAGAAGCTGGCCCTAGGGTTAGACGTATTTCAAGTTTGTACTTTTGACATTACTCATCATTTAATATTTTTTAAAGCATTAAAACTCTAACAACATGAAGTATGACTGACATGTTTGCAACTATTTTCTATTCCATTTGAAGTAGCTTTTGTGTGATACTGTATGACATATGTTATCGTAAAATAACATTTTTAAAATAGGCCTATGCTATAACAGTAAATGACTTAATTTTCCACTTTTTTAGACGTGGTTGACTAGTTCAATATTCACTTTTAATATAGGCCTAATCCCTATCAGTAAAAAAAAAAATCACCTGTCAAATTCAATAAATCTTCATTCTCATGCCTGATGGCCTAACAATGGGTCTATACATTTGATTTAGTGTCTACTACCTTACTAAACACTGCGAAATCCTAAGAAATTCAAAACTTTAAGTATTAATTCTGAACACTCGCTAGTTTTTACCCGAAAAAAAAAGGTTTCTTCTCGCGTCTTTTCGAGGAGTACATCCCACCATCAACAAAAACACAAGATTATTCAAAGAGCGCCCTCATTTGTTGATAGTGATGTTTGCAAACTTTCGGCTCAACCATAGAGCTGTAAGCTCTCGGGGGGATAAACTTACAAGAATAAACATTTATCTCGTTATCTTGAAGGAAAATGTCGTGAGGAACTGAATTAGTCACAACTGTTAGTTTCACACAAAATGGCACAAAATATATTTTGTTTCGCTGGTTTATAGACCATGCAAAAATTAAGAAACCTTGTTCCTTAATTCGGCTATCATGTGAAAGTTACGCTTACGCTGTGAGAAGGCGCTTTGGCCAGAAGAGTGAAAGATTAAAAATCTTTAGTTATGAAACTCATACCCGTTGATTTATAGTCATTTTAAAACTTACCTCAGGACTCAGAAATGGCACTGCCCAGAAATCAGGGTCATTGGTTCACCTGTCGATCCTCCTCCCTGGCTTCCGGTTCCTAAGTTTCATCAGCTGCGATGATGGTCTAATAAGCCTAAGGTGGCAACGCAACGAAACAGCCTCCTCAAGTCCCCCCCCCCCCCCATTTTCCCAGGGCAACAAAAGTGCCCCTCTCGCGGTTATAAACGTGCCCCCTCGAGATGAAAACAAAACTCAAACGCACACGTATATGGAAGCATTATAGATCGCGCTACAAACTTTGAATAAAATTGTCCCCTCCTTAATGCAAAACTGCCCCTCACAAAAAAAGTACCCCTCTCGCATTAACAAGATTGTGCACCTTCTCGAGATGGACAACTACCCCTCGAAAGCACGATTTAAAGCCTAGCTGTAACCACGCCTACTATACTTTGTTATCATGTGCCAACATAATATCATCGCACGTGGAAGATTTGCAGAATTCTAACTAATGATCTATTTTGGGGATAAACAAAGCCTGTAACCACGCCTTCTATTGTATTCACACATGCCAAACAACACAATGTCCTCGCACGTGTAAAACTTGTTCAATGAAACTAATATTATCTTCAGAATTCATAAAAAAAAACTGAGCCACATCTACTATGTACTTACAGAATTCTATCTAATGCTCTATCTTTGGGATTAAAGGGAAAATACAACATTTGCAAACATCAAAAAATAAAACTACCAAATCATTTTGAAATACCTTGCTGGACTGTTAGTGAATGACAGTGTAAAGCATCCTGTAAAATCATGGCACCTGGTATACTGTCATTTTCAAGAAAAGTGGTATTTTTGTATCAATTTCCAACGCTGATCGGCCGATCAGCGTTGGAAAAAAACTGGCTTTTTTTTCAAATACTGGCCCCAGTTGACCATCGCACTTGTTTGCAATCGATTACACACCTATGAACGGGTACAAGCCAGCTAGACTGGTTCCCTGACCTTACAATTCCCCAATATATGTAAACTGCTCTGTTTCTTCTTAAATGGAGTCAGGGAACCAGACTACATGAAAATGATTGTTTTTCTTGGTTTTGATAGCATTTTCGAACCAAATCCTCAAAAAAGTCAGTTTAACTATATTTGCTATATATTTCCAACCCCCCAATTCCATCCATTTCTGAAAATTACAGCAAAAGCAAATGATGTATATTCCCTTTAACTATAAGCCTATTTATAGTTGTAACCACGCCTACTATTTCATTCCACGTGCCAACACAATGTCATCGCACGTGAGAGATTTATCATAATGAAAATGATTTGCAGCTTTCAAACTAATGATCTATCTTTAGGATAAGCTAAGCCTAGTTGTAACCACGCCCACTATTTAATTCGACGTGCCAACACAATGTCATCGCACGTGAAGATTTATTATAATGAAAATTATTTGCAGAATTCAAACTACTGATTCTCTATCTTTGGGATTAACCATGGAGGAAGGAACATCCTCCATGGATTAACTAAGCCTATAGTTGTAACCACGCCTACTATTTTATTTACACGTGCCAACACAATGTCATCATGCCTTTTGTGGCAGAATTCAAACTAATGATATATCTTTGGGAATAACTACGTCTAGTTGTAACCACGCCCACTATTTTACTCGTCTTGCCAACACTATGTCACCGCAAGTGGAAGATTTATCATATTTATTAACATTATTTGAAACTAATAATGATCTATCTTTGGGATAAACTAAGCCTAGTTGTAACCACGCCCACTATTTCATTCGACGTGACAACACAATTCATCACACGTGGAAGATTTATTATAATGAAAATAATTTACAGATATCAAACTAATGATCTATCTTTGGGATAAGCCTATTTGTAACCACGCCCACTATTTCATTCGACGTGCCAACACAATCGCACATGCAAGATTTATTACAATGATTTTTTTGTTGTTGCAGAATTCAAACTAATGATAGGCCCTATATCTTTGGGATTAACTAAGTCTAGTTGTAACCACGCCTACTATGTCATTCCACGTGCCAACACAATGTCATCGCACGTGAAAGATTTTTCATAATGAAAATAATTTACAGATATCAAACTAATGATCTATCTTTGGGATAAGCCTATTTGTAACCACGCCCACTATTTCATTCGACGTGCCAACACAATCGCACATGCAAGATTTATTACAATGATTTTTTTGTTGTTGCAGAATTCAAACTAATGATAGGCCCTATATCTTTGGGATTAACTAAGTCTAGTTGTAACCACGCCTACTATGTCATTCCACGTGCCAACACAATGTCATCGCACGTGAAAGATTTTTCATAATGAAAATCATTTACAGATATCAAACTAATGATCTATCTTTGGGATAAGCCTATTTGTAACCACGCCCACTATTTTATTCGACGTGCCAACACACTGTCATCGCACATGCAAGATTTATTACAATGATTTTTTGTTCAAACTAACTAATTCAAACTAATGATATCTTTTTGGGATTAACTAAGTCTAGTTGTAACCACGCCTACTTTTTCATTTGCACGTGCCAACACAATATATGTCATCGCACGTGGAGGATTTTTTTTTTTCAGAATTGAAACTAATGATATATCTTTGGGATTAATTACCGGTACGTCTTGTTGTAACCACGCCTACTATTTCACGGGCCAATACAATATCGCACTTGAAATACTTATTATAGACCTAATTAAATTTATTTGCAGAATTCAAACTAAGATATATCGTATAAGCCTAGTTGTATCCAGGCCTACTATTTTATTCGCACGTGCCAAGGTTATGTCATTGCACGTCGTGGAAGAATCATTATTTGCAGAATTCAAACTAAAGTTCTAATTTTTTTTTTCGGGATTAATTAGGCCTGGAACCACGCTTCCTGTTTTATTCGACAAGCCAACATCATCGTTCATGATTGTAAGACCCATGAACATCATTTTACAGAACTCAAAGTATGTAGTCTGGCTTTCGGATAAACTACGCCTGAACCACGCCTACTATTTTGTTCGACACGCTCACATATAAATGTCATCGCACTTGTAAGACTCAGAGTAATATGACCATTTAGGCCTGCATAATTCAAACTAATTCTCTATCTTTTTGATAACACTAAGCCTGGAACCACGTCTACTATTTTGCTGGACGTGCCAAATGTCATTGCACGTAATGAAACTATTTAAAGAATTAAAACTAAATCTTTGTGATTAACTGAGCCTGAAACGTTGACCATGCCTACTAATTTAATTTCCACCAAATGAAAAATGTAAAGTTTACTAGGCCAGCCTATTAACAGCACCTGGCCAGTGGCCGTGTTCCAAGGTCTTTTAACAATTTCATAAACTTTCTGGGATAACGTGCCTGTAGCGACGCCTAAACTATTATATTCGCACGTGCCAACACAATGTCATCGCACGTTGACGATTTTTTTTTATAATGATTTTTTTTTTGCAGAATTCAAACTAATGATCTATCTTTGGGAGTAACTAAGCCTAGTTGTAATCACGCCTACTATTCCATTCGACGTGTAAACACAATGTCATCGCACGTGGAAGACTTATTATAAGGAAACTAATTTGCAGAATTCAAAGTAATGATCTGTCTTTTAAGATTAACTAAGCCTAGTTTTAACCACGCCTACTAGTTTATTCGCACGTGCCAACACAATGTCATCGCACGTGGAAGAATTATTATGATGAAAATGATTTGCAGAACTCAAACTAATGCTCTATCTATGGGATTAACTAAGCCTATAGTTGTAACCACGCCTACTATTTCATTCGACGTGCCAACACAATGTCATCGCACATGGAAGATTTATTACAGTGAAAATTATATGCAGAAATTGCAGAATTCAAACTAATTCTCTGCCTTTGGGATTAACTAAGCCTATAGTTGTAACCACGCCTACTCTATTATTTGCACGTGCCAACAAAATGCCACCGCACGTGGAAGACTGATTGTAATGCAAATTATTTGCAGAATTCAAACTAATGTTCTATTGAGATTAAATAAGCCTAGTTGTAACCAGCCTACTATTTCATTCGACATGCCAACACAATGTCATCGCACGTGGAAGATTTATTATAATGAAAATAATTTGCAGAATTCAAAATAATGATCTATCTTTGGGATTCACTAAGCCTATATAGTTTTAACCACGCCTACTCTTTTATTTGCAGTGCCAACACAATGTCATCATGCCTATTTTCCACCCAAGGAAAACCATGTTTACTACTCAGCCTAATATAAACAGCCAGTGGCCGTGTTCTAAAGTCTTTTATCAACTTCATAAACTTTCTGGGATAACGTGCATGTAGCCACGCCTACTATTATATTCACACGCGCCATGCGCCAACACAATGTCATCGCACGCGCCAGACTGATTCAAATGCAAATTAACTTGAAGACTGCTCCAGAGCTGGCTTTTGTTACTCTACACAATGGCCTCAACTTTTCAGTTCAATAGAGTGTGGAATTTGATTTGTGTAATGCTATTAAAGTAGGTCTGTACGACAACTTAAAAAGAATGAAGGTTTATGGGAACAGTCTGGGACACAACACAAAATAAGGGGCATTTGTTTTGATAAGTTGAAGGTACTTGTATTCACACTGAACCAAATTTTATACAGTATAAATGAAATTGTTGCCTAAGTTCAAGTTGTATTTCGCAAACAACGACAACAACAAACCGAGGTTTCACTCACCTTATGTCTGTATGTGTGTTTCACAGACTTACCCATGGCGGCCTCTCCGGTTATCGTTAGTTGGATTTTGTTGGATGAAACTTATCATCCTCAAATGGTGGCAGGACGAGTTCACAAAGTTCCACAGTAATGCCTACATTACCAAGTTTTTGACGGTTCAGTGAGTTTATAAGTTCAAGTTCAGTAGGCCAAGATTGTTTCAAGTTCCATTCAAGTTCATTTCAAGTTCAGGTTTGCGAAATTTCTGACAATTGGTCAACCTGGTGGATGGTCACTCCGGACACCGAGTTGAAGTTTTCAAACATGCCGACGCGACCCTGTAAACGACTCACCAGGCCCAAGCATGCAGGAGTCTTCGCTGGCCGGGGAGAAATTAGTGTTGATGCGGTGGCTTGCAAGTTGGTCACGGTCTTTCAGGGAAATGATGGTTTGAAATTGGTGAGTTGAAATTGGCGGAGAAAAGCAGTCCAACCCCTCCAATGGAGGAGGCCAGGGAGAAGTTACTGACCAACAATTTTTGCACCATTTACAGATGATGCAAAAAGTCGCGCGAGATACGAGGAGCAAACTTTCGGAGCTCCTCTTTCGTTGAAATTCATCTGCGGAGTGAGATAGCAGTGAAAAAGCGGGCAGCTTTATTTTGCACCCGCACGTCGTAGCTTGCGCTTCTCGCTTGATGACCAAGGGTGTATTTATCCGCTTATGCTATCATTTAGTTTCACATTATTTATTTATTTGGTCTTTTAAGTGTACATTTTAGAGGAATAAAAAACATAAATAAATACAGTCATGAATACGTTCACAAAATAAAGAGGAGAAAAGTGGAATTTCTGGCTAAAAATAGTTATTTGATCAAACTAGAGGGCCTACTTTTTTGCGAATGAGAATCAGACGATAGGAATCCGGTGACGTCATGCGAACGGGCAATTGCAATTGGTCAGAAGTGTGAAGAGCGACCACGGCTTGTTAATCTGATGAATCTGATTGGATTAAGAACAATTGCTCAAAAATGCAGCAGACGAAAACTGGTGAAAAGTTCACAGATTTCAATTTGGCGGGCAGAAAAATTTGACTCGGAACCGGTTCCAGCCGGTTCCAACCGGTTCCATAGACTTGAAAAGTCGCAGTATTATAAAAACAAAATACAAAGGACGGTTGTGGAATGATACGTAATGGGAATGGAATGATTTTTTCGATGTCAAAAATTAATTACAGTGTTCTGCAGAAAAAAAAGAAGCCGAGACTAGATACATACACTTTAATTCAGTGGCATAATTAGGATCCAATTTTCAACCTAGGGGAGTCAAATTATGCATCAATTTTGGGATATCATTGCGAGACCTTATAAAAACGCACTGTAAACTCACTGAAAATATTGTGGCTGCTGACTATAGGAGGGAGGGACTTTTTCACTGAGAAGCACATTTAAACCTGAAATTAAAAAGAGTAAAATTAAGACGATATCTGTTGAATAGTTGTGTAATTTATTGGTTTTTCATGATTTTTCATGTAGCACAACAAAATATTCTGTCCACCCTTTTCATACAGGTTTTATGCAGAAATAAACAATGTTACATTATTCTTTGATTTAATTATTATACCTAAGTTAGTGGGAACACTGTGATTAATTAAATGGGAGGGAATCAAATACTGGGCCAAACACAGACGATGGATATGCATCCATGCTTTACCTTTCTATATATATGAGACTTTTCCGAAACCTCGGATTCATTTCTGGGCTTCATGATATTTTAGCACCGACTTGGGTGACGTACTCTCAGTATGGCTAAGTCTATGTTCTCCTGCAGAAAGAAAACAGAATTAAGTCGTATTACATGAGACCAAAGATAAAAGATATTTTGTTCGGACATGCCTCCAAATAACTCTGGAGCTTAGGAATAAAGTCAAAGCCGGAAATTCAGTCGAGGTTTCGAAAACCTCACAGTACCATTTTTGTTGGTAGAGGGCGCTGTGTTCAGTTTGTTATTGTTTGAGGTGAACCATCGTAAAACCAAAACTAGGTCCAGAAAAGCGTACGTTTTCGCTAAATACCATCATAGTCATCAGGATCATACGGTTTGTGAATAACAATTGTTATTAAAACATGTCAAACATTTCTAAATGGTTTATGATTACTTAAGACCCAGATTTAGATCGTGGAGGAAGGATCCATGTTTAGAGTTAGATTGAGATGAGGCAAAAAGACGGAGGGGGGGGGGGGGGCTGGGGGGGGGGGCTGGGGGGCTGGGGGGCTGAGGGAAGGGGAGGGGTTACCAAGGTTTGTTTACAGCATGGAGCTATAAAAAGTATTGGTTGTTTTATTTTGTGACCATGTGGAGTTTCATGTGCGCTTAGAATTAATAAATTTATCAGTCAGTTTCATTAATGTTTGGTGCAATCGGTCGATTCATTTAACATTTATTGATTTAACGATTAAGCTAGGCCTCACTGCAAAAGAAATGAATGAAGCTCCATCACTAGAGGCCCAGTCCAACACTATTCCAATTTTTTTTGTCTTTTCAGTCCGTCCAGTGTGATGTCCGAACTACAGAGAAAAGCTCAGAAGAGAGGGATTTCTAGTATGCTCCCTCCTATGCCACCCAAGGGGACTTCCTCGGGCTCCAGGTCAGGAATATAATAATAAATGTTGACTGCTTCAAATAAATCTGACTTCATGTTTTGAGTGGTTTAATTAAACCTAGCCTTCCAAGGTGGTCAGTGGCATTACCTTTTTTGTGAGGGTTTTAAAATTATATCTGACACATCTTAGGTCACTTTTTTCCAAAAAGTTATCTTTGTATATGTTTAGCAGGTATTTGTGCATTTTTTTTGGTCGTTGTATATAACTGACAAATATCAGACTTCCGTCTTGTTTATTTCCAGAGGTTTATCGCTGGGACAGCCGAGGAAACGGGACTTCTCACAACTCCCATGGAGCGACTACTTCCACACAAGTCAAGACGTGGAAGTTGACAAAGACAATATATCCTTTTCCAAACCCTGGCAGTGAACACAGTCAGTGCAATTAGGGTGAAGTAGCTTGCTTCGGGACACAAGGGATGAGGTGTGGAATCAGAGCTTGAAATCACAACAACCCCTCCTAATTTCACTATCCCTTCCCCAAACCAGGCAGGAAAAGCCAGTGTAGTGGGTCACTTTTGGAATCTTTTGTAATTCGTTCTGTAAAGGAGTTCCAAGATTGGTAAACTGTGTGCCCATTATAACAATGGTTATTCTTCTTAATAAATGACTATCTACGTCTTCCGAGTGTATAAGCGAGGCACAGAGGGTCCTGTGGTATTGTTCCTGCATGGTGGAGGACTGTCATCTCTCTCCTGGGCCGTGCTCTCAGTAAGTACCCAAAGTCCCATGTTCAGGGCTGGATTAGTTCAGCTTAGCATAGCTTAGCATCCACGTGAAATGCGAGGCTCCAACGCTTACCAGGCTGTGACATTGGTGTCGGTGCCTAGGGCAGAGGAGGGCCTACAGAACACTTAATCTGGCCCTGCCCTGCCCATGTTGATAAGGTTATCGGTATAGTTTCACTCTTTGCTTTCATAGACCTATCGCCGTTTGAGAGTTAGCCACGCCCCTTAGACAACCCTATGGAACTTTTTTACGTTGAGTTTTGTTTGTCTCAGATTTTGCACGTTCCGCATCCATTTGTATATCATGTAATTGGACAATATTTCACAAGCTGCGTTGATGGGATTCTACCGCGATAGGTCAATTCCAAAATATACTTCCAGTTTTTCAATTTTTGACATTCTTTGGTTTTGTATTTTTGTCGCCAGTCTCTGGTCACAAAGTCTGTCAGGTGCCAGTGTCTTGCGATGGACTTCAGGGGACACGGTGACACGATGACAGCCAATGAAGAAGACCTTTCTGTAGACACATTAGCAAGGTAAGTAGATACTGTAGTTGGTCTGAACCACAAAATCTCTCACGGTAGATTTTGAGTCTGAGACCGGTCACGAATTGTTGGGTCATTGACCTATGACATTCGGGTCAAATTCATTTAAATATGCACATCCTTCGGAATAGGGCACCTAACAGAGTTATGCTCTTTTTGTTTATTAAAGTGTCTGTACAGCCTGCCTAAGGCTTAATTAAGAAAGGTACAATGAAATTCCAAACTTTAAACTCTGGAATTTGCAGGGATATTGGTAACGTCATTACAGCCCTGTACGGTGACGAGACCATTCCACCAATCATCATGGTCGGTCACAGTATGGGCGGGGCTATAGCCATCCACGCAGCAATCAAGTATCTGGTGCCGTCTTTAGCAGGGCTCATCGTCATCGATGTCGTCGAAGGTACGTGTCAAAAAGTGTGCAAAATGTTTGTGCAAAGCAGTGACCTTAGAAAAACTCATAGCTTATTTAGTACTAACAACAGCAGTATGGATTTTTCACCGAGGGATAAACACCGCATGCAAGGTTTAAATTCTTCATATATCTCTCTCATAAAACAGGTACTGCAATGGAAGCTCTTCAGGGCATGCAGGGTTTTCTACGGGGAAGGCCGAAACAGTTCAAATCCTTAGAATATGCCATCGAATGGGCGTAAGTAGACAATGATCTCATATTGAATGTGTTTTTACTATGAACACTGGCATGCAATGATGCAGGGAAACTTTAAGGTAGAATAACAAAGTATTTACAAAGTTGACATGTTTGGAAAGCTTTGTATCTGAACTGTATGATTCAATGTCAGAAAACGTTTATATGTTAAAGGCACAGAGAGTTGAAACAACTGGCCATCTTTTCCCAACTAGGCTTTTGTTTTCTAAAGGGTTAATATTTGTTCAGATCATCTCATTGGAGTGTTTAATAGTTCATCAATGATACAACTTGGATCATTTAAAATCTGTGAACAGTGCACTGAATGTGTTGGCAAACAAATGGCGTCCGCTAGATATAACAAGCCGGTGTAATTAATTAAGGCAATGAATTCTGTACTAAAACAGTTTAAAAAAATACTGAAATGTCAAAATCGGGTGTTTTTTTTTGCAGAGTCAAAAGCGGCCAAATAAAGAATCTAGAGTCAGCCAGAGTCTCAATGGTTGGACAACTGAAAAGGTACGGAATATTGTAAAGCTTAATTAATAGTTTGAATTCACTCATTTAAGCAAACCAGTTGAACCTTTTTCCAGCCACACAATTTACAATTATTGGCACATTATGAAATGTAGAACACTTTTGCATACCGTTGTAATGACAAAAAAAACCCTTATAATCTTAATTATTAGAAATCATATCAGTGACTTTCAAACTGGCCAAATTCTCACGCAGATGCAGCGCAGAACACCAGGAAGCATCTGACCAGGTGCCCTGCTTCTCATCAAGTGAAGCAATTGCAGAAGAAGACGAGGAACAAGACAAGCCTAAAGAGGACAGCTCAGCCCAACAGGTAGCTATACTAGCTGTTTGCCTTGATGAACTCTAATGTAGGGTAAACTAAACAGGTATAGGTGGAACTGTGTGCCCATCTTTACCACAATTAAGGTAAAGGTCATTTGAATGTTACTGCGGCGTTGCACCAATGTTCATGTTCATTCCAAGGAGAGATCATGGGTTGTGCACATAGGTTGTTCTTCTTTTTATGACCTAGTAACAATGAATGCACAACCAGGTTGTCTCGTGCATGTGCCATTTTTTCACACACCAGCTCTTGTGTAAGCCACATTTTGCCATCCACTGTTCCAGCAGCGTAGTCATAACGGTCATTTAATGGCATTGAATGTGTCATTTTTCCCCTCTATTTTCAGAGTGCGTCAGTCTCCAGTTCAGTACCCTACACATGGAGGGTGGATCTATCCAAATCTGAAGCTTACTGGAAAGGTACCACTGGGGTGTAGACAAGTCCAACACAATAATAATAATAATAATAATAATAATAATAATAATAATTACTCTTTTGGCTGCAATAGGGTGACTTTCCCATAGACTTGTGCACAAACCTAAACTGTCACCTAACCCAAGTTTACCTTATGTTTTTTCCACAAAATTTAGTATTTATACTAATTGGACCATGAGGAATCGATCTAGATGGTTTTCGACGGCAAAATTCCTTGTCCTTAGGGTCGTTTTCATAAAAGGGCGACAGTTATTTTGTCGCCTCAATAAGGTGTATCGCCCTATTGTGGACAGAGTTCGCAAAACCTGTCGCCCTATTACAGTAATAGTAGTAATACAGGTTCTTATATAGCACTTTTAACAAGATCAAAGCGCTTTACAATGAAAACAACTTAGATCAGACACCTGGAAATGTACACAAGCCCCTGCAAGTCCATCACAAGTCCTCCAGTCGCAAGTTACGGACTTACGAACTATGAAACTTTTGTGAAATTTTATTATCTCAAATGTTGCGCAACGTGAAAAAGTTGCAAAAGTTACGTAATAAATTGTGGCACAAGTGGACATATGCCATTGGGTAAAGTTTCGTGAAATTTGAGTAATGATAATCTATGGTTTGCTTTTACCGGTACATTTTTGCAGGGTGGTTTGAAGGCATGTCCAACCTATTCCTGTCATGCACTGTCCCTAAGATGCTGATCATAGCGGGTAAGTAACAATCCAACTGTTTTAACTATCGGAATTCCATATCTGTACCTATATCTGTATCTTTATAGTCGGTAAAGCATTCCATGGGAAACATTACACCAACTTAGAGAGAAGACAATGAGAAGAAATTACAGTTTTAGAGGTGGGAGGAAAAGCCCAGAAGATATTCTGGGGAAACCCAAGGAATCAGGTAGGGACTGAAAACCAAATCCACATGTTGGGATTCGAACCCGGGTCACAGCGGTGGAAGGTGAGGAAAGTACCGCTACGCCAACCTGACGCCCCATATAATGCCAGAAGTTGATTTTCCCTTTTATTTGTGAACTTTTGTCCTTTTCGCGAAGGTGTGAACAGACTAGATCGGGAGTTAACCGTGGGTCAAATGCAGGGCAAATTCTGGATGCATGTACTACCACAATGCGGTCACTGCGTACATGAAGACCAACCACAAAAGGTGAGTACTGGGCCCAATTTCATGGCAGAAATGTATACAGAATTGCCTTAAATTGAGAATCCTTTTATACATTCACTGTATACATGTATTTTATAATTATGAACTAACAGTACCACATATTCCACAATTGCTGCTAAATTTGTATTTTTTTTCCCAGGTAGCGGATGCTTTAGCATCTTTTTTGGTGAGGCACAAACTTTCTGAGTCGCTGGACGACTTTGATCGGTGAGTTCTTGAAAACAACCTGATCGTCCTCATTTTAATCTTAAAAATCTACAGAAATCTTGAGTCATTTTTAAGTGACCATAACTCATTGTTTCTACTTCAGGCCTTCTCCTGCGTGCTGATGAAACGACTTGGAACAACCAGACAGTAGCAGAGGTGTTTGAACTCTGATGGACACTTGATTGACCACCGGACAGCAGTGGAGGAGTTTCAACTCTATGGATATTTTGAACAATTGCCTGAGTTATTGATTGCCAAGTGTGGAGACCTGTAAAAGATGAAGTTTTTGTGCACTTGTAGAAACCATCCATGTGGTGATGTCTCGCAATGGACCCTTCCTGCCTGTCAATCAGTGCACATTGACCAATTAGATTGCAACATTTGGTCAGGTGACCACGATACCTTTGTCTAACTTGGTCACAAGCACTGTGAGAAATGTGCATGAACCAAAGATGGGGGGGGGGGCTTATGGTCGAATCCAGAACAGTGGGGCAGGGCTTATGGTCGAAACCGGAACAGTAGGGCGTAGCTTATGGTCGAAACCGGAACAGTAGGGCGTGGCTTATGGTCGAATCCAGAACAGTGGGGCAGGGCTTATGGTCGAAACCGGAACAGTAGGGCAGGGCTTATGGTTGAAACCGGAACAGTAGGGCGTGGCTTATGGTCGAATCCAGAACAGTGGGGCGGGGCTTATGGCTGAAACCGGAACAGTAGGGCGTGGCTAATGGTTGAATCCGGAACGGTCTATCGTAAAGGCTTTTACATAGTGTGGTATAGTACATTAACAAGTCAAGGTGTCTGAAGACTTAAGTCTAAGAGATTGTCTACTGAAGGATTGGGGCGGTGTTACCAGGTACACTGGTACATGTTCTGAGACTCCCAAGAAGTAATTATACTGCCGTGTGTTTTAAAAGATTCCTCTTGTTCTTTATTCTTTTACATTTCTCAAAATTGAAATTTTACTTCAGAGGCAAATTGGCAAAACTGAAACTCATTTTTTTCTTCCGCACCTGACTCTTGTTCACTTGAGACAACATCCTTGGCGGGAAATTGTCGCTTTACTCTCTTGCTGGGCAATATATCTATCTCAATAAAGGAATATAATCTATAAATCTGTTATGTTTGAAACATGGCTGGAAATTTTGTTTTCAACTAACTACTTTAAATGATACTTTAGCTCGAAATTCAAAATTTTCATTTGGAATTAATATCTGGATGTTTTACTACGTTTGTGAATTAAATAATAAAATATATCTCTGAATTTTATAATTGTCAAGGTCAATTACCTTTACCCAACACATTTCAGTGCTTAAGTGATCACAATTATAAAAATCACACCATGAAAGCAAGAAGACAACGAGGTTCTGCAAAAAATCCTGAATTAATTTTTATGTCGTTCAATTTTTTCTTCAATGAGTGGTTTGAAGGTTAAGTAAATTGTTTTTACTTAGGTTTTTGGAATTTTATTAGAATATATTATACACGGCTACTTAGCTAAAGAAAAGCAAATTATTTAAGTTTCTTTTATTGTTGATTTTTATGTTTTGATCACTACAAAATTCTCAACAACAAAAAAGAAAAGGATTTTTTTTGGGGGGGGGGTGGGGATATGAAAATGACATCAAATAAAGATAGCTCAATTTGTTTTAAATATAACACAGTGTGCTCGCTCTACTGACAAACGCCAACCGTAACCAAAATAAACAAAATGTAGAAATGTGTTTGAAATAAATTTCTCAGTGATTGATTTTATAAATTAATTTATGAGAGTTTGACAAAATTAAAACTTTTGTACTTGATTTAAATCTGTTTCCTCTGCTTCAATGTTGTAATTTTTGAACAATGTAACTTGCACCTTATGTGCAAACTTATTGTTTTACTTGTCATATTAAGTATGAAAAGTGACAAGTTGATTGTTCAACTTAAAAATATTTCTATTAATTTTCCTCACTTCTTTATCAAGAAGTTGTAATGTGTGAAATGCCAATCCATATTTTTTTTTTGCCGAGATCTCATTCCAGATATTGCAACAAAATGACAAGGACATTTTGAGAGTGAATTTGTCATTGAATTTCATGAGCAAAACCGAAGCTTATCAGGATTCTTATCCACACATTTATCCTGAATTTGGTATAAAAATCTGATTTTTTTTCATAAATTTCGAATTTGAATATCTTTCCTATGCTGGAGTCTTTGTTCACTCGGGCACTTCATGAATGTTGAATAGTTTCGCTAAGTCGCTCAGGTCGCTGTATTCTTTCCCCTCCTTGATTACCTGCAGGAAAAATAAAACAAAGAAAAAGTGAACACGGACTACTGGCTTAATTTCACGAAGCCCTCAAAAGTGGGGAAAAAAAACCCTCTTTTGTTGGCACACGGAGCCCATAACAGAGCCCTCACGAATGCCAACAAAGGCAGGGTTTCCAACATTTCATTAAAAAACAAACAAAATTCCCAGAGTTTTCCCCTGATATTTCCCCGAGAAATTTCTGAAATTCCATGAGAAATACTTTGATGAGGTTGCTGGGAATTCAAGAGCAAATGTTTCGTCAAAAGTAAAAGTCTGAATCGTTTGGTCAGGGAACTAGACTATGGTCTCCCCCACATCTCCCCATCTTGCCGGTGAGGGGGTACTTGTGAACGGAGAAATCTTGAAATTGCATTTCAAGCAACCATAACCAGTCCATCAATGGACACAGCTTGGACACATATGGCACACGACGCACATGCACCAAACTAGCAAAAGCCTTCCCCTTCTGGGCCACTGTCAGCTTCCTTCACTTGTCCCCGATTTTCAGTGTTTCTCCAAATTCCCCGAGTTTTCCCTGACTTTAAAAATGGAAACTCATTTTCCATTTCCCCCCCCCCCCCTGATTTCCAGCGTGGCTGGGAACCCTGAAAGAGCCATCCACTGTACATGCAGGGAGTCCTTCAGCCACCGATCTTACCTTTCTAGCAATGGACATCTTGTTGAAAACGTTCCAGAGCACCACCCCCACCACCATATTGTTCTTGAGGTAGAAGACGACGCCCTTCCCATAATCCTCGGCTGCCACGGGAGCAACCGGTGCTTTGGTGGTTGCCGCGGGCGGAGTCGCGGTTGCCACCTGCAACACAAAAATCACAATCAATTAAAGTTTTGACTCGGAACATTCCCCCCTAATTCAGCGGGCACCTTTACTGGGAACTTTTTTCCATGAAAGATTGGAAGAGTTGATTTTCCTACTAAATACGCTTACACTCTCTGATTCCGATCTGATGCTCTCCCCCGTTGCCTCGACCACAGCCTTGGGCGTGTCCTTGGGCGTGGCCTTAGCAAACACGCCCACTGTGGGTAGACTGGCGTCGACGATCCCTATCGCTTCATAGCCAACCTCGGGACCAAGGTCACTCCTACATTTTGAACAGAAATTCAAGGATATTGACATACTCAAGTGAAAAAGTAACGACTAGATTTGTTGGAAGGAATGTACAGAAAAATTCTCTTTGAACTTGTTAACGTCTCTATCATCAAATTATTGACATATTTAGCCATTTTTTACCTCAGCTAAGATCAAGTCACACTAAATATAACATTCATAACACTTTGTGCTGGCTGGTAACCCATTTTTGCTAAGCATATATTTTCTGTGCTTAAGTAATGTGCATTGTAATGTATGTAATTGAATGAAGTTTCAAAAAATATTGCCAGAATATACACAAAATACCTTGAGAAATATTAATAAATGTGTGAGCAAGAACTGACCAGAACATAGACTGGTGCCAGTAGGGTTTCTTGGCCCCCGTCATGTTCTCCCCTGCTAGTCTACCACTGACAACAGCGTGGTCGTGATGCTCTACCCTCCGCCTGCCAAGCTTGATGTCGTAGAAACAGGCAGCGTCCCCAGCCTATGAGAAATATCACGACACGCTTTGTGATATATGATAACTCTATCCTTTCACTGCTACAAAAAAACTTGTTCTGGGCTTGGGTGACACAGGTACTTTAGGAATGGAGTAGAATTCATGTCAGTCAAGAGTCAATCACAAGTCAATCACAAGTCAGTCACAAGTCAGTTACGAGTCAATCACAAGCCAATCACAAGTCAATCGCAAGTCAATCACAAGTCAGTCACAAGTCCATCACAAGCCAACAATCACAAGTCAAGTCTCAAAACAAGACGAAGTGAAATTATCAGTTTGAAATTCGGCAAGGCGGCGATTCCAAATACCATGTATCTATGAGTAAAACAATCCTAAAATGAATTGGCCAATACTTGAAGGAGACACAACTCACCACAAAGACACTGCTCCTTGCCTCCAGCTCAGCGTTGACCCTGTAGCCCCCCAGATCATCGTCAATCTCGAGGCCCGATGTCTTGGCTAACTCTACGTTAGGTTTGAGTCCCACAGCTACTACCACGTGGTCTGCCAGCAACTGCAAAGTAAAAGGCGTAAACCTAAGTGACCACAAAATGAGCCTAGAATCATACAATTGTGGGTTTTTAAAAAATTTTGTTTTAGGTGTACCTCAACCTAGTCTGGTGCCTGATTGCCATACAAACACATGTGATCTGCACATTATTTTTGATATCAACTTTCCAACCTTGTTACCTTTTAAGTCAAGGAACCAGACCTATCACAAGTAATTTACGACTGGCATATTATAAACAAGGCTTTCAAACATTCTTCAATAATTCTAAGAATGTACAATGATGTTACACACAAGACAAACAAAAAACAAAACAATACAAAATAAATAATTCAACCAGAAAATGGTCTAGTTACCTGTCTCCCGTCATTCAGTCTGACCACAACTTTCTCCTCTGACTTGTCATAGCCAGCCGACTTCAGGAAAACATTAGATATGACATCAACACCCTCTGAAAATAAATAAAAGAAAATAAAGTAATGGTTCACCACTTAATTAATATTCACAAAAGGTTACGCTGCATTATTTTCAAAAATGCATGTGATAAATTAAACTATATTAGACACAATAATTGTTATTTTAATTATTTGTAATTATCAGTATTTAGGCTTCTTACCGTGCTTTACTTTTTTCATTGTCCACTTGCTGAGATATTCAGGAAGCACTCTTGCCATGTTGCCTATGTCAAGAAGAATCAACAATAATGAAGAAAGCAGTATGAACAACTGATTAAAAAAAAACAATTTTAAAAATGTACATAATATATAAAACAAGAGTCCCTAGAGAAAACTGTTCTATAATAGCCAATGCAGCTGGCCTGGTTAAACAGAAATGATAAAGAAAAATAAAAAAAAATAAAAAAATCTATTTCATCCTTCAGATCTATATTATCAGATGAAAAATTAGATAATAGATGAAAAATAAAATAAAAAACACTTAATTGTTTAAAAAATTGTTTCTTCAAATGAAGAAATTAAATTAAACAGACAAGAAAAACGTACCTTTTTCTGGGAAGACTTGAGTAACCTTCATTCCAGTTTCTTTGCCTTGTGTGACAAAAACAAATAGACGGTTATTTGACAAGAAGAGTGCATAAATTGGAATAAATCTCTAACTGTGCTTTGAGAATCTGACTTTAATTGCACATGTGCCATCATGCATCTTATCCCTGTCAAAGCTGAAAATGCGGATGGCAAATATGGAACACCATACTTTTGGTCAATTTTCGGGAACAGCGAGACAGACAGACAGGCCGACCGACAGACAGACCATCCGACCGATTGACTATCAAGTGACAAGTAGAAGCTAAGAATACCTCGAGGCAGAGGCATGATGGGTAACTCACCCCTTCTTCCCAGGGCACAAGCCAACTCGCTCCCAAGGAATCCACCCCCAATGATGACGATGCTCTTTGCCGTCTGAGTGATGTCATCTAGCGCCAGGAAATCTTTAATCTACAAACCAAACAGAACTACTTTGACAAAAACCATAGTAAAAGGAATCCAGTAAGTTTGCTTCACGTAAACGGTGTTTCTACCACGATTAAAACTTGCCGCTGAACGAACGTTCCAAAACAAATGTTCCACACAACAAAAACTTCTTGCTCCACAGAAGAATCAGGATACAAATGTAGTTAAACCAAAGAGCAATGTCAGGGGTTTTAATTTAAAAAAAATTAAGTGGAAAATTAAGACAGCTTTCAAGCCATCACTGCATTGACAGTGGCAAACTAGATTACAATATCATTACAGTGGAACGCCGCTATAGCGAACACTGCAGGATCCACAGAAATTGTTTGTAATAGCGATCGTTCAGTACAGCAATTTTAAGTTGCCGGTGCTCTGGTACTCACTTTTCAATAAATAGCGCCCTTCACAACTTTACCCTGCACGCCCTGGTAGTTACTGAAAGATGACTTTGAACACGTGCCGACTATTGAATAATGTAATTACACAGTTTTTGAGCTTACTACCTACAGCAGTGGGTCGCTTTCTCCTTCTATTCCTTGGGGAAATAATAGTCACTTGTCGCTCTTCTGTTGACATTTTCCAACAACAATATTTGGTATGTTTTGTACACAAAATCAGGAGCCAATGACAATGTTCAGAATAGCCAAATGTTCAGTATAGTCAAATGTTCGGTCTAGCGGTGTTCTGTATAGCGACGTTCCACTCTACCAGGACTTACATTTCTGAAGAGCGTGATTCTCTTCTTAACCTCTTCTCCAGCTTTTCTAAAAGCAGGCAGATTCCGCGGGGTCCCACCTACAAAGAAATAATTTAAACACCCCAAGTAAATTTCAGAAACTGCGTACAACCATAAAGTCATTCAAAATATGGATCATTTGGGTGTGATACTTTTAAGTTTATGTTCAACTTTTTTTCTCCACCAATCAAAGACCAGATGCTATTTTAAACAGCGGTCTTCAACCAATCACGTTGTAGTTTACTTACCTGTGGCTAGAAGGCACTTGTCATATTTCACCTCTTTCCCGTCGTCTAGGGTGACAGTCTTACTATGCACGTCTAACGAAACCACCTGTTTAAATTTAAAAAAGATAAATCTTCTAGTAACGGCTGCCTCATGAGATGGAGCTAGTGGCTTTTAATTGCTTCCAGTCCGCGCTAACAAAATGATAACCTTGGCAAACTTTGGCAAATAATCGGAATAATCACTAACCTTGTGTCCCTTCATGATGGCCACTCCACCATTTTCTCTCTCAGATAGTTCTGTCGGGTCACAGTAGAAGGAATCAGGCTCAAACAGGATGCTGTCAGAGAGAGAGAGAGGGATGGAGAGAAACCGATCAGGATAAAGTGGCTTGCCCAAGGACACTCCAATGGAGCATTAACACACAGAGTTTTCTTTTTTAATACCAACATATATATAATAACTTTTTTTGGGGCTAATCATCCTTAATCGCAGCTGAGAAGCTGAAATGCAAAGGACATGGCTACAACGTGGTAGAGCCGAAGGCATGAACAGGCACCTCAAGCTGCTGCACACGACCCATGTCTGCCCATGGAGCACAGCCAGAGATCAAAAGTGTTGATTTTTTTGCGGAGGAAAGACGAAAAGCGGAGAGCCCGGAGAAAAACCCTCGTGGCACAGGACAGAATCACAGACAACTCCACTCACACATGGTCTGAGCCGGGAATCGAACCCGGGCCACAATGGTGAGAGGCAAGCATGTTACGCACAAGCCATGCATGCCACCCTATATGCATTTGGGTTGAAGCGAGTGTGTTTACCTTCTCTCCTTGCCATTCCATTGGGTGAATCTCAGGTTGGCTATGGCCTCCTTCTCCTTGCTGAACCAGAACTCCTTGGATAGCGGCGGTCTCATGTAAGGATTGTACTCCTCCTGTCCTATCACTAACACCTAGAATCAAACACGGTCAAAACACCTTGATCATTTTCAATTCTTTTTTTTATTAACAAACTAGAGTTTTTTGGGTTTTTTTTTGCAAAACAAACATATTTACAGGTGACATGTATCGCAGCTCCTCGACTGCAAAGCATTGTAGTTTAAAGCAGTTTTATGTTTTACCTTTGCTTTGGGATCGTTGGATCGTATCGCCCTGAATGCCGCGAACGCAGCGGTGCCTGCACCGACTATGACATAGGGAACATGCTCTGGAAAGACAGCAGTTACTGCAGCTGCACCTGAGGAAACAACATGCACATGAAATCAAGAAATCAAATGAATACCAATAAGCAACAGGGATTTTGTCATTTATTTTTTTTAAATGGACTTTTTTTGACTTGGCCATAAGCCCTGCCGACCGTTTGGTTTGTGTATATTTCTCACAAATATTTCTGCCCAAGCGAAATGTGGCCACCTTTTTAGACAAAACCTTGATTATCACGTATGAAATTTAAATGAATCATAAGGAGGGTCAGGTGGGAGTTGCAGTACTTTCCTTGCCTTCCATTAAAGTGACCCGGGTTCTAATTCCGACTGAGATCGACAAGTGGATTGATTTCTCAGTCCATGCCTTATCCTGTGGGTTTCCCCTAGGATGCCATTCGAGGGCTTTCCTCCCACCTCTAAAGCAAGTAATTTCCTTCCTTATCTTTTATCAACAAACCCCACTGGAAATAAGTCAAAAGCCTTCGTTGGCTATCCCGGCTGAAAGCCATGTAATAATTGAACTTTTTGCAGACAAATAGTCCTGAATCTTCCAAACAGACCATTATCATGTTGCAGCCATCTTGATTTTTTCCCATTCAAATTAACGTAACCGAAGCGAGGCTGGAAGGAAAAATAGTCTGTTTCCTTTTTGCACAAAAAGCATTAACATTCAGTTCTGATAATGGATACAGGGAACATGACTGAAATTGTGGCAGCATGATCAAGGTCTATTGGTGGACTGACTGAAGAACTACCTGAATCTGTCTGATCCGCTGCCTGTGTGGTGGCTGAAGCAGCCTCTTTCTGCTCCGCTGTAGCAGCTGCAGTGGTTTTAGCCTCTGCATCTTCTGCCGTGCTTGGTGTGTCGTTGGTTAAGGGCTTTGCTACAGAGTTTTTATCAGGTGAAAGGCCAAGTGTGATCAAATCGTTCTTGTATAGCTGCGGGGAAAAAAGGATACCCGAAAACGAGTGGCAAGAAGTAGTTATGAGATGCAAGGATGGTGTTTGCAAAATCACAAGTCATATGACTTGTCAGGTGACAAGTAACAGGGGATGAACATAACAAATGGATGCCCCGTCACACAGTTCACACATCGTCAATGTTTACACGAACTGACAAGTATGCGCTGTGTGCTTTCAGTTCCTGAAAACCGTGTAATCAATCATTTTGGTTTTCACAAACTGACACGCAGGTGTGCACGTGTACTTTATACACCTACGCGTAATAGAATAATTTTAGTTTCACAAGATGAAGCGCAAGCATATTGCGGAAATACAATTATGAGAAAAAAACTTTGGAAAGCTTTTGACACGACTTAACTCCATCCGCATTTCGTATACTTGTGGGGTTACAAAAACATTTGATTAAACACATTTTAACTGGTGAAATTTAGACAGGTTTCAGTTCGTGATAACAAAATGAACGGAGTGCGCGCATGTTGTACTTGGGTGTCAGTTCATGAAAACCAAAAGTAAGTGGTTCTGTAAAGTACACTTGTGCAACTCACACAATACCAGAATGCTTTGTTGATTAGATAAATTTAGACAGGTTTCAGTTCGTGATAACAAAATGAACGGAGTGCGCGCATGTTGTACTTGGGTGTCAGTTCATGAAAACCAAAAGTAAGTGGCTCTGTAAAGTACACTTGTGCAACTCACACAATACCAGAATGCTTTGTTGATTAGATAAATTCACTGGTACAAATTTGTGTAAATGATTAACTTACATAAGCTGAGATTCCCACAAATCCTAGGATGCCACCAATCACCAGCACGTTGCCGTATTTCCCAATTCCTCCCACATACTCAGTGGCCATCAACCTCCTCGGTGTGAGTCTGGAAGGTTTTCTGGGCACCACAAGCAAGACTAAAATCGAGAAAGGAAAAAAAGAAAAAAAAGTTACAAACGACTGACATTGAAAGGCACCAATGTTCGAGATGTCTGAAAACTGACAGTGATGAATTAAAAGCTAAGATTTTTGAGTGCATTTCGATGATACTGAGTCGGGAACTAGCTTGAACTGGTTTCTGCTGATAGCTGCCCTAGTTCCTGACTCTGTATCATAGTTCGAAAGTTTGTGTGTACAAACGAGATCCAGTCTACTCATTATCATAATCGGTGCACAGCGTTTGGTAATGGAATCGCGCTGGGACCATCACTGAATGCTGGGCACGTACATCCACATCGCGTTGTTCAAACACAAGTCGGGCATTTAACGTGTTCACGATTAACCCTTACCCTACTTGACCCTCCAACGCATGCCAATATGTGCCTCAAGAAAATCTCCTATGTTTTTTGCATGGCCCTCCAATATCTGCCATGTCATTTCAAGGGTAACTGGACAGGCACTCCAATACATGCCACAGAGAACAATGAGAGTCCTCTGATAACAAAGTGAGTGCCCCCAGCTGGTCACTATCAGGCACCCTCCAGGGCCTCCAACTCCTGCCAATTGGAGCCTTCACTGTTTAATCTAACTATCTGCCAATAAACTTCAGCTGGAGGGCATTGGCATAACCAACTGACATGCAGTAAACTACCCTCAGAGAGTAAGGGTTAATCACGAGGGGAGCTCTCGGAATTGAACGGGAAATTTCACTTTTCATCCGACTCGTAAGCAAACTTTAGTACAGGTCTCCATTTTAATCATCGATCTCTCCTTGTACCTCAGGAGGCGTATCTAGTAATTTGGAGGCCGTTTTGAGGTAAATCTGATGTTTTTGTTGGCCAATGTTTTTTTGGTCAACGGCAGTCAGCAGAATAGTGTTGCACGACGTTTCCTCATGGTTTCTGGAGAATCACCACCAAAATCATCGAAATATTTCATATTTTAGTCTTCGTTGTTCTGTTTGAAGTCGATTATTAGCTTCATGAATGTCTGCTGCATTGTATGTATGAATTATGGAATCTGGGTTGGGATAATATAGGGAAAATGGACCGTTTTTGCAATGCACTGGGGATGTACAGTCCGGGATTTCGGGATTCTTACGACCCGGTGATTGTAACGTAGACTAGTTGTGACTCCAGTTACCAATCAGAAGACAATGGAATATGGAAAGCGGATGTCGTTTGGGAAAAAAAGATTCGCACTCGCAGCCAAGTGCATGATGGGTATGATCTTGCTGCGCTATGTTGTTTCCCATCATGCCTTGCACGATCGTAACCCCTGGAATTGTCTTATTTTATGCGAGTGGCACATTTAGGATGCTCAACACAGTCGGACCATCGGACATTGTCCGGAAAATGGACAAGGGAATTTTTATGTTTTCCATAAACTTACCATTACTAAACTCCGTTTTCTTCGCCACTGTCACAAAATTTCTTCTCAGTGGCACACATCCCTGAAGAAGTGACTTGTACTTGTACATAATTTTCGCACAAATAGTACGATAAACTTCAAAAACAGTTTACTTCTATAAAAGTTCTAATTCTCGTCACCGGTCCGCCGCCGACAAATCCCGAAAATGTCCGGTAGCCTGGTTACCGGTAGTCTGCAACTCTTAATCTTCGTAAGTACGCGCACTTGAGGGTAATGGAAACTAGACGGACATGTTGCGCACGTGATTTAGCGCCCTCTGTGGATCAAACTTGGTAATGAATTAGGCGCCTTTTTTAACTTGAAACAGGGAGTGGGCGACCGAGTGATAAAAAAGGACTCCAAAAAACAACTTCAAACTGTATTTACTAGTTGTTCCATTATTACTGCAGAGATTAGACCAAAGTAAACAGATCAACTTTGGAGTTTGAAAACTTCAGGGAAATTTCATGTTCTACATCCTGCCAACCAAAAGGTCCGAATAATTTCAAGAAACTGGTACCGGTACTCAAAACACCCGTCCCACTTGCAAGGACCCCCCCCCCCCCGAAAAAAAATCCAACCCAAGAAACAGACAACCCAACAAACAAAAAATGTACAATCATCACAATTATATTATATTTACAGCGATAGGGAAAAGTTTTATTGCTTCACAAACCATTGTTATGGTCACCAATCAACATTAAATTGGAAAATGAGCACTTCTGAGTCTGCTGATCAAACTGTAATTAATAGATAAGATGGCCTGCTTGAAAACCTTTGGCACAGCTGAATGAGCCAAAAACATTTGATTTTTGTTAAAAAAACCTTATTATAAGCACTCTCATAGCAGAATAACCTGCAGATTAATCACTCAAATACGTTTTTGGTAGTATCGCTAAAATACCATCAATAGATTTGTTCGTTGATTCACTACACTTCAATTGATTTTTGTGTGGGTTGATTTACAATTTTTTTTGTTTTTTTTAAATTGTCTTAGATCAATAAAGTACTTTGTTTTGAGCATATCAAAAAAAGAGGTGTTTTTTGGGGGGTCCTTACTTATTCAAACATTTCGCGTTTCCATCCTCCTGAAACAGTGTGAAATTATTTATTTTTTTTGCTCTCCCAACTATACATATGTATTTTCTTTGAAGTGATCTGGTGAACTATTTTTCCAGGTTACACATACAACAGGTGTTTTATTTTGAAAAAAAATATATAAGAAGGGTTCAGATACAAAAAGAAGTTATATATATCAGCTTGGGTAATTTTTAACAGCTTTAATATTTTTATCTGCCGGTATCTAATATATACATATCAACCTCGTTATCATTTACATTTTCATTTCATAAAATAAATTACTTTTTTGACCTGGCATGGTCATTGATTCTAATATATACATATCAACCTCGTTATCATTTACATTTACATTTTCATTTCATAAAATAAATTTCTTTTTTGACCTGGCATGGTCATTGATTCTAATATATACATATCAACCTCGTTATCATTTACATTTACATTTTCATTTCATAAACTAAATTACTTTTGTGACCTGGCATGGTCATTGATTTTGTACACACACAGAATGGCAGTTTTGAACAATGCTCATGAATCCATTTGAAGCACTTACCAAATCGGCAGAAAGGTAATGTAATGAATCCACATGCCAAATTAATGGAGTAGAACGATTATTAAAAATGCCCTGTGCATAATTGCACATAGGAGCACATCCAACAATAAACTGTTTTAAAGCAAATACTTAATTGCAATTTTCTACGTACTTCTAACTACAGCTCATGGCATTAACATGGGAATCATACCAAGTATTGTGCTTTGAAAATACCCGTGTAAATAGCCATAAAGAGAGTTTCAAGCAATGCACCTCACCAACTAAAATGATACCACATCCGGTGTATATACAATATTAACACTATACACCCAAACAATATCAACACTAAACAACTTGGAGAGATGTTTCAATTAAAATGAGTATGTTAATAATTTTTTTTCTACAAGACCTAAGCTGGAATTCAGTTGCCTAAGCCCCACTCCCTAGATACATGTAAGGATAGTTGTGATGTAAGACGTAAGCACCAGTAATGGGCACAACAAACTGAGCAGACATATCTTGTACAGATACATCACTATCAAGCAAAATTTGGCCCTTCGGAGTTTTAGGAATGTACCCTAGAAAATATTACAGACAAATACTGGAATGATGGAACATTCCCAGTGTATTACAAGCAATACAAAAATACAAAAGTGTCACATTTCTGGAAAGCATATTTCAAAAATGTGGGGGGGGGGGGGAAATGCATATAACTTGGTTTAAACATCGAGAATCTCTATGATTTTAATCTTGTTTTAAAAAAACAATCAGAAGGGAAATTAAGTAATTTGCCATGAGTTGATTTTTTTTATCAACTCGACCCAGTCACAACTCACAAACAGGTTCAAATTTAACCTGAAAAACAAGGCTGTCCTAACTGGAAAAAAAAGGATTAATATCTAGACAGGTATCACACTGAAACTCAATATAGTTGTAGCATATCTCAAAATGGACGGGAAATATCTTAAGTAGTCTTTTTAAAGTCCAGTATTACCCCAGTTTTTCAACTCAATGAAATAAACTAGTTATCCAAGTGACGCTAGGTATAGGCAAGGAACAAAAGGCAATGCAAAGGTACCTCAGAATAGAAAGCAAGTTCTGTAACCAGATAGTTACAGAGATTTCAGCAACTTGATAACATTCACATCCTTTTTATATGTACTATCTTACAACTTTAAATTTGAGTATTTCATTAATAAACAAATTTTTTATCTCCAGTTGTTAACTTGTTTACAAATCATTTTCATAAAGCTGAACAAAAATCCAAACTTTGCCAGCCTCTCTTTTCTTTTATTTTGGCTAGGCAACTTTTTTTCCCCCTTGACTGGTATCTTTTTCTAAAATAAAGGCAAATAAGTAACTAAAATCCACTGCAGCTTTGTAGAACTTTTTTGGCAAGGACATACAGGCCAATGCTGTAATTTCAGTGTTTGCAATAGACCATTATCGTGCTTCCACCATTTCAGTCATGTTCCCTGTCTCCAATAACAGTACTGAATGATAATGTTTTTGTGTAAAAAGGAACCAGACTATCTTTCCTTCGTACCTCGCTTTGGTTAATACATTGATTTGAATGGGAAAAATCCAAATGCCCGCAACATGATAATGGTCTTTTGTATTGCTATTAAAAATTGGAAGAGGGTCATTTTTCAACATTCATAAAATATCATTAGAAACAAATTTTCTACAAGATATATGTAGTTAACTAAAAATTTGAACAAGAAAATTTCATATTTAAAAATTAATTGAGAATACACGTACATGAAAGCATTCCAAGTTTCAATTGCTTCATAAATCGATCATATAATCCCTTATGTAAATCAAATTCAACTAGATGACTTTTTTTAATGGTCATCCTCTCTTTTTCCCAATGAAATTTTCTTAATTTTCATTACTTTGCTGAAAACTTGCATCAAAATCAGCCAAGCAATTAAGACAGGTCATTTCAACATTCTTTCTCTCCAAAAATTAAATAAAAAACATAATCCACACAAAAAAATTCCTATACCCTAACCCTCATAGATCTTTTAAACAAACATGGAAAGTTTGAGGGATTTTGTAGGAATAAAAAGGGTATAGATCCTTCCCACTACCACTTCTTTTAACCCTAACCCTGCAGGGTATGTTTGCTAGAACCCTGCCAAACGTAGCAACATGCAACACTTGACTAAGTGACAAGCCTGCCCAGTGTAGCAAGATCCATCAGGGGAAAAGTCTCAAGGCCACACTGCCTCAGAGTCTGTGGTCACCACACGCAGCAGGATACAACTGTGCCATTGTTTAATGGGACTTAGCTCTCTTTGTTTCAGAATTGGCCATTCATGCACTTGTGTTGGCAGCTGAACGCATCAAAGTGCACCAGTTCTTTTCCACCTGATGCACTGTGCTGCGTCTGGCAGGGTTAGGGTTTTAAGGCCTGATCCCCCTTATAAGTTTCAACCAAAGAAATGTGCCGCAGGATTTAGGAGGATGCAGGATCTAACCTAACAAACATATCCTGGAGTTTAAGTTCCAGCAGCAGATTAAGGTTTTTGCGACAGAATGTCGTCTACAATTTTCCTCACTACATCAAACCTTTTGATCTGTTTCAATTTCTGGAGGACCACTTCCATCGTGGGAGGCACTGGCCTTGTGGCAAGTATTTCAAACACATCGTCAGCATCCTTGCATGACTTCACTTCGGTATAACGGTCAAGCCCCAATTCTTCACCCAGATCTTTGTAGCAAGTTGTCACTTTTGAGGCTTTGTCAGCAACTAACATTTGATTGACCTTTGTCCTGACTGGGTTGCTAAGGTCGTCCCACGACATGTCTAATTCAAGTAAAACACAAAACAAATTGGTTTAATAGAAAAAGCCTTGCAGGTTGTTCCTCAGGTACATGGCAAGGTGGACAATGTGTATTTCTAGGCACCACACACTGAGGCTTCAACAGTGTCATAAGTTTGCTTGCAATGTTGAATTTTCTTAAAGTTTAGTGTGACAAAAACTAGACAACATAAGTAATGTAAGGAACAGGTTTCAATTCATGGAACAATAGTTAATGCATAGACAGGATTTCAGTGCTTTTCGTCTCTAAACAAGATACTTACATTATGGATTTTGTCTCAATTTTTCAAGGACACTAAAAACACATATCACACCATGGAAATTCAGTAGAATAATGACATCTTGTTCATTTATTTTTGTACAGTGCTGTGTTTTAGTCAAGTCCATTACAAGTCCTTTCATAAGTCCAGTCACGAGTATCGGGATGAAAAATGAATGCTTTTGTTACAGTTCCCTTGGATACCTTCTGACTTGAATTGAAACTACAGGACTTGTGATACAGTGGGATTTGTGGAGAAGTGGGATTTGTGAAAAATATAAAAGTTTGTCAGCTTCGCTTGAATTCTTGTAACAGCTTCAGGGTTGACTGTTTAAAACATTCATAAATCAACTTGCAATTGGATCTTACCTCTTCCCAAACTGCAAGCTTTGTCAAACTTCTCAGCAAATGCCTTCTCCTTCTTCTTTGCATCATTCTTCAAACAAAATGAACAAAATAAACAAAACAATCGTTTGAATATTCTTGTCTGCACAAATATTGCTTTAACAATCAGCTGATCCTGTATGTTTCCACCTTTTCCAGGCAAATTTGAACTGTCCAATGAAGCCACTGCTGTCGAGACGTTGGCTGTAAAACTAGTTTACATCACAGGAGACAGGTTGCTGCAGCCTATGATCTCTTCAGTCAATAAATGACGTGTCTATTACAGAACTTTGCATATCTGGTTTATTAATGTGACATCAGTGTATTTTAAACCATGCCCACTGGCCATTAAGTACCATTGGAATGTTGGAACCGGAAGCTAATGCAACTTTGAGCATTTATCCAATGGGCGCTAGTAATCAGGCTTTAAAACGCGCGTGTATGACGTTTTTACTAACGCACCGGATATATTCAAAAGAGTAAACTCTAAAACCCACAAACAGGTCCATCACAGTCCATAATTAAGCTACAGTTCACGATTGATCGCGAGGGGAGCTCTCGGAATTGAACGGGAAATTTCACTTTTCATCCGACTGGTAAGCAAACTTTAGTACAGGTCTCCATTTTAATCATCGATCTCTCCTTGTACCTCAGGAGGCGTATCTAGTAATTTGGAGGCCGTTTTGAGGTAAATCTGATGTTTTTGTTGGCCAAAGTTGTTGTTTTTTGGTCAACGGCAGTCAGCAGAATAGTGTCGTGTGACGTTTTCTCATGGTTTCTGGAGAATCGCCACCAAAATAATCGAAAAATTATAGTCTTTGTTGTTCGATTATTAGCTTCATGAATGTCTGCTGCATTGTATGAGGTATGAATTATGGAATCTGGGTCGGGATTAGCTAGGATGATCCTTAGCATTATGTTTATGCATAACGCTAGGAAACTCACAATAACAAAACTGGCAATTTTTTCAGATACGAAAAGGTTTATAATATATTCAATATTGAAGTATTATACTAATACAGTATGAAGTACAGACCTATAATGCACCAAATGATGAAAAGATGAATAGTAAAATACTGACAACTCACGTTTTTCCAGATAATTTTAGGTCTGTTTTTGTCAACTCACACTGAAGCATACTCAAAATGACAGTTTCGAGTGTAAACACATGTCACAGGTCAATGCAAGGTACTTTGCATTAAGTAGCACGCATTGTTTACCAGCGCTAAGCAATGATTGGGTGCGCGTCCACCACCATTATTTTCAATGTTGAATATGTATACCAGACGACTGTTACACGATTATGAGTAGAGATAAGTATCACAACACATGGCAGGGGACCACATTAAATATATCAAAATATGACATGAAACAGTCAAATACAATCTGGATGCATTGCGGGGTTGGGAACACGATCCAAATATCTTGAAGTGACTGCATGGTGGCGATGTTTAAGCCAGGAAGAAAATGTGTATGCATGAGGCAATGAAAAGACAGTCGTATTTGTTGACATGGTAACAAAGGTGTGCTCAGTTTCTGCCAAAATATACGTAAGTAAGGAACATCTCTGGTTTTATTTATCATTTAAGTTAAAGTACTGGAAAAAGTTCAGCAACTATTATTATCCAGGTCTTTTAAGACAGTTCTCGCCGTTATGAGGAATATATTGCAAATGACATGGTTCTGAAAGAGATGTGCAATAGCTAGGTTGGGATAATATAGGGAAAATGGACCGTTTTTGTAATGCACTGGGGATGTACAGTCCGGGATTTCGAGATTCTTACGACCAAGTGATTGTAACATAGTTGTGACTCAGTGGTGGACAAATAAGAAGATGGAAAGCGGATGTCGTTTGGGAAAAAAAGATTCGCAGCCAAGTGCATGATGGGTATGATCTTGCTGCGCTATGTTGTTTCACATTCATGCCTTGCACGATCTTAACCCCTGGAATTGTCTTATTTAAATGTGTCAAATAGTGCGAGTGGCACATTTAAATTAGGACTGCAGTCGACGCTCAACACAGTCGGACATTGTCTGGAAAATGGACAAGGGAATTTTTATGTTTTCCATAAACTTACCGGAGTAACTGTAGAATAACCCGCCACGCGAAAATTACCCCCTAAAAATAAATGGCTACGCAGTGCAGAAATGTCCAAAGTACATCATGTACATCGGGAAGTGGATACGCAGATACAATATACAGTGCTGGAGGCTTTAAAGAGGGTGCTATTTCCCTGTAATAAGAAATGAGGCCAGCAGGTACTCCTAGAACTTAGCCCTGGTGGATTGCAATGAAGACTTCGTCCAACCTGGGCTATCCTAGAACTATGAGTATGAGGCTCCACGTAGTGGAGCCTCAAAGATTTAGAACCCCGCAAAATTGTTTTCAGCACAAAACACTAATTAAGTACAAAAACGTCCACCAAAATGCAGCAATTTCCCACAGAACCGCTGCACAGTTTGCCCCCAAACTCCGTACTACACCTCATGACATACTCACAAAATATGCGCAGAACAAACATCGCTGGATTTTGTCTTTTTTTTGCTAAAAATGATGAAAAATATGCCCTTTCCGCACTGAGCCAACCCGACACTTGAAACGTGCACGCATATGATCGAGCGATGATTTTTGGTTCGCTCGGCGCGCGCCGCGGGGGGGGGTACGGTACAAGCGAAATGATAGTATGCGCATGCGTACAAGTGCAAGTAGGCCCGGCCCGGTCCTCGCGGCCGGGCGAGCCGGGGCGCACCGGCCCGACGCGCCGGCCACCGGATCGGAGCGCCCTCTGTACATCGAGTATGCCCGCGCCGCGCCTGTGATCGGTCTTACCACAGATTTGTGAAACTTTTCCTGATCCACATGTATTCATTTCCATTAAGTCGAGCAGTCTCAACGGTCGAGTTGTCCCGAGACGAGTTGTCTCAACGGTCGACCTGTCTCAACGGTCGAGTTGTCTCAACGGTCGACTTGTCCCGAGTCGAGTTGTCTCAACGGTCGACTTGTCTGACATTCCGGGCAACGACCTGATGACGGGGTGGAGGAAGGAACACAAACAGGCGTGCGTGCACGCGTGTGGTTTGGTTGAGCACCAAGGGTGACTCCGTACTGCCGTATCCGCGTATCCGGATACGAGGTGGGATAGGTGAGTGGTGGGGTATTCTGCAATTGTGTCAACTTACCATTACTAAACTCCGTTTTCGCACAAATAGTACGATAAACTTCAAATTCAATTAACTTCTAATTCTCGTCACCGGTCCGCCGCCGACAAACCCGAAAATGTCCGGTAGCCTGGTTACCGGTAGTCTGCAACTCTTAATCTTCATTATAGTACGCGCACTTGAGGGTAATGGAAACTAGACGACATGCTGCCCACGTGATTTAGCGCCCTCTAGCTCTCTGTGGATCAAAATTGGCGGTGAAACTTGAAACGGAATGGGCGACTGAGTGATAAAAAAGGACCAAAAAACTTCAAACTGTATTTACTAATTGTTCCATTATTACTGCAGAGATTGGACCAAAGTAAACAGATCAACTTTGGAGTTTTGAAAACTTCAGGGAAATTTCATTTTCTACATCCTGCCAACCAAAAGGTCCGAATAATTTCAAGAAACTGGTACCGGTACTCAAAACACCCGTCCCACTTGCAAGGACCCCCCCCCCCCCGAAAAAAATCCAACCAAACAAACAGACAACCCAACAAACAAACAATGTGCAATCATCACAAGGATATAATATTTACAGCGATATGGAATATTTTATTGCTTCACAAACCATTGCTTATGGTCACCAATCAACATTAAATTGAAAAATGAGCATGGCATTCTCGAGGACCTCGGTCTGTTGATCAAACTGTAATTAATTAAAGATAAGATGGCCTGCTTGAAAACCTTTGGCTTGCTCAGCTGAATGAGCCGAAAATATTTGATTTTTGTTAAAAACCTTATAAGCACTCTCAAAGCAGAATAACCTGCAGATTAATCACTCAAAATCAAATACATTTTTGGTAGTATCGCTAAAATACCATCAATAGATTTGTTCGTTGATTCACTACACTTCAATTGATTTTTATGTGGGTTGATTTACAATTTTTTTTTTTTTTTTAATTGTCTTAGATCAATAAAGTACTTTGTTTTGAGCATATCAAAAAAAGAGGTTTTTGTTTTTTTGGTCCTTACTTATTCAACCATTTCGCGTTTCAATCCTCCTGAAACAGTGTGAAGTTATTATTTTTTTTGCTCTCCCATCTATACATATGTATTTTCTTTGAAGTGATCTGATGAACTATTTTTCCAGGTTACACATACAACAGGTGTTTTATTTTGAAAAAAAAAATATAAGAAGGGTTCAAATACAAAAGAAGTTATATATATATCAGCTTGGGTAATTTGTATTCATTTTTAACACACACAGAGTATTAGGCCCCCCCAAAAATAGTTCTGCTTCTGGTTTCCCTACCACCCTATTCTGACAGCCCCTACCCTAATTTTTCTATTGGAAAAATGAGGAAAAGAACACCCGAAACCATCAATTTATACCTTTTACCCTTGACTACACGCAGACGCTTCCATATGGTTGTACACAAAAGAAATTGCCCCCCCCCCAAAAAAATTCCCTACCTACCTGCCCCTATTTTCGAATGCCACGTAATCGGAAGCAGAACTATTTTTTTTTTGGCCTTAGGTTTATTTACACCATGAATAAAAATAGAATTCAACGACTCCAAAAAATAGACCTATAAAAGCCAAGACTTATTGCATAACACTTTTGCATCTGAACCCTGTACATTGTATGTACAATATTTCAAGCTTATTTATGTCAATACTGCAGATCAAAGGAGTGTCATCTACCTTGTTCAGTTTGAGGTCAAGCGAAACGATTGGGCCTTGACCTGCACCGTTACAAGGCATCTCTCCATATTGCTGTCCATGTATTAACAATAACAGCTTTAATATTTTTATCTGCCAGTATCCAATATATACATATCAACCTCGTTATCATTTACATTTTCATTTCATAAACTAAATTACTTTTGTGACCTGGCATGGTCATTGATTTTGTACACACACAGAATGGCAGTTTTGAACAATGCTCATGAATCCATTTGAAGCACTTACCAAATCGGCAGAAAGGTAATGTAATGAATCCACATGCCAAATTAATGGAGTAGAACGATTATTAAAAATGCCCTGTGCATAATTGCACATAGGAGCACATCCAACAATAAACTGTTTTAAAGCAAATACTTAATTGCAATTTTCTACGTACTTCTAACTACAGCTCATGGCATTAACATGGGAATCATACCAAGTATTGTGCTTTGAAAATACCCGTGTAAATAGCCATAAAGAGAGTTTCAAGCAATGCACCTCACCAACTATAATGATACCACATCCGGTGTATATACAATATTAACACTATACAACCTAACAATATCAACACTAAACAACTTGGAGAGATGTTTCAATTGAAATGAGTATGTTAATACATTTTTTTCTACAAGACCTAAGCTGGAATCCAGTTGCCTAAGCCCCACTCCCTAGATACATGTAAGGATAGTTGTGATGCAAGACGTAAGCACCAGTAATGGGCACAACAAACTGAGCAGACATATCTTGTACAGATACCTCACTGTCAAGCAAAATTTGGCCCTTCGAAGTTTTAGGAATGTACCCTAGAAAATATTACAGACAAATACTGGAATGATGGAACATTCCCAGTGTATTACAAGCAATACAAAAATACAAAAGTGTCACATTTCTGGAAAGCATATTTCAAAGACGTGGGGGGAAAAATGCATATAACTTGGTTTAAACATCGAGAATCTCTATGGTTTTAATCTTGTTTAAAAAAACGATCAGAAGGGAAATTAAGTAATTTGCCATGAGTTGATTTTTTTTTATCAACTCGACCCAGTCACAACTCACAAACAGGTTCAAATTTAATCTGAAAAACAAGGCTGTCCTAACTGGAAAAAAAATGATTAATATCTAGCCAGGTATCACACTGAAACTCAATATAGTTGTAGCACATCTCAAAATGGACGGGAAATATCTTAAGTAGTCTTTTTAAAGTCAAGTATTACCCCAGTTTTTCAACTAAATGAAATAAACTATCTAAGTGATACTAAGTATAGGCAAAGAACAAAAGGCAATGCAAAGGCACCTCACTGAGAATTCAGAAAGCAAGTTCTGTAACCAGATAGTTACAGAGATTTCAGCAACTTGATAACATTCACATCCTTTTTATACGTACTATCTTACAACTTTAAATTTGAGTATTTCAGTAATGACACATTTTTTATCTCCAGCTGTTAACTTATTTACAAATCATTTTCATAAAGCTGCACAAAAATCCAAACTTTGCCAGCCTCTCTTTTCTTTTATTTTGGCTAGGCAACTTTTTTCCCCCTTGACTGGTATCTTTTTCTAAAATAAAGGCAAATAAGTAACTAAAATCCACTGCAGCTTTGTAGAACTTTTTTTGGCAAGGACATACAGGCCAATGCTGTAATTTCAGTGTTTGCAATAGACCATTATCGTGCTTCAACCATTTCAGTCATGTTCCCTGTCTCCAATAACAGTACTGAATGATACTGTTTTTGTGTAAAAAGGAACCAGACTATTTTTCCTTCATATCTCGCTTTGGTTACATTGATTTGAATGGGAAAAATCCAAATGCCCGCAACATGATAATGGTCTATTGTATTGCTATTAAAAATTGGAAGCGGGTCATTTTTCAACATTCATACAATGTCATTAGAAACAAATTTTCTACAAGATACATGTAGTTAACTAAAAATTTGAACAAGAACAATTTAATATTTAAAACTGATTACTATTTTAGTGAAGAAACTCTCAATCATTAACTGAGAATACATGTAGGCAATGGCAGCATGTACATGAAAGCATTCCAAGTTTCAATTGCTTCATAAATCGATCATATAATCCCTTATGTAAATCAAACTCAACTAGATGACTTTTTTTTATGGTCATCCTCTCTTTTTCCCAATGAAATTTTCTTAATTTTCATTACTTTGCTGAAAACTTGCATCAAAATCAGCCAAGCAATTAAGACAAGTCATTTCAACATTCTTTCTCTCCAAATATTACATAAAAAAACATAATCCACAAAAAAATTGTCCTTTACCCTAACCCTCAATGATCTTTTAAACAAACATGGAAAGTTTGAGGGATTTTGTAGGAATAAAAAGGGTATAGATCCTTCCCACTACCACTTCCTTTTAAGGCCTGATTCCCCTTTGCGACAGAATGTCGTCTATAATTTTCCTTGCTACATCAAACCTTTTGATCTCTTTCAATTTCTGGAGCACCTCTTCCATCGTAGGAGGCACTTCCTTTGTGGCCAGTGCTTCAAACACATCCTCAGCATCCTTGCATGACTTCAGTTCGTCATTACGATTAAGCCCCAATTCTTCACCCAGATCTTTGTAGCAAGTTGTCACTTTTGAGGCTTTGTCAGCAACTAACAACATCCGATTGACCTTTGTCCTGACCGGGTTGCTAAGGTCGTCCCATGACATGTCTAATTCAAGTAAAACACAAAACAAATTGGTTAAATAGAAAAAGCCTTGCAAGTTGTCCCTCAGGTACATGGCAAGGTGGACAATGTGTGAAGTTTCAATTCATGGAACAATAGTAAATGCATAGACAGGATTTCAGTGCTTTTCGTCTCTAAACACGATACGTACATTATGGATTTTGTCTCAATTTTTCAAGGACACTAATAAACATATCACACCATGGAAATTCAGTAGAATAATGACATCTTGTTCATTTATTTTTTTACAGTGCTGTGTTTTAGTCAAGTCCATTACAAGTCCTTTCATAAGTCCAGTCACGAGTATCGGGATGAAAAATGAATGCTTTTGTTACAGTTCCCTTGGATACCTTCTGACTTGAATTGAGACTACAGGACTTGTGATACAGTGGGATTTGTGGAGAAGTGGGATTTGTGAAAAATGTAAAAGTTTGTCAGCTTCATTTGAATTTTTGTAACCGCTTCGGGTTGACTGTTTAAAACCTTCAAAAATCAACTTGCAATTGGATCTTACCTCTTCCCAAACTGCAAGCTTTGTCAAATTTCTCAGCAAATGCCTTCTCCTTCTTCTTTGCATCATTCTTCAAACAAAATGAACAAAATAAACAAAACAATCGTTTGAATATTCTTGTCTGCACAATATTGCTTTAATAATCTACTGATCCTGTATGTTTCCACCTTTTCCAGGCAAATTTGAACTGTCCAATGAAGCCACTGCTCTCGAGACGTTGGCTGTAAAACTTGTTTACATCACAGGAGACAGGTTGCTGCAGCCTGTGATCTCTTCAGTCAATAAATGACGTGTCTATTACAGAACTTTGCATATCTGGTTTATTAATGTGACATCAGTTTATTTTAAACCATGCCCACTGGCCATTAAGTACCATTGGAATGTTGGAACCGGAAGCTAATGCAACTTTGAGCATTTATCCAATGGGCGCTAGTTATCAGGCTTTAAGGCGCGCGTGTATGACGTTTTTACTAACGAACCGGATATATACAAATGAGTAAACTCTAAAACCCACAAACAGGTCCATCACAGTCCATAATTAAAGCTATAGTCCATCATTTGCAGCCATCCGAAAAGTAACTGACGTAATTATTGTTTTGAAAGATAGCAAGGGAACTAAACTCCCTGTGAAATTATTCCTTCTGGGAAGCTGTCATTTTGAAGTTATCAATGAAAGAAGGCATTTCCAACGGTGATTCTTAAGAAGCACCGTAGGAAAATTTAAATTAGTAGTTCGTTTTGTTATTCAGCGCAGCGCAGCGCGCACAAGTATTGGAAGGACGCACACGCGCGTGCGGTTGTTATAATTCGTCGGATCAGTGCGCTACGTTGCGTATGGCTGCAATTCAAAACAATTCAAAACATAATTCAGTAACTTTTGATTTGAAATTGAGATCTTAGAATGCTGTTTTTCTCGATATGTACAGCTGAAGCTTAGCTGAACTGCATCAGGTTAGCCTGTTCAGTATCCTTCATTAGATTTTGAACCCTTTTGTTGCTTCAAACGAACAAAATGCACAAATTACAAATGATGGACTATAGCTTTAAGCTTCAGTTTATTCTAATTTATAATTAAGCTTTTATTGATTCTACACACCTTAAAAGACTGCACATACATAAGACGACAGTGAAAGATTGTAAACTTGAATATCAACAGACAATCCAACCAAATACCTCATATTGTCTAAACTGAAAGATGGTATCTGTCGCATCCGAATACAATATAATTTAATTTTAGTTGCTGGATAGGATTGCTTATCCTAAGATAGCAGGCAGTGGGTACATTAAAGGGGAGTAGGGTTGGGGTTACAGTGTTTGCTTGAAATATTGGGGGGATATTTAAAGAAATTCCACAATCAAACAAACTGTATCAAGAAACGAGAGAAAACAACACTGTAAAATATTCGATCAATTTCTTATGTAAAAAAAAAGGTGAAATATAGTCAGACATAACAGAAACACACATGTACGTGTAATACGGAAAAGATATGTGTACACCCACCTTAATGCATTTATCCCGTACTTTGGAAGGCAGTGCCAGTATTACAGGCCTACCGGTATTTCTCTGTTTTTCAATTATTTTTTGGCTTTCCTTCTCATCTGCTGGTTGAGAAATACTGCGTCGAAATGACGGGCCAGTTTTCACCGTTGATGAAATCTTGTCCATTCTCTGCTGTAACTTTTTACTGTCTTGTCTGGCGAAGGGGGGTCTGTTTGGCACACTGGGTTAAATACAAAACAGATCCAAAGAACGATGAGTAACACTGCCGAAAAAAAAAAAACCATTTTGGGATATAGAGTATTTATCACGTACTGGTTTAAATATCTGGAAATGCAACACCCACCCCTGGTGGTATGTAAATATAAAGTTACCAGGACAATAAAATATTTTTGGGTAACCAATGCACCGTCCTAGTTAATTTTCAATGATAACTTGCTCAGATGTATTGGACATTTTAACTTTGAATTCTCTAGACCAACGACAGTGTTGCTGTATCACAGTATTGTGGGTAGGCCCTTAGTGATACCCAGCACCAATTATTCACAGCGGGTCAATGTTATTATTTATGGTTATTTTTGAGTTGGAGTATGCATTCAGTAAGAGGGATTTGATTTGTAAATGCCAAACTGTCAGTCGCGTGCTTGTTTTTGGTAAACGATTTTGAACATTTCCTATTTCTTTGCTTACAATTCTAATGCTTTGCCCTAACGCAGTTCAGTCCAGTGGGCACGTGTGGTCTAGCAGCAGAACACAGGCCTCATGATCTTGAGATTGTGGGTTTGAGCCCCACCGTGGCCATGCGTGTTGTGCCCTTGAGTAAGGCGCTTCACCTCTATTAGTCTGATCAACCCAGGTGTTAAATGGGTACCGGCATTGTAAAAAGCGGATGGGTACAAAGTCTATGGAGAGTCAAGAAAATTTTCTAATTATTTCCTAACAATATTGGAAATGTTTACCAGTCCCAGATTCATGTCTTAGTTATCATCATTTTTGCAATGACTGACCTTCATTGAGACAATAATGCTGGGAAGGTAACAGACTCGCTGTGGAGGAGGTGTGGTGATCCCCCCACAGCAGCATTTCATGGACTCAAGTCTGGCCCAATCGCTTCAAAAGGTTCGTCCCCCTTTACTCTGGATATTTTCTTAATTAAAAAATCTTCTCAACTTACGCACCTCAGGCTTTCCTCTTCTATGGTAGTCATGATGCGAGGAGAGACATTTCCATCCGTAGAATCACTCTCAATGACTGTACCCTGCACGGCATCTCCATTCTCACCAGCGTCCTGTGCATTATCGGTGCTCTCCCTGTGTACCACTGCAGAAGTCATTGCATTCTCCTCAGGACCTGGTGGTGTAACCCCGTTGGCAAGGTTCTTCACGAGGGGACTTGGATCATCACCGCCAGCCAGTGCTCGTTGTTTTGGAGCAGAATACTGCACAACCCCATTGGCAATGTCAAGTACTTCTGGAGTGGGTGCCTCATTTGCCAGACGGGGTTCACCATTGCCTGTGGTATCTGCAGCGATGTCTCCTCCACCATGTGCTAGTGTTTGTTTCTCCTCCGGAGTTCCAGTCTCAGTTATGTTGGATACTCCTAGATTGCCAAAAGGAAACTCCAGGTGACAAGTGACAGATTACAGCCACTGTTGAAGTCTACACAAGCCTATATGCCACTATATAATATGTTGTCTAACTGTAGTTTAACTGGTATGTTTATCACTCATGAGTGCAAATGAAAAAAAAAAAGTCTCTTACAGCAAACTGGGGGAGTGTGGTTCAAGTCCTTGGGCATGCCACTTTATCCCACTTACCTCTCTCCACCCAGGAGTATAAATGGGTACCAGCATTAGCTGGGGAGTAACCTGCGATGGACTAGCATCCTGCCCAGGGGGAATAGAAATATTCTCAGTCGTTTCATGCCACTGAAACCGGAGACAATAGCTGGCCTGATGAGCCTCTGCAGGCCTTCTCAAATTCTAAACAATTCTCTGAGTGAACATCAAGACTTCAAAATGGACAACTCTTACCTGGTGGCTTTTGGCGCTGTTCACATTTTTTTCTATACAAGAATACTGCCAGCGATATCACACACAAGAGCAAGGCACAGGCAACTACTATTGCCGCAATCCCTCCAGCCGATAAAGATAAAATTCCTGTAAAAAAGAGAAAAATCACAACATGATATAAACCGTGTTCCAAAAGGAATTCAGCAAATTTTAATAGAACTTAACGACAAGTGCCTTTCACTACATTCCAAAGGCAGTCAGTGGATTGCAGGATTACTGTTTTACATGGCATGCAAAAACATATCTGTATTTTCACTGGCAGGTTGGGAAATAAAATGTCTCTTTTAAAAAAAAAAAACTCAGATGCTGGTTGAGTTTTCAATTTCTAAGATTTGAACTGTACTTTGGGAGACTTTTGGTGGCAGCAAACACACCGGTCCTTTTCTATTGTTGACGTCATTTGAAACATTCGCACATAAAACATGATGTAAACAACTGAAAAGGACTGATGTGTTTGCTGCTACCATGTGGCGCCTCAAATGTCTCCTATTGTTTACACTTTGATTACCTTGTGATTTTTGTGGCTGAAGACTTGCTAGACCCTAACACTAATCCCCTAAGCCCCTTTTTGCTAGGAACCATCCTTTATCCTCCAAAATCCTCCCAAATGTTTGCACTTATGTTCAAATGAAGGATACCCACTGCCTCGTAGCTAGTCCTTCAAAATCATGTACTGCCCTGACTCTTCTTCAAACACTTTCAGCCTCAATCTTTCAAAATCAATCGATACCGAATGTCCACGTGCCCTCAAACCGCCACAATCTTCCAAATTTGTAAGTTGCATTCATCCTCAATTCTCCAATATCCTCCAAAACCACCTGGAGGACTATGGAGGATTGAGGATAGGAAGAACACAGGACTTACCAGGTTCAACAGTGGTACTGTTTAGTGATGTAGTCCCGGAATCCGCAATAGTAGTGTCTACATGTACGTCTGTCACCAGGTCTGTTACATGTGGTGTACTATTTCCATCTTCACTAAATGTGGAGGAAGGCTGTGTCGGTGTGGGTGGGGAGGTTTCTGTGATGGGTTGTGGGGTGGTAGGACATTCCGCGGGCTTTTCGGCATCGCTCAGGTCTTCACATCGACTGCACAGCTGTTTGGAACCAGGATGGCGGCCATACCTGTATATCATTAAGAATGGAAGACAGAAACAGCAAATAAATTTACCGTCAAGCTTCTTTTCTGGATGCTATTGGATTGGGGCTGCAGATTCCCATATTATGTGCTTTTTGTTTGTTGCCGTCTCTAAAATATTTTCTGTCGTTGCATCATTAGCGTTTTTCAAGGAAACGGACATTTTTGTTCCCCTGATGAACTTGAAAAAGGTTTATGACTTTTCCTGGTTTGGCTTTGCCATGCCATGCCATTGCCACACAGGTTAGGCACCAACAGTGAGATCATATCTCAAGAAAGCACTGTGCCTATAAATTCAGTCAACAGACGAAAGCAGACGAGTTGTAGGCACAGCTGGCTTAACAATCACCTACAGTGAATGCATAGCTGTATCAAGTTACATAAACAGTCTCAGCCAGTCAATCCTGCTTTATGTAGGCTGGGAGCTCTTAACTGTTGAAAACAGTCACTTGATTGATTTTGACTGCAAGGACAACTTGGCACATAATGTATGTTTGCATAGGAGGGATAAGCTCCGCACGTCCCCGACTGGAGACAATGAATTGAAGTCTGCTTGAATCAATTATTTAGTGACCTGATGACGATGTTTGTGCTTGAAACAGATAGTTCTGTGTTGGTGCCAGCAAATGTATACGTCTTAGGAGCTGTGTTAAGCAAAGATGTTCTAAAAAGCAAACAAAATCTAAATACAATTTGTCCCTGGACTGCTGAGATTAGGCGAACCATACCCAGATTTGCAGGCACCACAAATAGCGTTGTGGGTCTTGTTGCAGTTGGCAATCACTACGGCGTTGTCATCACACAGTTGGCAGGGCTTGCATGGGCCTGTGGCTGATTCTTCATCCTGGAAGGTTATACCTTCCAGGCAGATCACACATGCTGCCCTCTCTCCCAGTCCGTACCCACATTGCCCCTGTAACAAACAAAGGAACAAGTAGGTAACCCTAAAATGGCCAGGACTGTCTTTGTCAATTTTGTTTCTGTTTGAAAAAGTGTTAGTATTGCATGTATAGGAAAAAGCAATCATTCATGGTCAAAAGTGTGGAACATTAATCATCATAACTGCACAACTCCTAGTCTGATTGAGCTAATACTTTCCAAATTTACTTAGCATGATAGTCTCTACTAGCACAACAGATTTCATAGAAATCGGTCCTTGCATTTTCGATAATCAAATGGGGGTCCGCATATTGCAACAGTTGATTGTGTAATCACAGCTGTGATTGGTCAAAACATCCTGGGGAGGAGCTTAGTTGGCTAGTCAATAGAAACGAGAAGTCCATTGGCGTGATACTCACGTGATCTGACCCATACCCTAGAGGGCACTTGATGCACGTGTTGCACCTTTCTCCATCCCAGTATGCGTCAGGTTCTTGGCAATCCGGTGGATAGGAATTACTTGCTTGCCCTGCCAGCTGGGTCGGCCGCCCATCAACCACAGCCTGGGCGACAAAAAAAAAGAGGAAAAAAAGGAAGAACTCGGGTCTTTGTGGAATTAAAAAAGGTTTGACATTTGTGTGTGTGATGAATTACGAGCAAAGAGGCACAATCCTTTTCCGAACGTTTCTCATTATTGGATAGGTTTTGTTCAAATTACATCAGCGAAGGAGAAAAATCTCTCCTAATATAAAACACTTCCTAACATAAAATTTCATCATATACTTTTAAAATTTACATCTCCTGTACTGAGACAAAATTCCATTACAGATGAAAATATCGGTATGTCGTATACAATACACTGTAAGGCAAAGTCTCCATCCTTACCAGCAGGCCTACTGCTACTATTACACATCTCTCGGCCACAGAGCTCATCTTCAAGGCAACAATCTTTCCTGTGGGTCAACAGCGTGAACAGACAAAAGAAGAAATAGTTGTTTTTAAAAGTCAGTATGGATTTATGACCTTCACTTTTTGTTCTCACTCTCTGTGTGTACATTTCATTAATTAATTAAGGCGATGCCCTTTATTTAAAAAAAAATACAAAATACAACTCTTTTTTTTTCGTGCTCCATTTTTACACATGTACACAGAACCAAACACTCCCATGGAAATAAAGTAAAATTTACAAAAACTCTTTTACTCTTTTTTTGTTGTGATTTTTTGACTGATTGTTCGACTGATTTTTTGTGATTTTGAGGCATTTTAAAGAAGTGACTTGAGTCGAGTCATTAGGTCAAAAAGGTCCAGTCGAGCCAGGTCACAGTGTGTAGTCGATGCGAGTCGAGTGCATCAAATATTTGGCTTGAGTGGAGACAAATATTTAGTTTGAGTCAATTGGAGTCAGGAATATTTGAACTCTATATCACAAATAAAGACAAGAGAAACAGTCATAACAGTTTACAAGAGGAGAAACTTCAGTCTTATCTGGTAGGGCTTCGGGTCTAGCATTTTTTTGCTGATCGCTGACAACATCAAAACCAAATTGTATTCTATACAAAACTGTTTCTGATCAATTATTGAAAAGTGGGTATGTATCTATTTAATTTTTAATTTTTAATTTTTAATTAAATGGAGGGCATAAATTTAGCCTGCATTTAAATCCACGAGCTTAATTAGAATTCTGCCCCTCCCCCCAAGATCTCGGCCATAGAGTGACCAAAAATGTGGAAACTCGATACATGCATAGAGTAACTCATCATGAACATACCCAAGAAATTTCATGACTATAGGTCAAAGGGTTTGGGAATTATGGCTAATTAATTATTCCTATGTACGAATGGCAATTCTGCTCTGTGTACACGACGTATATGAAAAAAATTCAGTTTTCACAGTGCAAAGCGCTGGGAAATTTGTATGTTTTTGATATCAAAAGATGCACAAGGCTCGAGGCTAAAAAGTCATAACAGCTTTGATCGCGAAAAAGATTTTTTTTAAAGGCTATTGCGGAAAAATTTGAGGGGGGGGGGGGCGGATTCCATCCCCCAGAGAGAAGCCTTCTAATTCTAGAACTAGCTAGAGCCTAGTCCTAGAGGGAGGAAAGGGAGTCCACCTGGGCTAGCTAGACCCTAAACTAGAAGTTAGAACTTCTTTTTTGACATTTTGGATTTGGTCTGTCGCATAGTAGTAGTACGACAGACCAATAAAACAGATAAATATGGATGAGCTGGTCAAAAAGCTCATTACAAAATCTAATCACCACCGCCACACTGAACTATGCGTTTAAAACCATCACACAAGAAGGGACACTGCACACATAGACTAGTCATGACTAGTATAAATGACACACGTGGTGTTGTTTTTTATTCCCGCATACATTTATGAACTAGGCCTAGGCCTTCTCGTGGTTTGTTTGGGAATAAAAACATGACATCAAATACACAACCCACACATATATTGTGTAACAATTCAAAGTTATAAAAAAGGAAAAATGACTCACTTTCGCACCTTCCTTCAGCAGCGGCGCACACAGAGAAAAAAGAAGCTTCTAGATTTTATTTCTGTCATGTCATTATACATGTTGTCATACTTATTGCGCAATACTACTACTTACTACTTCCAACGTTCGCGAACTTCCAACGTGGAAGCATAGATATAGAATAAAAAGACGTGGAAGTGCAATTTTGTAGCCTTGACCAAGGCTATCAGTTTGCCTATACGAGCTCGTTCCCGCTACCGCACACCGCGCGCGCCGCGCCGCGACACATCACAAGTTGTACTATACCGTTAGCCCCAACGACCCTTGCGTGTGCTTTGTGTGCATGCACTTACGCCCCCCACACACTTCCGCGAACAGCCGTACAGTAAGTCGAGGCGAACCACTGATGCCAACCTCGTGCCCCGTGGGTACGATCTTGCAGCGCCATGTTGTTTCCCATCATGCGTTGCGCGATCGTAACCCCTGGAATTGTGTAATTTAAATATACCAAAATACGGTATATTATAATTAGGGCTGCAGTTTATCCGTTTTACGTGCCGACGCCATCTTTAAAATGTTAAAAGTTGTGATTTTGAAGAATCAATCCTTTCAAACACAACATTTGGACGTTGTGTTAATTAGCAAAGATTTGTATTAAATGTACGTACCCCTTTCGTGCCTTTACAACCACAGATACAGGGGTTTTTTTTAGCGAAAAACGCGGCTGACATAATCCATATCGTACAGGCATCGCGACTTTTGTATCATAATTTTTTTTTCGTACGTGACGTTACGTGCAAAACTAAGCACGCGAGCGCGAGCGCATTATGTACGGAAGCTTGAATTGCCTTCCGAGATACCGCGTTACCGCGATAATTTATCACAGAAATCAGGAAATCAAAGATAATTCCTTCCGCGATACCGCGTTACCGCGATAATTTATCACAAAAATCCAGAAATCAAAGATAAATCATTCAACGATGCCGCGTTACTGCGATAATTTATCACAGAAATCCAGAAATCAAAGATACCTATTCCGCGATACCGCGTTACCGCGATAATTTATCACAGAAATCCTGAATTCAGAGATAATTCCTTCCGCGATACCGCGTTACTGTGATAATTTATCACAGAAATCCAGAAATCAGAGATAATTCCTTCCGCGATACCGCGTTACTGTGATAATTTATCACAGAAATCCGGAATTCAAAGATAATTCCTTCCTTGATACCGCGTTACCGCGATAATCATCACAGAAATCCGGAATTCAAAGACAAATCGGTAACGAGGAAGGAATTATCTTTGAATTCCGGATTTCTGTGCTAAATTATCGCAGTAACGCGGTATCGCGGACGGAATTATCTCTGATTTCTGGATTTCTGTGATAAATTATCACAGTAACGCGGTATCGCGGACGGAATTATCTCTGATTTCTGGATTGCTGTGATAAATTATCGCAGTAACGCGGTATCGTTGAATGATTTATCTTTGATTTCTGGATTTCTGTGCTAAATTATCACAGTAACGCGGTATCGAGGAAAAGGTATCTCTGATTTCTGGATTTCTGTGATAAATTATCACAGTAACGCGGTATCGCGGAAGAAATTATCTCTGATTTCTGGATTTCTGTGATAAATTATCACAGTAACGCGGTATCGTTGAATGATTTATCTTTGATTTCACGATTTCTGTGATAAATTATCGCAGTAACGCGGTATCGCGGAAGGAATTATCTCTGATTTCCTGATTTCTGCGATAAATTATCGCGGTAAAGCCCGGTTCATACTTCACGCGAAAGCGAAAGCGAAGCGAAAATCGAGACGTCAACAATACATTCGAAGCGCGTCCACCATTGTTGACGACAAGAATTTCGCTTCGCACAAGCTTTCGCGTGAAGTATGAACCGGGCTTTATAACGCGGTATCTCGGAAGGCAATTCAAGCTTCCGTAATTATGGGCGCGCCCGGCGTGCAATCTTCGAAATGCCCGCGCATCATCATCTCTCATCTAGGCGCTTGCGTCAAGTTGATCTGACATCGCGCACTCTGTAAGTGTTCTCCACTGTTCTCTGTCTGATGCCACGTGCCACGTGCATCGATCCTTGATGTTGACCCCCGTGGTTGTCAGGTCCTTGTTTACTCTCTTCAGCCACGTGGTTCGTTGTCCCCCTATTGGTAGCTTGTTCTTGCGGATTGCGTCTAGAAGTGCTTGCTTGGCAGGAGCTTCCTCGGGTAGTCTCAGGAGATGGCCTGTCCACCTAAGACGTCTTCGGGTGATGGCAGTACTCCAAGGGATCTCGTTGGTTCTCCTGTACAGTTCTTTATTGGTGATCTTCTTGGGCCATTTTATATTAAGGATTGAACGCAAGAGTCTTCTGTGAAATGCATCAAATGTTCTCTTCTAGTGACTTAGTAAATGTCCATAGTTCGCTGTTGTATAGGAATACAGATGCTATGAAGGCGCGGAATGTTTTGAGTTTCGTGTTGTTTGAGATTGCATCACTGTTGAAGACATTCCTGAAAAGTATTTTCCTCCTGGTAATATCTTGCTCAGTGTCGAGAAAAGAACCCAAGTATTTGCATTTCTTCCAACTGGTGTTGCTTCCGTTTCTACTGATGTGGTGTTTCTCTGTCTTAGACGTGTTTACTGTGAGGTTTCCCCCCTTTAGTACCTCAGGTGCCTTCCTCAGTTGCTATCGGGTGGATATTGTTACTTGCCCAAGTGATGTCATCAGCATACTGTAATCCCATCTCAAAGTATGCTGGCGGGCAAATGGCGTAGCTGTGGTTCTCGAGTTCCACAGGAAGGGATTGGGACTGTGTCTGCTTGCAGTATAATTGTGATCCTGAAGAGTGAATGGTGTCTCGGGTGTTTCCGGGTCAAGTTGTCTCAGTGCTTTTGCCAGGTATAGAGTGAAGAGAATGGGACTGAGGCAGTCTCCTTGAGGCACGCCGATGTTGGTTTTGTAGGGCTTACCCAAGATAGTTCCCACCAGGCGCGGTTCTACGGGGGGGCTGGGGGGGGGGGGCTGTAGCCCCCCAAAAATTTTGTCTAGCCCCCCAAAATAAATTCCTTAAAAAAAAAAAATTGCATTAGCAAAAAGAAGGATTGTGATGTACATGCGAACGGTCTCCCCCTGAAGAAGAAATAGCCGTGACAAGGGTGCATTAGTTAATATAGTGTGAATGATTTTAGGATCTTATTGGCGCTCCCCATTGAAAATATGGCAGGAGCCCCCCCCCCCCCCCCCCCCCCCCCCAACCTATTGATTTTCGGAGGCCTAAGTGTCTGGAAAAAATAACCGGTCAACATTTCAGCACGCCTCCCTGAAAAAAATGCTGGATCCACCGTGCTAGCCCCCCCAAAATATTGGTTCTAGAACCGCGCCTGGTTCCCACTCTGACTTGCAATCGAACGTCTCTAAGCAAGATTGCCAGTAAGTGGAGTTCGTCTTGCTCTAGTATCTCTTTAAGATCCTCAAAGAGAACCACTCTCCTCACCGAGTCAAAAGCCTTTGACATGTCGAGCAGCAGTAGGTGAAGTTCATAGCTATCGTCATTTACGTCATCATCACAGCCAGGGGTTAGTGTAAGGAACGAGCACGCGCCCCTGGAGTCGAGGCTGCACTGATGCGAACGCCTCGACTTACTCTGTACGGCTGTTCGCGGAAGTGTGTGTGGGGCGTAAGTACATGCACACAAAGCACACGCAAGGGTCGTTGGGGCTAACGGTATAGTACAACTTGCGGTTGCGTCGCGGCGCGCGGTAGCGGGAACAAGCTCGTATGGGAACAAGTGATAGCCTTGGTCAAGGCTAACTTGGAAGGTATCATTTTTACTTTAGGTATATCAGGACCAAACCAAGATATATTAACCACTCAAAATCCCAAGATGTTGAGGGGTTTGTTAAATCCAATCATTTTAAAAAATATTTTGATCGACTTAAGCCGGATGAGTTTGGATATGTTTTCTTTTTGCGTGATAATTTTAATAATTTTGTTGAACACCCTTTTTCCAAAATGGACGTAACTTAAGTAAAAGATACAGAAAATGGCGATACTGCCATGCGCGCGCTGGGCCGAATCAGCTGGGGTTTTTTTGACAGACGGACCTGCGCTTATAGTGTACGTATAGCTCCATGGTACAATGTACATTGTATATTGTACAACTTTGTAGCACATCATGCATGTACCAAAAATATTTAAATGAATTAGTGCAAAACTAAAGGAGTTGAAATAGTCCATTCCCATGCAGTTTGTCCACAGATTAGCACACGGTCACCTCATGATACTCTATCGAGAAACCTAAGACACCTAATAAATTGATAAATACATATGTTAACGTATAGAATAAATTATCCGAAAATATCCCTTGCCTCAAATGGGGGATTGAAATATGGAAATTTGATCAGTTTTCCTCTCCCTCCTTTTTCCACGGGCGGAGCAAGGTGCATTTGTATGGGGCAGGGTAAATATTTATTGAAAGGGCACTAGCATATCCGTGCTGACTTGGCCTCTATGAAATCAAATGGGGGGGGGGGGGGGGGGTGTACCATCTGTCAATGAGGACGCTGTATGTTCAAAGTGGACGATCATACACACTATCGGACAATATATGAGTTTTTCAGGGAGGTACACGGGCGAAATTCCTCCAAAAGGCACTTGTTACAGCCGCTAGCTAAACAAGGGCACTTGTGTAAAGAAAAAAGGCACTCTTTCAAAATATGGGGGGGGGGGGGGGGGGGGGGTTAACACTTTCGAAAAAAGACACTTGAAAGGAAAAGGGCAGTCTTTACACAATATTGGGGGGGGGGGGAGTAAAAACCTGACCCCACCCCGCTGGCTACGCTACCGTTTTCGTGTCTTTTTTGTCCCCTCCCCCTCAGTTTACTTCCAGGCAACAGTAAATTAGTTTGACTTTTGTTGTCCCTGACTCGCCTAGTATTGATTTTTTTAAAAACCATTTTAAACATGAGGGTTTTTTGTGTCCTCCTGCTGATTGAATTCTCATACTTGCATGCTCCCCTCAATTACTCATACACTCATTATTCAGGCATGTTTTTTACCAAATCGTAATTCGGCCTTGTCTATAGTTGCCCTGCTGTCATATCGTCTTTATTGTATAATAGCTTTTTTTCTTTATTTTGTCTGGTTATTTTTGTATTTGTAGTTTTTGGAGTTGTCTTGTACCTGTAATTTATAGTGTTCTTGTTTTTGTTTTGTGCTGTTGAGGTCCAAAAAATAATAATACTGATAATAATAATAAAACTTCCGGTCTACTATACGCCCCCCCCCCCCCATCAGAATATTATCGGAAGACTAAAGCAGGATGGACACACATCAACCTTTATATGAAAAGCCAAGCTGTTGAACATGGGGTTCTTTTTTCGGAACAAATTTCACTGTAACTACTTTACTGCAAAACAAAAAGGATAGAAGATACTATTTTTTCCACAGAAAAATCTCAGAACTCTTAAAGCGATGCATGACAGGTCAAGTTGTATGGGCGGAGTCGAATATATGCATATTAATATGCGCATACTATTTGCGCACTGACGTGAATCAGACAAGGCGGTGAAAATGGAAAGGATTTCCCGGCATCTTTTTGTGTTTGTGTGCGGTACGTCCTCGTACAGCGGGCCGGTGTGATTAGGTTTGTCGTTTAATTAGACATTTTCTGCATATGTGATGCCGTAATTGAAGAGAGTAAACATGTAATGCCAAGGTGAGCGGATCAATTTCAAGTTTTAACGATCTTTTGGTCGTAATCAGGAAATCGGATCATGTTTACGCGCGACGACATGACGAGCTAGCATGACAAGTTGTGCATGACGTGAAAAAAAACCCCACGTAAACACGTGTGTGACTTTGCCCGTGTTGGAGGAATAATTATGCCACGGGCCAAGGCCTAAAACAATACTGCTCTTTAGTTCTTAAACTATCCGTACTACTAGTTGGGTATTCTACGACCAGACTAACTGATTTGATCTAAGTAAAAAAGCACAATTTGTGGATAAAACAATAGCGAATGAAGCAATGACAGAATTAGCCCGACTGCGTCTGGCCGTACAGTACTATCGCAAGCTCTGTAGTACGGCCAGACGCCCGATGCTTCCACAGAGACTGAATTTTGTTGGCCGCCGATGTAGCGATTTTGCTACATCTTTCGATCGCGATTATCTTTTCATCCAGGACACAAATTTCCAAAGTTAAGGTTTTTAGTCGTAGAGCATCTCATACCTTTTCGAAAAAAACGTTATTTGGTCTCAATATTTTCATCCATCTGGCCACAAGACGAATTTCAGTCATCAGATTCCACAAATATCGTCCCCCATGCGATCCCCCATGCGATTTCAAAATGGCGGCCGCGCTGTAATGTATGCAATATGCAGGCGCGCCCGCGCAAACTCATGAATATGCATAAACAGTCTGTGACGTATGACCTCGTGTTTTTGGACGTGCGTGCGGCGGGGCCGTACTTCCAAAAACACGAGGTCATACGTCACAGACTGTTTATGCATATTCATGAGTTTGCGCGGGCGCGCCTGCATATTGCATACATTACAGCGCGGCCGCCATTTTGAAATCGCATGGGGGATCGCATGGGGGACGATATTTGTGAAATCTGATGACTGAAATTCGTCTTGTGGCCAGATGGATGAAAATATTGAGACCAAACAATGTTTTTTCGAAAAGGTATGAGTTGCTCTACGACTACGAACCTTAACTTTGGAAATTTGTGTCCTGGATGAAAAGATAATCGCGATCGAAAGATGTAGCAAAATCGCTACATCGGCGGCCAACAAAATTCAGTCTCTGTGGAAGCATCGGGCGTCTGGCCGTACTACAGAGCTTGCGATAGTACTGTACGGCCAGACGCAGTCGGGCTATGACAGAATCTGAAAGCGAAACATAGGCCTGCAAACTGTTCAAATGTCAAAACCTACTCCCCCTGGAAACTCATCATCATGTACATTTTCAATCTGGCTTTCATACACCATTTTTCATGGTCATTCATGTACATTACACTAGTAAACAGCCTGTTTGAATCAATCAGGTCAGGCTATTTATTTTTATTTAAATGAAAGTCTGACATCAATTTGGGAGAAATTTGCTAAATGAATGCCATTACAAATCGAAAAATACTGTACAAAGTCTTGTGTACGTGCTTTGGAGTTTCCTCGTTTTTTCCTTCTATATTCCCAGTTGCATGCCTGTACATTTGGTATGGGGAAGCAAGTTGGTTGGGGTGGGACCTTTCAATTGCCCCGCCTCCTTCCCTGTGGAAGATTTCCCCCTAAACAATGTAAAGCATGTGTTGTGCAAGTCCAAACATTTGGGACTATGATTAGTGAATGACACTATCTTACAGCATGGAGGAAAAAATAGATCTTTTTTTCTAAAAAAATAAAAATCCTCCAAGTTACAGCACAGATAGAAATATTAATGATGTAGGCCCATAACCTCTTGCCTTAAAACCCCAACGTCCTAGTACTAAAAGTTCCCCAGGACTACCTTGCTAAATCCAACAGAGTATGACGGTTACTCATATGAGTTTCCTGCTCAATCCAACACAGTCCCACACAATCTAACTTGCTAAATTATTGGGTACTTGAACATATAAAATGACTGGCCTGCTCAATCCAACAGAATCCAACTGTACCTTATTTTTCCGTTTCCTGCCAGATCCAACAGAGTAACTTGCTGTTGTTTGCCAGCACCCAACAGAATCTGACTCTGAATGTTTTCAGTTGCCTGCTGAATCCAACAGATTTCAACAGGATTATATACAAATTACAAGGGATTTACTGCTCAATCCAACAGTACCCAGGGGGTATATCTTTATCTGGATCCTGTTGGATTGAGCAGGGTTTGGGTTAAATTATCTTCTGATACCTGAAAACACCTAAACCATGAACCGTTTCACAGATAACGCCATCTTTGTGGTCATGTGGTGAAGCCAGGATATATCATCGAATAAGATGGTGGTATCTGTTAAACCTTGCTCTATGGTGAAACTGTGTATTGAGGGTGCAAGGTCAGCAGTTCAAATTGGATAACGCATAGAGCTAAGAATACAAGTAACATCATAAACGACACAAATTAATGACATTGTGCAAATGCATCGTGAAGCAAATTCAAGGCTTTATTCCCCCATAATGACACCCTTATTATGGCCCTCAACGTTAGATCTTAGATTTTACAGACATTTGGTGCACACAGCATATTGCCCCAAACTGTGTGGTACACGCTAGTATGCCATGTGCATTGTGCACACTTTGCTTCAGTGCACAGAAACAGGTGGCTAACACATCTAGGGCCTTGTAAAATTATGTCAATGTTTTCTCTGTTGCGGTTTAGTGGTTTGTCTCAAAGTGAGTCTGAATTGAGTGTTATGAAAACAAACAAAAAAGCTTATTCACATTCAGCCTAATTACTTAAGTTTGTTCATGAGCTAATTATAAGGGAATCATGTGACAAAAATTGAAGAGGGAGTAACACCAGCAAATGTAATAGCAACCTTTGATTGTAAACATGAAGATACTGGTACAGGACTTAAATAATATCTTGGTTTTTGTCAAAACATTCTTCCCATTGATTCCATTTTTATGTTTTGACTTGATTTGGGGTTATTAAAAATCTCCAGAGGTAAAGAAAACTGCAAGCAGCCATTTTGTGCAATGCATTGTGGGTGTCTGCGGAATATGCAAATTGCTCATGAATATTAATTTTTGTCTCATAAATATTCATAATATTAATCACATGTATATGAATAATTAATAAGCTAATAAATATGCACTTAATTGTTACAAACTTAAAGTTTGCCTTCTGTCACAATTAATTAATGTGGATGATAAGTATGATTATGAAGTATATATAAAATGTTCACTGGTATAATTCCCAAAAATTCCCTTTAAAAATCTTCGAATCTGTTTTGCCCTCAAAATTTGAGGAAATACACCAGAAAGAACTTCAGTGTGTAGCGTCGACATATTTTCCTGTTGTATGCTTAAACATTAGGGGATGCTGGTCGTTAGCTGTTTGTCAAGTTCAACAGTATACAGTGTACATGCACGTAGAGTGTATGCTGTGTGTGTGCATGATTCAGTATTAAGTAAACCAAGGTTTAAACGCCGCCTTTCGAGTTACTTCGAGTGTATAGCAAGGTCCTGTTTCTTCCCACAATGTTGACTTGAACAAACAAAAATATCAACTCACTGGTCATAAATGCAGTTACATTCCCATAATTAAGACACTTTTTCTTCCATTGTGACATGTACAGTACATGTACATGGCTCATTAAGGGTTAGAAAACAAAAGAACAATAGACCCACAAGGAAGTCTTTAGAAATCTATCTTCCTCGTTAGGGAAATGCTGTGGAGTTTGAGATTTCAATAAGAACAAAGGAAAACAAAACAAGGAAAACAGAGGTCTTCCCCACAAGTATCATGTAAAGCTGGGGGACTGTACGTGTGTACAGTGCATTCCAACATTTTACCAATCCACATTTCAAGTGATGAGTTTACGTTGTTTTGAACTGGTACAGCTGTTGACATTGCATAATTTTGGTCCGCAGAAGTTAAATCATTGCTGAATGTATCATTTGATTGACATTTGTATCTTCAGATTCAGTGAGCTTGGATAATCACCTTGGATCCTGCATCACTCGCCTGGCGGCAGGTTTCCATCTTGTCCTGTCAAGTAGATCATGAGCGCAGTGGCTGGTAGCCAATCCGCAAGAAAGGTATGTTAGGCCCCGCCTCTGTTGAATAATTCAGCGACCCCAATTAGAAGCACCACAAAGTTGAAACCATGCTCTCGCATGCAGGTCGTATGCACAAGCTCAATGCTCCAATAGTAGGTAAAGTTAAGTCTGTCATGAGCCAATATAGCCCATCAGGCCGGTGTTAATCTCCAGTTTCCTTGGCATGAAACAACTGAGGATGGATGAGGTTGCTGTCAATGTAGGTGAATTTTTAGTCTTTATTTTGGACGAGATGTTACTCATTTACCCGTTGCTCTTGTGCTGAGAGAAGAAATTCATGACAAACTATCTTGCTCAGGGACATAGAAACTGAGTCCGTGCACCAGACTAGAGGCCGGCCGAGACAATCGTATTGAATGTCTGGCTACATTTCCTGTCTTTCTTTACTGCATTGAACACAAGCGTTTGCTTTATGTTTGTTTCTTACAACGAAAGTCAGATTTAACAGTAAAGTTATTTCTCTTTTTGGCAGATGCCGACAGGTTCATCAAGAAGGTGAGTTAATTATGATCTTGACATCAAAACTTATTTTTGGATGAATGAACTAAACTGATTCCCTGGAAGAGATTACATCTTGATGAAGATCTTAAAATTGACTTCTGATGTAATTTTGGCGTTGGGGCAGTGTAAATGCTAACATCCGGGTGTAATGGTAGAGTAGATCATTTGCAGCTATCCAAAAGGTAAATGACCATATTATTGTTAAAAAGCTTAGGTGGTTTAAAGATAGTAATGGCACTAAAGTCCCTGGGAAATTCTTCCTTCTGGCATGCTGTCATTTTGAAGAAAACATTAAACAAAAGGTCATTTCCAATTTCTTAACCCCCCTCCCCCTGTACTGTATTTACAGGAAGGCTAGGGTGCCTCTGCACATCACCAGGCAAGCCATCATTGAAGATGGCCCAGCCATGGACAATGAAGACGAAGAGGATACGGGATTCCTGGATCCAGATATCCCAAGTACGAGCAGCAAGGCCATGTGCAACGGAATGGGCGTCGGTGAAGATAGTCCCAAGGTGGAGACCACCAAAGAGGAACCGGAACTTCCTGAGGGTAAGACCAAAACAATTTATTGATGAAATAGGGTGCCTCTGCACCATTGTTGACTTGCTGAAAAGCCTACTAATGACTTTTGTATGCACTCCAGAAATCTGCCAGATTCTACCATGTGGGCTCCGTGCACATGTACCCCCTCAATGATAAGGAAGGGAGAGGGGGAGACCACTTCGAGTGACTTTTGAAGGCAAACCCGACGACGCCTGACACTCACGCGAAAACGCTATGGCTTTGTGCACATTCGGATTTCAGAATATCATTAGTCCAGAGATGCCAACCATTACTCTTTTGGAGTAATTATTAGGATTTTGAGGCATGTTACTACTCTTGAAATTTCCAGCTGTCCTATACGCCAACATTGTGGTTACTCTGAAAAGTACTGTGGTTACTCTTAAACTTGACTGTTGTCCTATGTATTTACATTAGAATTACTCTTTGCAGGAAGAATCATTACTATTTTGTAGTCTGTAAAGTTCTCTGTTAATCCTGCGTGCTTTGCATCTGTAGTGTGCGCACGCGGTGTTATCTGGCCAAGGGGCTCTCGAATTGCACAAAAGAGCCCTCTCTTGTTCGCGCATGGAGCCCATGTGTCATGCTCGTTTGACTAAAACATGGACTTGACAACAACACTTGATGCCGTCATTTCATTAGTGTGGTTGGTTAACATTTTGTTATGGTATTACCCTGGCAGGTACGATTGTCGTCCAGCCTGAAGCCGTGCCCGATAACGAGAATGATTTTGAAGGGCCAGAGTTTAAAGCGAAAGGCAGAACCAGACGTAGTATACACAAAGGTAATGGACACGTTTGTTTCCAAAAACTCGACTAATTACTTTTCCTAATTTTTCTTAGTTTTTTTTACCTTGATCCTACTTTTCCTACTTTTTTCTTGAAATTCCTGCTTTTTCTTACTTATTTTTTTGTCCCACAACCGTGAAAAATAAAACCTCATGGAATATTTTTCATAACTTTGTTAACACTGTCATATGTAAATCACACAATGAAGGGCTTGGGTTCAGAGTTACTGTGGTAGCTTACAAGAGCTTAGTTGAGGATGGAACACAAGTGTTGTGAGTACAGAACATGCCAAATGTGGCTTATGATGCTGCGGACATGGGTGAATATCAATGAAAACTACTTCTGAAAGCCCGCAAAAGTCCTACTTTTATCCTTATTTTGTCCTCCAAAGTCCTACCTTTGTCCATTTTTTTAAAAAAGTTTTGATCCTACTGTTCTTACACTTTCATCTACCTTTTTCACCTGAAAGCCTGCTTTTGTCAATCTTGGGAGATGGAAAGAATGAGTTGGATTGTTATTTAGAATGTACTCCTTTAGCTTTTATAATAGGCCTCAATTTCTTACGGGTACGACATGAAGATCATAATAAATTAACGTGTCGAAGCTAAAATTTGTCTGAATGTTTATGTTTCCAGATGTCATCAGTGACATTAATCGAGTTCACTGCACGTCCTGTAATAACCAGGTCAACCATCTAGATACCAGGTCGTTCAAGTCGCACCCTGCCTTGAAGGTCGTCCTCTGTCGGGTAAGGTCATTGAACCCTTGTGACCCCTCCCCCTAGGATTGGACCCATTCTACTTGTCAATCAAACAGTGCGCATTGACCAGTTATATGGTGGAGTCCCCCAAACATGGCACACTTCAACGTTTCCCTGGACTTTCCTCATGCAGTGTTGCCACACCTCTTTGTTGACCAACTTCAAACGCATTCAGTGAAATACTGGTGCTTTTACGTAGAAACTCTTACTGTTGAACCTTTGTGAGCAATTTCAGTGTCGAGACATTTAGGCTGAAAATCAGAACTAGCGACGTCCGGAAATTGGGCACAAAATCAGCCAAGTGTTCCCAAACGTGGCGCACTTAACAAGTGTTAATAAGTGTTGGTGACCAAGGCAGCCGGTCACAAACACTGTGAGAAATGTACACAAACAAAATATGGCTGGGGTTTCTTGCCAAATTGGGAGTGACCCATACTTAACATTGTTCTTATGATTGAAATGGAATCAGTGATTATCTCTATCAAAAAAAACATTTTTGAAATGGAATTCATTGGCTACAAATTCAAATGTAAAGGTTAAGTATATGTTTTGACCGAGGAGAGGAAGAAGGTCCGAACACCACCAAATTTTTTTTTTAGGACTTTTTTCCATGCCTACGATGGTTGGATACGCGAAAAAAGACTATTTGACAACTTGAGCGCAAGATTCACACTGTTTGATTGTTATCACGTTTCTTCAACAGAAATGTTTTGACTACTACAGCAGCGGCAAGTTCACGCAGGATGACGATGGCATTGATGAGCAGTGCCGCTGGTGCGCCGAGGGCGGCAGCCTCATCTGCTGTGACTTCTGCTGCAACGCCTTCTGCAAGAAGTGCATCAAGCGCAACCTGGGCCGCAGCACCCTGTCGGCCTTGCTCAGTGGCGAGGGCACCAAGTGGCACTGCTATGTCTGCGACTCCTCACCGCTAAAGCAACTGCAGCAGACGTGCAAAGATGTCACGCACGGCATCAAGAGGTTGGAAGAGGCGGCCAAAGCCCGACGCGCCCACCTGAGTCACAGTGCTGCATCCACAGAGACCTCTGATGTTGAGGAGACTCAAGGGCTTCTGCATCCCAGTATCAGCAGCCTGAGCGTCAGCCTCCGAATTAAACCCAAAGCCCCAAGCTTGGAGATCACACAGGAAGGTCTGAGGGTCCTCAGGCCGCAGGGAGGGGATCGGCACGGACTCAAGATGGCCCTCTGGATGATGCGCAGCCTCATACAGACCTCTGAGAAAGCAGAGAAGGCCATTAAGAAACAGCTAGCTGCCAAACAGGGCACCAGCAAGACAGAAAAACCCTCAGGAGATGAAGTGCAATCCGACGACAAGAAGTGGGTTATGATGAAGATCGGCAACGGGAACTTAAAAAAATCCACTACGAAACAGAATGGACAAACCTCTCTGAGCTCTAAGACCCAAGATCATCCGTCAGCAAAACCTCAGAGTGACCAAAAAAGCATTAAAAAGGAGACCTCTCCATCACCTGCTGATGTCAATGGAAAAATTGCTTCAGATTCTTCTACATCGGAGGTAGAAAACAAACCGAAAGTAGAAAAAGACAATTCTGGGATAACCACACCAGATGAGCAGAGTGAAGAAAAAGAACAAGCTGAGATTGAGAAAGCTGATGCAGGATTGTCTGGACAAAAAGAGAGCAGCAAGAAATCGTTGAGGACAAGGAGTAGTAAAGAGAAAGACATTGAAGAAAATGAAGAAACAGAAATGGACCTTGATCAGGAGGAGAAAGAAATAGAGGACATGGAAACAGAAAATAATGAAGAGACCAAAGAAGAAGCACTTGAGGTTGATAAGCCTGAAGGCAAGGAAGATGCACAGCAGAGAAATGATGCTGATGAGGATGAAAAAAAGGAACAGGAAGAAGAAGAAGAGGCGAATGCTGAGGAACGTAGTGATCAAGATGTTGAGTGCGAGAAGGCACTTATGGAGGAAATCAGCGGCATGGCGTCAGATCACTCAGTAGAGGAACCCTCCACTCCGAAGATGGAGAGACCAGACAGAAAGCATCTCACAAGCATCACACCCCTCCGCATCAAACTGGAGAAGATCCCTCCGTCCAAATTGGAGCAGTCCTACACAAAAGAGCGTAGCAAATCTCCACGGCGACAGAAGACTACACCAAGAAGTTCAAGGAGCAGCTCCTTGAAACAAGAATCGGATTTGTCAGAGAACGATGTGGAGGAGACTGACACAGGTACGAGCACACCAAGGGATAAACAAGTCTCCAAGGAATTGTTGGATAAAAAGGAAGATGACTCATCAGATGACTCTGAATCCTCTGAGAGCAATGAGAGCGATCTGGAAGATATAGATTGGAAGAGTACACCAAGGAGGTCCTCCAGAAGGCAGCAGAAAGAAAGTGATGATGGCAAAGAAAAGGAGCATAAAAAGCTCAAGAAAAAGAAGGTTAACAAAAAGGAAAAGAGCACGGAAAAAGGTGGTTCTAAGGATTCTGACTCTGAAATAGACTTTCCAAAGTCTCCTATAAAGAAGAACGTACTGAAGAGTCCCAAGGGTCCTGGAAAGGACTCTAGCAACATGGAGGATGATGACTCTGAGGAAATTGAACGTCTCCTCACTCCAAGGAAGTCCAAGACCAGGCAGTCATCCAGGCTGAAGCAGACACCAAAGTCAGCTTCCAAGTCCAAGGCCAAATCCAAGAGTAAAGTCCGGGATTCAGATTCCTCCAACTTTGATTCCGACCTTGAGAGGCAGATTAACAATTTGACCAAGGCACCCAAGATGAACCAGAAAGACCGGGAAAATCAAGAAGACAGTGAAGAGGAAGATTCGGGTCCAGAGGTGAAGAAGGCTGAAGAGGAAAGTGATGCGGAGTCTAACAAGGAAAAGGAAGGTAAAGGTACCTCATCCAAGAAGCCTAAGAAATCCAAGAAAGACTCCGATTCAGAAGATGAAACAAACAACAAGAAGCCAAAATCAAAGAAATCCAAAAAAGGAAATGACAGCTCTGACTCCAGCTCTGATTCTGAAGATGAGGCTTTGGAAAATGATGAGAGTCAAGTTGGGGACGATGTCCAGCGAATGGAGAATGTCGGGCAACAAGACGGTGGTGACAGCGATCTGGAAAACAAACTTGCAGAGCAACAGCTGATGGAAGAAATAGAGGCTGAATTGGACAAGGAAGATGCAGACGACGACGAAGATGATGAGGACAGTAGTGATGAAGATTCGGACTCCGACCAGCCAAAAAAGAAGAGCAGAGGAAAGAAGAAAAATAAGACGGCTGAAGATAGTGATGATGAAGATGAATTCAAAGCTGCATCGGGTGAGGAAGAAGAGGATGAGGATGACGATGAGGAGGATGATGAAGATGAAGAATTTTCAGACTCAGATGATGAGAAGTCTTCTAAAAAGAAGCCTGGCAGGCGTCATCGTCTCATGAGAATCAAGCTTGGGGAATCCAGCAGTAGCGGTGATGACGCAGACGCCTCAGACTCGGGCTCCCGGAAGAAAAAGAAATCCAAACGGGGCCGGAAACGGGATCAGGGCAGCCGCAGCTCCTCCTCTGACTCTGACTCTGTCTCGGAAAAGCCCAAGAAAGGAAGCAAGCAAGGGCGCCGTAGGAAGAGGTCATCCACTGGGAGCGACAGTTCCAGCAGGGACTTTCAAAAGGACAGGAGCTACAAGCGGGGCAAGGGAAAAGGCAAGAAGAGACGGCGAATCAAGGTGGCTACTGACTCGGACTCGGACGTCCAGAAGAAAAAAGGATCTGGAAGTGTGAGTATCCAAATCCCATTGCTTGATTAAACGTTTGCAACAGTTGTAAAGCTTCACACGTTAAAGTCCTGTCAAGTTATCAAAGGGCCCATCCAATGGAATTTTTTTTTATGTTATCCCTGAAAATGCACATTTGTGTCCAATTCAACTTTTATTTTCAATTATTGATTTGCCATTCTATTTTTCCTCGGCTTCACCTCGGGAAAAATAGAATGTTTCATGGATCACCTCGGGAGGCTAGTTTTACCACACCACTCCAAGCAGTCAGTATTTGTATGCTATGTGCTCGACCAGTATAAAAGAACTACATTGAAAACCGGACAAGGGGCCTGGTTGCTGATATTAAAAATGGCTCTCTAGGAATGGTGTCCAGGCTTGTAGTCCGGTTTTAAACATACTTGTATAAAATCAGCCAAGCACATATTTACTCCCCTTACTAATATACATGTAGTTCTAAATTACCAACCTGAAAAAAAGTCTTGAAACAAATGTAGAATGGTTCCATTGTCGAAAAATAACACGGCGTTAAGCCCTGAAGGCAATCAGTTGTAATCACAAACAGTTTCAGGAAAGAAAAAAAAATGTCAGAATCAGATTCTGAACAGGAAAAATACTTACATTGAACAAAAAAAATGTGTTTTGAACTGCTTGACCTGACTTCCTGACCTCAAAAGGAAGAACTATTCAATCAGCTTTTGGTGAAAGTCTTTCACTGAGTCACAGATATATAAATCCTCATTTATTTCATCATAATTTAATAATACGTTCTATGTTTCCATATTTAGCTAGTGTTGGGAATTTCCCAAGAGTTGTTACGAAACACACTGTTTTTAGCAATAGGGGATTATTTATGACAAATAGAAATATCTGTTGATATCATGCACATTAAAAAAATAGGTCACTTGGGCATTATTGGTGTCAGTTATTCACTTTGCTGACAACTTTCTCATTTTCATATTTTAATACAAAAGAAACCTGTAAACACAGAACTGGACCTGTGCAGTTATTTTCACTTTTCGACTAAGAGATATTTGTTCTAATTACAAGGTGAGTAAAAAAACCCCGAAATCCTTATGTCGGGACTATTGTTTTAGTGAAGTTTTGCATTTAGCACTTTGAAAATCTAGTATATGAAAGCCCAATTCATAAGCTTTCTTTTAGTACAAGTATCACTCAAATCACTCATGTACTTGTCAAGTTACAGAATTTTAAACACTTGCCTTCTTGTGATCCGTGGACAGAACTTTAAAACGGTGGTTGTGTTTAAAATTCCGAAACTCAAAAAGCACATGAATGATTTGAATGATTCTTGTACTAAAAGAAAGCCTATGAATTGAGCTTTTGTATTCTAGATTTTAAAAGGGCTACATGCAGAACTTCACTAAAACAATAGTCCCGACATTTGGGTTTCGCTTTTTTTTTTACTCGCCCTGTAGTTCTCACACTCCACATTCATAAGTCTTTAATACTTCCCAAGTTTCTAATATGTTTCAAAAAATTAACACATAATGTAATGCCCTACCCAGCATGTATCACAGTGTATGTCTCCTGTTCGTCTTTTGTCAAAGTGTATTAGATGTATGTGTTTAAAATAGATGAATTTTGTTGTGTGTTTAGTCTGAGGAGGAAAAAGACACACCCAGTAAGCACGGCCGTAAGAAGATCCGCAAGCTGATCTCCAAGAACAGACTGCAGGAGGAGACGGTACGTGCAGCCAAGGAGGAGCGAGAACGCCGGAAACGCATCACGGAGAAACGTAAACAGGTAACTCTTACTCAGTTCCTCAAACTTCTCAGAATTCATGGGTTTTTAATTTTGACACTGCACTTGGCCACTTTCATCCTTTCAATGAAACAGTTCGCCTCAACCAATTAGATCAGGACTTCTGGTCAGGTGACCGTGAAAGCTCAGTCTAATTGGTCACAAACACTCTGAGGAATTTTTTGTGGATTCAGCAGGGTTTCTGTGTTTAATTCCGTCTGTTTTCAGTGTGATTGTGCTTCACCCTTAGAACTGTCCTCAATCCTCCAAAAATCCCCAAAAAGTATTGAGACTGAATGGCAAAAAGTGTTCTTGCAGGATACATTGTGAAAAGTTCACAGCATTGTTTATGTTCAGTCATGCATAAGTGAGCCCTGCATTATGCTTGATATCATCCGCACTGCTTCTGAATGTCATCGGCACTGCCTCAACCCATTAACAGTGATTGTTGGAGGATTTTGAAGGAGTGAGGATGGCTTTGAACTAAAATGGCCTAGGGGTTAGGGGTAACGTTGTCTGAAACAGGAACAGATTTGTACCAAGCATGTACGTGTAACATCAGTGAAATGTTGACTTTGACCTTATTTTTTAATTTTTAGGTGACTGAGATATCGGAGGAGGCAGCCGAAACCATGGGAACCGTGGACGAAATCATTTTAGAGTCGGACACTAAGACCAAGAAGGTCTTACTGTCTGTTGAGGATTCCCTGGCGAAGCAGCTTAAACCTCATCAGGTAAACGTCACTGTGAAAGTTATGTAGTTGCACATGTCAGTCAACAGTAAATCACAAGTGTGGTCACAAGTAAATCACAAGTCTAGTTTCAAGTAAATCACAAATCCACAAGTAAATCACAAGTCTAGTCAAAAGTAAATCACAAGGCCAGACACAAGTAAATCACAAGTATAGTCACAAGTAAATCACAAGGCCAGACACAAGTAAATCACAAGTATAGTCACAAGTAAATCACAAGTCCAGTCACAAATAAATCACAAGTCCAGTCACAAGTAAATCACAAGTCTAGTCACAAGTAAATCACAAGTCCAGTCATAAGTAAATCACAAGTCTAGTCACAAGTAAATCACAAGTCCAAGAGTAAATCACAAGTCGAGGTGCAAGTACATCACAATTCCTTACAGCAATGAAAACTGTAAGACTTGTGAAAAGATTGGCACAGAAGAAGACTGTTGACGACACATTGCATAAGTCGTATTGAAACCAGAAATACAATGAATTTGGAAAACAACCTTCTTTATTTTGGTTGTTGTCAGGTTGAAGGAGTGCAGTTCATGTGGGACTGTACTTTTGAATCCATGGAGAAACTGAAGGAGAAGGGGTCCGGCTGCATCCTGGCTCACTGCATGGGACTAGGCAAGACACTCCAGGTACCAGACCATTCATATTTTGCCTGGGTGCAATTACTTTTTTCTGCAACCAGGTATAGTCAATGCGCATTCGTCAGTTGGTAACGGAATGGTTCTCGGACTTAACTTCCCTTTTAAAACAAATCCTCCAGAGCCACGAATGAGGGGAAAAGAGTGAAAGTTAGTTTATCGATCAGGACTTGATTAAACACAATTTCGGGAAGAAATTTCACTTTGGGGGAAAAAAATGAAAATTTAAAATTCCTCCACGATTCGAACCCGGAACCTGCAGTATTCCGACCACTGATTTAGAGCAGCATGCTATAGTGAAACCACGCTGACTACCGTGGAATATAAGCTGTAAGAACTTATTCTGAATCAAGTGACCTATTTATTCGTTCACCTGATAGAATTACGGTCAATGACTTTACCAAGATGCAAAACAAATTTTTGCTGTCTTGGCATATTTTCTTTGGCAGCCATCTTGAAAAAGAAATTATTTAGAATTAGTGGAATCTAATTGTTCTTTTGTACTGCATTTACCACATGTTTGTGGTCCTTTCTTGTAAAATGTGACCTTTTTTGGGTCTGTGTTATGCATGTATTTCTAATTATTGGCTGGTTGTTGCGGAGATAATAGGGGGGAAAACACCAAAACAATGCCTTTAAATTGTTTTCTTCACTTTATGACATCTGTAGTTTCAGATAAAATATAGGCCTACATTGGTGATGATTTTGATTAAGAATACAGTTTGATGACGAAATCAAGGATATTGAGCAACCAATGAGGGGTTATTTCCTTAAAGGAAATGAGAAATTGGTATTTACCGGACCTTTCAGTGACGCAAACATTTTTGGAGGTAATATTTGCAAAGGATCCTTGTGTTCTAATACTATAATAATATTACCTCTGGAACATGACCACTGTATCATCAGATTTATTATGGACAAAAACACTTTAAAGTACCATAGGTCTCATACATGAGCACAACCCAATTGTCCGTATTAAGCAAAATCTTTGAAACAGGATGTAAAGAAAAACTGACATTTCAGCTCAGTGGATGCCATACATTTAAAGAAAACAGTCAATTTTCAATTTCACAAACATATATTTCCATCAAAAGCAAAGTAAAAAGCATCATGAGAACGAAAAGTAGTAATATTAAGATAAAGTTACGATTTAAAAAAAGCCGAAGCTTATAGGGGCATGCCTTATACTAAAATGCACAACTGTAACAAAGAATTTAAAGAAAAACAGACAAACCAATAGACAAGTACAAATGAAGCACAAACAATAATCAAGGAAGGACTGACGAACATACAGACAACGGGTCAAAGATTTACATAATAATAAGACTAAGTAAACACTAGGAGGAAAAGGGGAGTGTATAAATGTCTTGGTGTAAGTCCCCCTCCTTACTAATAGACTGATCCATTAAGCCCCTCCCCATGATGTGTTGACCAATCACAGCTGTGATTGCATGTGTTGTTGCCATGTGCTGGGCTTAACAGATCGGTCTATTCCAAACTGCAGGTGATCACGTACCTACACACCATCATGATGAATGAGAAGATCAGCATCAAAAACTGCCTGGTCGTGGCCCCGCTCAACACCGTTCTAAACTGGGTGTCCGAGTTTGAGAAATGGCTCGGAGAGGACAGCGCCATCGAAGTCTTCGAGATTACCAGCTACAAGAACAACTGGCAGCGCGCTGACGCGCTGAAATACTGGCACGACAACGGCGGTGTGATGGTCATGGGTTACTCCATGTACCGACAGCTGGCCATGCACAAGTTTGTCAAGAACAAGAAACAACGGGCCATCTTCACGCAGGCTCTGGTTGATCCAGGTAAAAAATGACGGTCGAACAATTTGAGCACCAGAACACGCACAAAAAATGGCCCAAAAACATTTCGGACAGTTTGAGTAAGAACCTAGGCATTATTCCTTGTGTGTAAGAGAAGGGCTCAATTCCCTATTTCTAAAAGTCTGTTTTCAACTCTAGGCACTCCAGACTTTCCTCAGCACTTACACAAAAAATAGTATACACAGACCAATTTTAAACAGTTATGTGGACAATGATTAAAGAAACTTACAAGGTTCTCACAAACTTTCAAGGAAGGCATTTTCACGCATGCAACTTCTCCTCAGATGCGCTGATTTCCTTGTTTTTTTACATCTCATAAATGCCATTACAAATTGAAGAATACTGTACAAAGTCTTTTGTAGTTTGGAGTTTCCTCGTTTTTCCTAAATTCCCAGTTGCATGCCTGAATTTTGCTTAGTTACTTTGGGTAACATTCCCGCATGGTATCAATTTATCATTCAGATATAAACATCAAACTAACAAGTTACATCATAAAAACTAACAAAAAATCAATCATTACAGAAAGAATTTAAAAGTCCCTGTCACTCACAGGTCCAGACATTGTCGTTTGTGACGAGGGTCATATGTTGAAGAATGACGCCTCGGCCATCTCCAAAGCTCTGAATTCCATCGGCACGCGACGACGCATCTGTCTGACGGGAACGCCACTACAGAACAATCTCATCGAATGTAAGGAAGTTAAAACTGACAACGACAAATTATTATTCCCTTGTGTTAAAGAGTTTAAGACACATGTGAATGTTTGAATGAAGAAATGTCCGTGTTGTCTTGAGTTTGAAAAAATCCTGAATGTCAGTTGAATAGACGAAAATCAAGTTAGCATGTACTCTGATAGCCTTGGTGCTCTTTTTTGTGGGGAGGGCTGAAGAAACGTATTTTGTTTAGAAATGTTTTGGGATCGGTGTCAATAATGGAGTGGAATTATAAGTTAATTTAAGTTTTCCGAAATCAGAGTTTATGAACAACTGTCCTGCCCTTTAACTGCCGTATACAGATCATTGTATGGTGGACTTTGTCAAGCCCAATCTGCTGGGTACGCGCAGGGAGTTCCTGAACCGGTTTGTCAATCCGATCACAAACGGGCAGTGTGCCGACTCCACACCGAGAGACGTCAAGATTATGAAGCGGCGGGCTCACGTTCTGCACGACCTGCTCAATGGCTGTGTACAGGTATGTGCAAGTTAAACAAGAAATGCATTGGTTCAAATTAGGTTTTGCCCTTCACCGACGTTTTTTTAAACACTGTATACTCAGTGTGTTACCTCCCGAGTGAAAGTTGGAAAAAAGTTTATGCGGTACCCGCTGCTATGTACATCAGATTCGAACCAGCCAACCAATCCCGTTAGCTCGGTGGTCGAGTGGTAAGACATCTGCACTAGAAAGCAGGAGGTCGTGGGTTCGAGTCCCACCCGAGTGATTTTTTCCAACTTTCACTCGGGAGGTAACACACTGAGTATACAGTGTTTAAAAAAACGTCGGTGAAGGGCAAAACCTAATTTGATTTATATCACCCCGACACAAAATTCCATCTCATAATAGTATGAAAGTTGTTCAGACAAACATTTATCAAGAGTGAATAAAAGTCCAATTTCTGACCACAATTTTTAAGCTTGGCAAGGTTTGTATAATAAATATAAAATTGACAATTCTTAAGATGTGTTAATTCAGATTTTGTGCATGTATAAAGTGAACAATAAGTGTGCTGCTTTTTATTGTTACAGAGAAAAGACTATAGCGCTCTCACCAAATTTTTGCCGCCGAAACACGAGTACGTCATCTCGGTGCGCCTCACCGACGTTCAGATCAAGCTCTATGAGCTCTACCTTGGGTCGCAGTCCCGCAACGACACCGGCCAGCTTATAGATGGATCCAGCAAAGGGTCGGGCACCGGCTTGTTTGCCGACTACCAGCAACTGATGCAGATATGGACCCATCCCCACGTGTTGAAGCTCAGCGAGATTCGTCAAGAAAAAATTGTGAGATATTTTCCCCTATTTTAACAAACTTTTAAAAAAAAATGCCCTTTCTTTACCCAACCAATTTTATTATGCTTGGTGTTTCAGTACCCTCAATACAATCCCACATGTGGTACAAACCCTATTTGAAACACATGTGGTTTGTGCAAAAAGTTTTGACAAGTTTCCTAGATGTATGAGGTTATTACAAAAAACTGCTTCGCATATATGCGAGGCGTTCTGGCAAAATGAGACCGAACTGGGCGAAGGCCGCAGTGGAGAAATTTTTTTTTAAAACTTGTATGGGGGTGAATTTTTTTTTTTTTTTTTAAATTGTTGGCATTTGTCATTTTGTTATGCAGGCATGCAACTTTTCCTCGGATCCGCTGATTTCCTCGTTTTTTAACTTCTCATGAATGTCATTACAAATTGAAAAATATTGTACAAAGTCTTGAGTATTTTGGAAATTCCTTGTTTTTTCTAAATTCCAAGTTGCATGCCTGGTTATGTCTACGACACATTTTAAAGAAATAGTATTAAAATCGTGGAATAAAAGTGTTGTTAGGAAAAACCAATTTGGCATATTTTATTTTCACAACTACAAATCTTAAAACTTCAAAGGCCTTTTTCCAAGTATTTTGCTTTTTTTTTGATAGGTCAATAAATGTGAAATTTAAACAGCCGTAAATTGTCAATGGAATGTCCAATTGAATTGTAACAAACAGTATTGTAAAAAGAATTGTATTCTCTTTCCTAATACATGCAAGGAAGATTGATAAAATGATTAGGAAGTAATTTCATGAAGATAGAAATTCATATTGCAAGCAAAAAATCAGCTGGGTACCAGTTACAAGCTATGTACATTGCATGACGTTTTGGCTGGTAACCCACCATTTGAAGCCTATAACTCCAAGCAAATAGCTCCGTGAAATTTGCCCAATTTCTCTCCGTCGTTTTCCCAGAGTCATTTTCCCCCACTTTTCTTTTAACCCCCAGCAAGCCCGCAACTACATGTCGGACTTTGTCACGTCAAACTCGGAGTCCGAGGTCTGCGACAGCAGTGACAGCATCCAGCAGTTTATGGTTGACGGCAGCGACCCGGAGGAGATTGTCATCGACGACGGTGACGACGATGACAAACCGTCAACGTCAGCAGGCATCAGAGGCACGCGAAGGACCAGGGGAATGGCTCAGCAGCAAGCCATGATGCAGGAGAAAGACATGTGAGTTTTCAAAACACTGAAAGCCCTGGCTCCAATTTTACGGAACAAGCTTGTCTAGTCGAGTTGGACTCAGTCAGTCAGAGGACAACAGGCTGGCTATATTCTTGAGTGGTGCTCTTTACCCTCTTAGCCAGTAGGTCTCTATCTCTAACAAGTTTCAATTACTTTCTAGGTTAAAGCACACAATTTGTAAAAAATATTTAACATCCGACGTCTGTGTATGTTTTCAGGGACCAGCAGCCAGTGAGGAAAAAGGCAAAAGGTTCAGGCGACTCGGACAGCAGCATGGAGATCATCAAGACTTGGAAGACTCGAAGTCGATGCAGAGACCCCGATGGGGGTAAGATAGCATTGTATTGACTGCTTCGAGGGGTGCAGTAAACTATCACTTAGTTAACCTTCATTCCTTAGGTATTTTTTCTAGGATTCAAACTCAATCCTGCAAAAGCCTCCAACTGCCTCCATGTAAAAATTGCATACAGCCTCAATCCTCCAAAATCACCTGTTAATTCTTGAATGTGGTCCTTGGAAGGGTGATATCCACTGCCTCAATCCTGCAAATGCTGCAATCATTGTCGGTATGTTGAGGTAGAGCCAGTGACATCCTGAAGCAGTGCGGAGGATTCCAAGCATAATCTAGGCCTAATTGTATGCATTGCTGAGCATAAACAACACAAGGTCTGGCCCAAGACTTTGACACAGCACATCCTCCAAAATCGCTTGTTTTTGCCATACCTCAATCCTACAATATCCTATGTTTTGCAAGAGGATTTTGGAGGATTTGGGAAGGTTTGGGTTAAAATGGTATGGTAAAATTATAACCTGTTTTGAATGGTATAGTAAAAGTATCACTTAAATTGAAGGGGCATAGTAAGACTACTTTCAAGGGTGATCGTTGAGCATTCTGTTTTCCCAAATGGAAAAAGTTTATCGAGTTCCGAGGGAGGCTAGTTTAGCTGTTCCTTTGAGTTGAAGTACTCATTATGTTTCTATAATTTGCCCATAAATTCTCCTTTTCCTGGGCTTAGCTGGGTTCTTTAGTTTTAAACATAATCCATATTATATTCAGTGATTCATCCATTTTTCATTACCAGAGTACATCACTCGATCTCCATCTCCGAACCTGCCCACCTCCAAGCCCAAGTGGTACGACGAGTACCTTCAGGAAGGAGACGACACCAAGATTGAACTGAGTGGCAAACTGGTGCTTCTCTTTGAGGTCCTCAAGTACGCTGAGAGCATCGGAGAGAAATTGTAAGACGTTTGTTCCAGCTGAAGGCCAAATCATACTCTTAATGTAGAATAAAAAAAGCAATTTGTAAAGGCAACAGTGAACATCAAAGTAAAACTCCATGTCATGAAATTCGTAAAATGCTTTTGTTTCCACTTCGAGAATGAACCAGTCTTAACAGTAGACGGTTTACTTGAAAGCAGACGGCCAAATATTATTTGAGGGTGAACTCTGACCACAGTGCTAATGTAAGTTGGAATTCCCAAAAACTGAGGGTGAAATTTCAGTCAGGCGTCAGACATTTACCAAGAATTGAACATGCTTGTCAGACCAATATTTTTTACTGAAAGGTAATTTCTTAGTGAGCGAGACAGCTCAGAATTCGTCGGGTGCACCACGAAGAGACGGATCGTCTATTGACTTTAAACACACGATACGTCTCTTCGTGGTGCGACCGACGAATGGATTGTTGCTAGGCCCTAGGGCAGTTTTGTCCTGTATTAGCTGAAACAATACGGCAAGCATTTTGCCTCAACAAACCTCTGCCAAACTTGAACAAAAAGTGTGACAATGAACAGAGGCAAAACGGATTTCGTCAGTTGAATTCGCGCCTTGGCTTGCAAACAGTTTTACCTGCTGGATTATTTGTCATTTTGATTGGTACTGTTTTGATTTTTTCCCCCTTCAGATTGGTGTTTAGTCAAAGTCTACTGTCCCTAGATCTGATTGAGGACATGTTGCACAGCCTGGAGGAAAAGGCTCAGGTTGAGAGGGAGGAGGGCAGCCAGGATCTATCTGAACAGGTAAGGTTCTATCTCGTTAAACATCCGGGATAAGTTACTGACAAAATGTGAGGCGTTCTGGCAAAATTAGACGGAACTAACTGGGCAGAGGTCAAAATGAGGGTTTGCGAATAACAGGAAAGAGAATAAAATCCTCCTTACAATACTGCTTGTTGCACTTCAATCAGACATTCCGTTGACAAGTTATGGCTGTTTAAAATTCACATTTATCGACATGTCAAAAAGTAAAATACTGATAAAGAAACCTGAACAATTTCTAGATTTTTGCAGTTGTGGGAGTGAAAGATGCCAATCGTTTTTTCCTTAAAAACACTTTTGTTCTACGATTTTTAAACAATTTCTTTAAAATATGTGTAGTAGACATATCAAAGCTAACAAATATCAATAAATACGAAAATATAAAAAACAAATCCTTTTCCTTTTTGGGGGATTTTTCTCCACTTAGGCCTGTGCCCAGTTCCGTCTCATTTTGCCAGATATCAGAAAATATTTGCAGGATTCTTGACATGTTGCTTAGCACAAAAATATTAATTAAGAAAAAAAACCCAACTTGTTAGCGTCCAAAATGTCATACAATGTGCTCTTTTTTGGACAGGTTCTGAGCTGATGTTTGCTCAAACCAAAATCTGCTGAGCAAACATTTCCTGCTTAACAACTCCATGAAATTGGGCCCAATTTATTTTGCAAAACGGCACATAAATGGTTTCATTTTTGCTTTGTTTGTGTGTGGTTAGGTTGGAGGCATCGGTTCGTGGGTCAAAGGGGAAGATTATTTCCGCATGGACGGCTCCACCAGTGCGGCATTCCGCAAGGCTTGGGCCCAGACCTTCAACGATATGAACAACTACAGGTAGGACTATGTTTACGCAACTCATGATTTCAGATACACATGATCACAGTGGGATCAAAAGATTCAGTGTTGTTCAGTTGCACCCTTTAGTCTAAATGGTGCTTCGCAACACAAAACATCATCCTTTTAGAGGAAGATTTCCAATTTAGTATCTTCACATCAGTTAAAACAAACTTAATTTGCAGCGCGAAAACTTGCCCTGGCGTCACAAATTCGCGTTCACGTTTGCTTCGCGCCGAGTATGAACCAGCCTGTACAGTGCCCTCACATGGTAACAAATGTAATCTATTCTTATTCGATGTTCTGTTCTGTCTGTAGGGCTCGTCTATTCCTGATCTCGACCAAGGCGGGCTCCCTGGGTACCAATCTCATCGGAGCCAATCGCGTCATCATCTTTGACGCGTCTTGGAACCCCAGTCATGACATCCAGTCCATCTTCAGAGTCTACCGCTTCGGCCAGACCCGGGCCGTTTACATCTACAGATTTGTCGCACAGGTAGAGTCTAGATCTAACCAGATCTCGGGGGAAAACATTTTGTTGTGAAAATACAGTGTCATGGAGCGCTGTGGTCCAAATGGTTACAGTGTTCAAATCACATGCCATGGTTCATGGGTGCAAACCCTGACGAGGAACATGGTGCTTGTATTCTTGGGCAAGACACTTTACTACAATTGCCTGTCTTTAGCCATGAGTCTAAATGTGAGGGTGGAGACCAGAATGCACTGATCCCAAGCTGCTGCAAAAACTGGACTCATGGCCTGATAATCAGGGGTAATAATTGTGAGGCACTTTTAGACATTTGGTATAAAGCGTTATATAAGGCCAAAAAAAAAAAGTCTCCGGTTTCTGGTATGGAGCTTGCCCAAAAAGTGGTGCGGCGACGCGGCTTTTTTTTTTTTTACCTGTTTTTTTTTGCTTCATATGTCGGCTGATGACTGCAAATGGTGCCCGACTAAACTTAGTGCAAATTATGGGAGTCCAGAGAGGCCACATAAAGCTTATTCTTGATCATAACCCCATCTAAAAACACGTAAAATTGTGCAGCAGCAGGATTCCAGTCAAACCAGTGAGTTTGGCGGTTTTGAGACATATCTTTTATTGAAAAAAAAAAAACGTTTTCATTTTGCTGACGCGCATGGCTACGGCGACGCGTGCGCATACCAGAAACCGGAGACTTTTTTGGGGGCCTAAGCACCACAGTATTGTTTTTTTTTGCTCAAAGTTTTCCAGACTTGTCAACGATGTTTCTGTGAAGCACTGGCAGTTTTTCCACCAGGTCCATTTGCTGGAGCTGTTTTCAGTCAGCCAATCTGATAAATGTTATCACCTGTTGCACTTATTTCAATCTATCACCACTCGTATTAAAATGTAAATAAAGTCATTTTTTGGTTTGCCTGATTTGTTGCAGGGTACCATGGAAGAAAAGATCTACGAGCGACAGGTAAAAAGGAAAGAAGATTCTTTAATGTTTTCATAAAAGGTTAAAAGTGCTAACTCTCTGTGGTTATTTCATATTGCTTTAGCCACATATATCACTGAATAATATTCACTGTGGAAGCAACCAATGAGTTGAGTGTTGTTTGACTTTTTGACATTTAAAAAACACTTATTCTCTCCCCCACCCCCACCACCACCAAGGTCACTAAGCAATCCCTGTCTTGTCGCGTTGTCGACGAGCATCAGATTGAACGTCACTTCACATCCCAAGACCTGTCGGAACTCTACACCTTCAACCCAGAACGGCTTGATGACCCCAACGTGCCGGAGAGGGAGACGCCGGTTCTGCCGAAGGTGGGCCATGGTTTAGCCTTCATTTAACTGGACATTATGCTACTCATTTTAACTCCACATCAACTCAAATGCGCCAAATCAAAGAGCCTTTTTAATAAAGTTTGTGCCTGTTTAATTTCTGCTTAGGATTATGTCCTAGCCGAGATACTGAAGCGCAAAGACAAGTGGATTGTCAAGTACCACGAGCACGACTCTCTCCTGGAGAACATTGAATCGGAGGAGCTGAATGAGGAGGAACGCAAGAACGCCTGGAAGGAGTATGAAGACGAGAAGGAAGGCAGGATGCGTATGGGCTTTGACCCACGCATGCTGGCCAACCAAGGCATGAACCAACAGGACCTGGCACAACTACAGGTAAGCTGAGGGATAGGGAGGAGAGGTGATTGAGTGGGGTAGGCAAGGTGTTGGCTAGGGGTGGAGTAGGGTAGGGCTGGGTAGGGTAGGGCTTCGACCCACGCCTGCTGGCCAACCAAGGCATGAATCAACAGGACCTGGCACAACTACAGGTAAGATGAGGAGGAGGGGAGGGGAGGGAAAGGTGATTGATTGGGGTAGGCTAGGTGTTTGGTAGGGTTGGGTAGGGCTGGGTAGGGTAGGGCTTCGACCCACGCCTGCTGGCCAACCAAGGCATGAACCAACAGGACCTGGCACAGCTGCAGGTAAGATGAGGAGGAGGGGAGAGGAGGTTATTGAGTGGGGTAGGCTAGGTGTTGGGAAGGGGTAGGGTAGGGCAGGGCTTTGGCCTGCGCTCCTGGCCAACCAAGGCATGGACCAACAGGACCTGGCTCAGCTGCAGGTAAGATGAGAGGTTGGGGAGGGTAAAAACGGAATGGACGGGACTGAAAATGTTGGAAAGATGGGTTATTTGGGTTGGAAAGGGTAGAGTAGGGAGGATGGTCTACAGTTCAGCTTTGTTCTGTGAGATCAAAGTGACTGAAGTTCTGGTTGCACGCTCAAGATTGACAATACTTTCAAAGAAGACGCATTCCTTAAATACGTTTCAGTTTTTAAGTTCAAATGAAGGAGGTGCGGCTACTGTGTTACTAATCACAGGTGCGACATCGTTGACTACGCTAACAATTTTACTGAATGTTGGACAAGTTGCAGATTTCAGATTAGGAAAAAAGTCAAGATATTGATAACTTCAGGTTTTTTTGTGTTTTGCTCTGCCTCTTTTAACCATGCAGCAAATGTGGTACGCTGGGCTGAATCCGGTAGGAATAATCAAACCAACTCTTGAAAGAAAAACTGATTTGCATGAGTTGAAGAGGAGTTTATGCATGCAAACAAAAGTTGATTTGGCTTAAAAAATATCATCAGCAAAAACATTTTAAAAAGGGGGAAAATGCTTTCAAATTGCATTGTTTTGTGACAGTGAAGGACAACGCAAATTTTTTGTTGCAATGCACCCGAATCTCGGCACACAAAATTTGTGTTTCAAAATGTGTTTATTCCATAATTTTTCCTTTCAAATCCTGATTTTTTTTCCCTTCAAACATTTGATTTTTGTTCCTTACCCGGCTTCTCACTGCACTCATTCACCACTAAAAAAAAATGTGTGCAACTCTTTGTAAGCGCTTCCAAAAACCACCAACGTAGCTAAAAAAAAAAGTTGCATTTCGTCACCGACACCACGAAGTAACACCCAAGTCCACTCCAGTGTTACTTTGTGAAAACCACTACATGACAAATTTTGGTTTCACGAACTGGCGCAAACAATTTTCGTTTTCACAACTTATAACACTGTTACGGAAATACAGTTTGGATAAAAACATTTTGAAACCTTTGACAGGAATGTAATTAATCCATGTTCTTGTTGGATTAAGGAAAAATGTAATGAAAACCTTTAAACTGGTGCAATAAAGATGGGTGGTACTTCTTGAAAACGAAAATGCACAGAGTGAGCGCACAGTGTAATTGTGTGTTACTTCATGAAAATGAAAATCACACGGTTTTGTGAAATACGGGTGCGTAGCGTGCACTGAAGTCCAATCGGGTGTTACTTCGTGGTGTCGTTGACGATTTGTTGAAATGTCATTTTGGGTGTCATGCTTTTTCACCTAATAGTGTTTTCTTCAAATTTCACAAACTTTTCTTTGAATCATAAGCTTGAAATAAAGGAAATGTCATATTTTCATTATTTGGTGTTTCAACAAGATAATGTGAGTCCTAAGTTTTAAACATTGATGTGCTTCGCAGATTTGTTGGTTACCAGCCAAAAATGCATGTATGATTGGAGTATGACAAGTAGTAACGACTGGTATCCTGTCAGATTGTTGACTTGTTTTTGACTGTTGATTCACAGGAACACTGAATATTGATATCAATAGTTCTTGAATTACACTAAATCACTCTTACATTAGTTATTATAGTGCTAAGCAGAGCTGAAAGGGCCCATGCAATATAATTTTTTTAACGCTTACTCCCTAGCATGATTTACTAGGAACCATACCCATCTTGGCAAATTCCAACACCATATGGGAAACTGCACACACTTATTTCTGACTTTGTTTCTGGATGTGTGCAAACCCAATGTAAAAGACTGTCAGTTTAGGGGTACTGTACCCATCCTGACAAATTCCAACAAAACATGCCGTTGGGGTTTGATGGGTTGAGTTCTGTTAGGGTTAATGCAACCCTTGAAAATGTACCTTTGTGTCCCATTTAATGGGTTTTTTTTTTTCAATTTTCATTTCGCCATTTTCAAGGGGATTTTGGTGCTTTTTTTTGTTTTTATGCTTGTGCGAATTTCCATATTCATGAGCAAAAGTGTGATGACATTTCAGGCAGAAACTTCAATGTTACAGCTATTTCAGTACCAACAGTTGCCAGAACTTTTAGACTTTTTGCTGTCGTAAGTTTTCTTTCTTTGGTGGTTCGTTATTGTGTCAGTACATGGCAGTAAGCCAGTGAGCAAACTTTTGGGTCCACAAATGTTTTCAATGACCACATTTTGGGGTTCACAATTTGAACAGAAAACCCCTAAAACTGAACAGTGTCTTCCTGAAATGACATCGCAGCAACAACGCCCTCAGTTGTCCGGAAAAGCATGGCATTTTTTTTTAATGTTGAAAGGAGTGCACTTTTCAAGAAAATTAACTAAAAAAGAGATGTCAAGCAGTTTCCATGCATTTAAGAGGAGTAGAAATTTACACAAAAAGTGTTCCTCGGAACAATTCATCTGTAATTGTGCAATGTATCATTGTAATTGTGCAATGTATGCCACAGACTCGGGCAAATGTCACAGCTTCACGTACGTAAGTACCCGTTAATTTTCTATTTGTCTTTTTCAGAACCAGGGTATATATGGTGCTCAGGCAGCTGCTCAATTGATGGCTAACCCCCAGCAACGTTACGTAATGGTAAGCCAAAAAAACAAGTATACTAAATATGAGTAAGTAGTAGAAAAATATCAACAAATCAGAGTGATGTCCAATGAAATTGCTGTATCAAAGACACGATATTAACTTTTGAATTCTCCCTCGGCCTTCCATGTTTTTCATGACATTCAAGTTAAGAATAGTCAGTGTTTCAAACTTTAGATATTTTTTCTCGAAATTGTTTTGACCCACCCACAAATTTTGATTTTCAAATGCTGAAAGACCATTCAATATATCCTATCCGCTCCGTTCACAAGTACCCCCTCACCGGCAAAGAAAGTACAGTTGGGGGTGACTGAACGACGCCATCTTGCCCGACTGCAACATTTTGCTGCGAAGCGCGGCCACTGTGTGTACATAGTACACATCCCCTGGTGTACGTGCGTCAACCAGCGAAATGTATGTGTCCCGCCCATGGGACGTCTTTACTAGGTAAAAGGGTGCCCTCTTTTGTTGTCACTCAGAGCACGTACACTGAAGAACGAAGTTATGCTTCAAATGAAGCAGATATTTTAGGTCAATGCTCTCCCAGCTCAGGAGTTTTCAATGGCTTTTCCGGGCTTCCAGCATGCGACTTAGTAGTTGAAACAGACGGAAATTGCCAAGCACGCAAAATTGCATACAATTTTTTTGGTTTTCTAAGACACTGCATTTAAATTTTAAAAAAAGGGTTATTTCGGCTGGAAGAGGCTGCTGGGTATTTTTTTTTCCTTCTTGAATTATTTTTTTCTACTACTTTCATTGAAAACTGAAGTTCGACTTTCAGTTATTTCCTTTGACCCACCCACCCACAATTTTTTTAACATTGACTACTCTGAATGGCCCCTAATGCCAGACTTTGGTTATTTCTTGGGTGGCTATCATTTATATCATGTTTTGTTTTGCTTTGTTTTTGTGTTTTTCCCCTAGATGCCGGGTGGCAACATGAACCCATCCTTTATGATGGAACAGCAAGCCTTATCAGCAGCATCCAGCAACGACTATCAGGTTAGTTTTTAATTTCTCTCCCCCCCCCCAAAAAAAAAGTATTAAAAGTGCAATTTTGTGTATTGGTTTTCAGTTACTAGGGTTGTACGCTTTCTAATTAGCCGCCAAAAAACCCAAATTAACCAGCGATAATTAACAGATGAAGTAAGTTTCACATTTTGAAATAGGAGTGCATGATTCCAAATTCCCAGATCAAGATGTATCGGTCTTGGAGTATGAAAATGGTATTTTTTAGAAGATCAAATAGAGTCCATTTTTTTTTGTTCAAAATAATTTAGTTTTCTGCAATAAATTCATTGGCATGTAAAAATGCATATAATTAGACAAATTTGCCTTTAACAAAACAAAACAATACATTTTTTTTCATTTCCTACATCAGCAATTCCAGAACATGATTAGGTATCAACGGCAACTGCAGCAGATGCAGCAGCTGCAGCAACAACAAAAGCAGCAACAACAGCAGCAGCAGCAACAACAGCAGGAGCTTGCCCGGATGCGCTCGGCGTCAACCATGAACGAGATCATCGCCCAGCAGCTAATGGCCAGCAGTAAGCCGGCTACGGCGCCCTCTTCTTCTGCCACCTCCAAGTTCGTCACGAGCGCCCAGATGCAGCAGATCCTGCAGAAAATCGGCGCTGCAAAGAGCGCAGACAAGCTAAACCAGTCACCCTTCGGAACGGGCGGGCCCTGGAGCGGAATCGGCGGCGGGAAAGGCGGTCCTCCCGGGACTTCCTCCGGAGGTACCAAGTAATTCACAAGTATATCACAAGTCAATTCACAAGCATAAAAGGACATGAGCCATTAGCAAATATGCACTTGAATAGCTTAACCATCCTATGAAAACATACATTCTCTGCCAAGTTGTTCTTTCAGTCCAAATCAAGTGACTGTTTTCATCAGTTAAGAGCTCCCAGCCTACATGAAGCAGGATTGACTGGCTGTGACTGTTTATGTAACTTGATACAGCTATGCTTTGCCTGTAGGCGATCGATAAGACAGCTGTACCTACCAGTCACTTGCTTTTTTGTCTGTTGACTGAATTTGACTAGTCGCGGTGATGCTGGAATTTTGATCTGACTGCTGGTGACTGCTCTGTGTAAAGGCATGGCAGGGGAAGGGGATGAAGTTTTTGACTGTCTGTGACTGTTGAAACAGTAGGAGGTTAAAGAATAGCTTGTCACAGTTCATTGAAATAGCTTTTGAGTTGTACTTGGGACTAGATTGCTTGTGATGGACTTGTGATGGACTTGTGATAGCTTGTGATGGTTTGTGAGTGATGACAAGCACTCCAACTACAACACCGAGTAATCATGTCTTTAGGCCTCACTGTGTACTGTATGTAGCACGGCTATTTATTCTTCACTTTAAAATGCATTTGAAAACAGCTTGGACTTCAAAACCTTTTTGCACATTGTATTACATTGTATAACATTGTATTACATTGTATTAACTCAGTCATGAATCCATAAAAAGCACACAATGCTGGGCAGCTCGGGGGCCATGTAATGAGTAACATGCAGGGTTGCTTTCGGTAAATTAGCTAACGGGTTTAGATAATTTATTCTTCCTTGCATTGCACAAACAAATGAATGGAAAAAACGTCAAGAATATCTTTAGGTTGTGTATCCACCGAGATCGGTTGAAAGACTTTAATAGAAATAAGTTTCTAAGATCATAACTGGAGCAATGTACAGCAAACAAACGAACTTGTAAGAGCTGCTACAATTGTCGCAGTGTTACGAACTGCTGCGTCAGAACAAGAAAAAAATACCCCCCCCCCAAAAAAAATAAAAAATAAAGGGGTTGGTATTTATTAACGTTATACATTGTATTCTCCATCATTGTATTAACAGAAGAATGATCCGCCTGCTAATTAAATGTAATTTATTTGATTCAAATTTATTAGAAAATTGAAATTAAGAAGAAAAAAAGAAGGGAAAAAAATTATGTTAACAACTTAAATGACAACTTTCCCAATTTTGCGGTCGTGTGACTTCGTTTGCGTTTTACATTTGGTAAATTGCATAAGTTAAATAAAAGTTGTGATGAAGTTCAGACATGTCCTTTGTTAGGAGGAAATGTTGACTTTTAGACAAAAACAACTCTGTAATAATTTGACAAGTTGTAATTAGCACAGCTGCACATGTTGCCGGTTGAAACGTTTGCTAAACAGTCAAGTATATGCATGCTTGTAGAGTAGATGGCACATTTCTCACAAAATAGAAGTAAAATCCTTGTTATTAAGAAGTCTTGAAACTTTGGACTATTTTTAAACAGCGTTTTTTATATTTATTTATTGCTGAACATACAATTCCAGAATGGCATCGATACTCAAGATTTTTTAAAATTCTTTGATTGAGCAAAGTGAAGAATTGACTAAAATTAGCGCTCGATATTTGCTGTGAATATTCGGAAAGAATTCCAAAGATTTAGACTATTTGCTTGGACCAAATGTCGATGTAAAATAGTTTCGGATCTGAAAAGTGTCTCAGTATTGCTTGCGTGTTTAAATCAGATTCATGTGTGCTCATTATGTGTGCACTTGTTTGAACATTGTTATTCTTTACTAAATTCACTCGTTATCTCAATATTTTGGATGTAAAGACTTTATCAAAGTCTTTTACATCTTTATTCATTCAGAAATTAGGTAAACGTACATTTTTTGTTATTGTGTCACACATTTTTTTGTTTTTTTCTTAAAGTCCATAAGCCATTTGCAAATTGATTTCGAGTAACATCTGGAACCCTGACTTGTTCAAATGTTTGGCACATTTTAACACTGAATTCTCCAGACTTATGAGACTGTTGCTGTATCATGCGATTCGGGGCAAGCCTTATGCTAGCAACCCCCAACTCCGGAATGGTCTGGTGTCTTTGTGCCATTCTCCGCAATTGTGAGCAGTGTATTGGTGTTGAGCGTCTCTTACGTAACTATGCAAGAGTTTGCCCCGAATCATGTGATATAGCAACAGTGTCTTTGGTCTGGAGAATTCAAAGTTAAAACGTGCCAAGCATTATGAGCAAGTCGTTGTACCAGATGTTATTGAAATTGAACTTTTAAAGGGTATAGGTTATTCGCAAATGGCTTATTGAACAAGAAAGTCCATGTGATACTTAAAGCTACATGTATATGTACATGTATTTAGCCTGAACACTGCACAGCTAATCAGTAATCATTATGTATTAAATTGTAATAAAACCACATTGTATGTGACATTGTGTGCTGTAACAAGACTTTCACTTTAGCTTTGCAGCACCAGTAATAACACAAAATTATTGAAGTATGTATCTCGCGTAATTAATTATAAACGAAGTAATCATAAATGTCGCTTGAAATAATCACTGGTCCAGAGGTTGTGGCACAGAAATCTACTAGAAAATGATCTAAACTTGTTAAGTTTATCATTTCCTTCAAATCTGCAAAAAAAAATCGGACAGAATTTCGGATTTCGTAGTGCACCTCTGTTGAGGCATGCTCTCACACTTTGTTCGTGCACAAGGAATGTTCCACTTGGTTTTCTGAACTAATTGTACGATATCGGGAGAACTTTCTCGCGTAGAAAAGGTTATAATTTTGCAGAGTTGTCATTTACTTGTACGTGTTGTGGCAATATTTAATCTCACAGAGGCTTAACAGGTGATCAGCGATTGTACCAACAAATCTTAGCCATTAAGCATGACGTGAAGGTGCGATAAAATTTACAGAATCTTTTGCTTTCAAAATTTTTAGTATCTATTTTGTTTTATAAAACCTGAAGTCATATATGAAGGGGGGGGGGGAAGTACATGTAATGCCCATTCTTCTAAATCTGTTAGAAACAACAAACGTATTTTAAACAACAGTGAATGTATATTAAAGTTCATTTATTATTCTGGAAAGATGCCCCTGTTCGAGTTTAACATTATCCAAATTGTGCATCGTATTCCAAGTGTTGTGAATATACAGAAAGGTTGCATCTATTCTTGTTCCTTAAAACATATTAGTTCCTTAACCAGTTTACGCCGGGATTATTTTGACAAGAACGGAACGAGGCGCAGGATTACTTTTCACTCGACCTCCGAAGCAGGCGGGTCGAAGCCATCACGCTCGGGCAGCACACTCATATTTCCGGCCTCGCCCCTGCGTGTATATCCATCATCCGTTCCGAATACCGCAAAACTTTGCGTGTATACACTTTGTACATGGCTTCCGGCACGAACTGGTTAAGAGGTATTAAATGTTAGGGGTAATTCTTTGATAATTTGATGAAAAAGAACAAATGATGTAGACGTGCAGAACCAGAGAATAAGTAACTTTTCCCAACTTTATAGTTGTATCAACAAATACAGCAGACTATTTGCGCTGGGCAAGTGTATGAAAAAAACAAAAGAGTTAAAATAGCCTAAAGTAACATTGAAGGCGAGATTTTAAAAAAAGTGAAACCTTCTTGTGTTTTTTGTTTTTTGTTTTATCAATAAGCTTGATTTTCCACGGTGGTAAAGTTCAACGGAAGAATTCGTTAGTCGTTACCAACTACTGACTTAATTCCACTAGTGAATTCTAGAACTGTACTTACACATTCTTCCATAGTGGAAAATCAATCATTATATGTAGTTTAAAAAAAAAGAGTTTTGTGTTACAATATTGCCAAGCTGTATCGTGTTAAAAAGTTTAATCTAGATAGCATTGTCGTAAATAAACACATACGATTATTAAAAATTCTCTATTTGAGTGTTAAAGAAATTGCTTCTTTTGGCCGTCTTGCACAATTATAAACACAGAAATGAGTATCAATGAGAAACCAAACTAACAGAAACAAATCTTTCACCAATAATTTATTTTTTCTATCAACTTGAACAAAGGTGACAAAAGGCTTAAATTTATACACAAATTATCGAATAAATTAAAACCAATGGTACATACTAAATAAAAGTACATTCACTTGAAAATAAGTATCCCAAATTTGTACTCCTACATTGCTAACACGCTCAATTTATGTGCCTTTAAACACCAACCCACCCACCCCAATGTGATTTAATGTTTTTCCAAAATAACAACTACTGTAAACAAATATACTTTTAGATGCAATTTGATTCAGCATTTCCATGTGTATAAAACATTTTGCCTCAATATGGTACAATTCTTCTCCACAACACAATTTCTCCAGTCTTCACAAAACTTTCATTTTTAGCTAATGAATAAAGTATCTAAACAAATAAGATTGGGAAAAAATGTTGCAACCTGACGCCACTTTTTTTAGTCATATATCATCTCAATGAAGGTCAGTCATTACAAAATTGATAAGACATTAATCTGGGACTCAGAAAAAATTCCAATTTTGTTAGGAAATACTTAGAAATCGTCTTGACTCTCCATAGTCTTTGTACACAACCGCTGAAGTGGGGTCAGGTTGTAACATTTTTTCCTAAGATTAAATCCAAAGCAATAGATTTAAAGTGGCAGGCAAAGAGTCAGGTATAAAATTTATGCTGACAAACGATTCCAATGAATTATAAAAACAATACTTTCCCAAGGCTTTTAAAAAATAATGCATACAGTGTCACCGACCACACCCATGGCATTTATTCTTCAACCTTTTTCATGAGTTATTTCAGTTTTATTTTAATTTCTTGAGTTTGGCCGGCTTCTCCTTCTTTTTGGGCGGGGCCGAGCCTCCTCCGAACATCCTGGCTGCCATCTCGGAGAGATCCGGCATCTCCGTCTTGGGGTTCATCAGGTTCATGTTCCGCATCTCCTGAAAATTCATAACAGAGAAGAAGAAATCAAAGAAAACAAAAAACAGTTCTTAGAAAGCAGTGTTGCCAGTTTGCCTTTCCCCATTAGGGACCTTTCCTGATTGTCAATCAAAGACGGATTATAACCAATCAGAACATGACTTCTGGTCAGGTGACCATAGGTGGGGCGGGGCTTATGGCCAAAACGATTCATTTTTGTACGTTACCTTTTGGACCTCTGGATCTTGTGTGTTGATTAATTTGGGTAGAACCACGATGAAGATGAGAGGGAGAACCATCATCAACACCTGTAAGAAAAAGTTCTTAAACTTTATTTATTTTTTTTACCCTACATATTGAGGTCTTGAGAAAAAGTTGGTGAGATAAAAATCAAGGAAATTTAGTCAGCATGTGAACAATTTGCTCAAGATTTATGGAGTTTCTTTTGGGCATAAAAAAGTGGCATCCAAAATAGCGGCGATCGGGTAGTGTAGGGACCTTCTTTAGTTTTTATCAAATTTGAATCAAGGATGTATTTTTATCATTCAAAAATGACCTTTTCAACCTAGAGCAAACTTCTCTCAATTCTAATGACACCTTTTTTTGTAATTTTGAACAGTTTCTTGGGGTAGAAATTGCGATAATTTTGTACGCCATTTATGGTTGGTGTTGTGCGATTCAGAGCGGTATTGCATATTCATTTTAAGGTATATTGCAGTGATCGCCATCTTTATTTCGTGTTGCATTTTGTCGTCCTCATCGTTATTTTACCCCCAAATTTCCCTCAAAAATTCAAAACTCTGCCCTCTATCTGTAAGTTTGGTAAGTTTATAAATAAATTAAAAGTGGATTTTAATCTCTTATATGGGACCAGGGCCCTACACTACAAGATCGCCAAAATCGGTGTTTGAAAGGCACCAAGACACTCCTCTGGCTACAACCTGGTCTCTGAAGTTTTCATCAGGGTTTGGACTTCTCCAACTCACCATGGGGTTTTTGAGCATGTCCGTTACCCGGAATTCCTCCCGTTTCTGGAAGTAACTAAAGTGCTGCTTGGACTTGAAGCGCAACGGGTAAGGAACCGTGACCACAGCGTTGCCCTGGATGTGATTGACCCGACGCGCCCGCATCTTGCCCTTGGCTGTGATGTCTACTCTAGCCGGCTCAAATATGTAGGTCGGGTTGGCCACTTCCACCACGTAGGAACCGGACGGCACTCCGGTTACTTTGAAGGCACCGTCGGCTCTGGGGGAAAAACAATTCGAAATTTGAGCAATAAAATAGAAAGCTTGTGACAAAATTGGAAGTCATGAACAAAAAGTAGGTCTACAAAATAATAGTATGGAAAAATATGTGTGGCCAAATGTTTGACTACTTTTTCATAATGACAATGTTAACTCAATTTGACTGCTCTCCATGGTAACTGCTTTAGAATAGAAAAATTGTGGGGGCGCTGTTCATTTGGTAACCCTTTTTCTGAATAGGAATTGTGATTCAAATTGTGATTTGTTTTGCACAAAAATACTGTTCAATTTATAATCAAATATCAGAATTTTTGCAATCAAGATTGCATTGCCGTATGCCATGTATTTTTTGAAATAAGCAATGATTAAAAAAAAAAGGATGAATATTTTGCCAAAATGTGAGTTTTGAGTATTTTAATCATGTTTCTGCATTCCTGTATGTATGCAAAATAATCCCATGTTACTCTGCATTATCAAGCGTACACATTTCATAGTCACAAAAAATCCCTGGTTTAAATCTAATTTTCTTTGGTTTGACGATCCCGACGGAATCCAAACTTGCATTGTTAAAATATTTCTGATAGTTTTTTTCTACAAAACTACATCGAAAACAACTGCAGAAAATCATTTGAGTAGGCCAATACAAACATAAACAAACAAACGAATGAAATAATAAATAACTCATCACGCAATATGTTTTACTAAGTAAGATTTCAAAATTATTCCCCAAAAAGTGGCACTTGGATGCTACATTCTTTTAAAATTATGAATCTAGCTCTACCTCAAGAACCCAACATATTGTCCACCATCAACCAGTACGCGCGTGTGAGGTATCCATTCCGACGCTTTCACACCGGTCACCAACACTTTGCCTTCAATCACAAATGTATCGTTTACTTTGCTGTCCTCGGCTTCCTCCATCAAACATGGCGACACCCACAGCACAAGCACAAATAAAAACGTCCGTAACATGTTCAGAGGTAAGGAATTTGCTTCTAGTTTTAGGTGAAAAAAATGAAGAGATTTACTTCTCACGTTAATTTTCCCCCATTATGCCGTAAAGGTGTGCACGAAACGATACCTGGACTCTTTCCGAATAAAACTCTGCGATCTTTATTTACTCACACTGGGCATCTGACTATATTACAGTGCATTTTGTTTCAATTTCAAGAGAGGGCGCTATATAGATCCCATGAACATGTTAAGTTTAATTTTGTTTATTTGGTCCAGTTTCAATCACTGTGTGGCGAATAGGATTATTAATTTATAAAAATAAAAGAATATGTCTGGGTTGTTAATTTCAACATAAATCTATAAATGGCAATCAGGCACTTAGTAGGGGTAGACTTTACAGCAGAATCGATGAGTAAATTGCTCCAAAAAATTGTAACTTTCAAACAGATTAAAGTAAATTTAAAGCAAAATTTAATTTTGGGCACAAGTTGAAGTACAGTCTTGACTTCAAATTCAATAGCTACTTGGTGTTCTATCGGATAAGCCCTCGTTTTCAAATTCGTAGTTTCATAAGAAGATTGTCAGTTTTGAAAACTGTACTTGTCTTTATAATAACAATAATAAAAGTACAAATGTAGGGAAAAAGATGTAGATTGATTTTATTATTTTATTCCAGAAGTTTTTTCATTGAGGAATGTCACAAGAGGGCGCACTTCAGTGAGACCATTAAATTCTCCAATTCTCAGATCTCATCGATACACTCAGCTCAGCCACTTCATGTCATGAGCAAGGCAGTGACTTTTCATAATTTATTGAAAGTATTACGAAATCCTTAACTATTTTCTTTTCTTACAACACCGGTCGCGCTGTTAACCACCATTACATCTTTTTATTCGATTTCTTCAAAACGACAGACAGTCACTCCCATATTATCCCCACCCCAAACAAATAAGTAAATAAATAAATAAAATTGGGATTAAGGGACTTAAATTACTTGGATTTTTGTGACACTGATATTTATTCATCTGTGAGATAAAATCAAGAAAACAAGGAGGGGAAAAGAGACAAAAGGTGACAAATATGGGGCGGGGCTAGGCAACCACTGATCAAAATTAATTTCGATCCTTAATTTTCCGACTTGGCAGTCGAATATTTAGGAATCGATTACTGCCTAAGTTCCTGCCCTGAAATATTCAAGATGGCGTCGTCTGTAGACATGGTGAAAAACTACGCAGCGATGACGCTCGTCTGGTGGAGTTAGACGGCGTATTCCCGCATATCATGGGCTTATTCCGGCGGCAGCCATGTCAAGAATTCTAAATGGACAATTGCCACTGCCGGCAGGTTGGGAAGAGGCACGGGATTACGACGGCAAGATATACTTCATCGACCACAACACGCGAAAGACGTCGTGGATTGACCCCCGTGACAGGTTGGTGCATTTTGTCCGATTGATGTCCGGTCCGTCTGTCATGTCTGTTATTTTGTGAACTGCCTGTCGTCGTGCCTGCCCTGTGTGCCCAAGCTTTTTCCTAATAACATATTCACAGTTTTCTCTGTAGGAAAAGAATGTGTTTTCTGGAACTTTTTACTTGAGCAGAGTAGGGGGGGGGATATCTTTCATTGTGGTTACCTGTCACTGCATGTGCCTGAATAATAACGTTTTTGGCATAGGCCCTATTTAAAACATGTGGGCACAGTGAACACGGAGTAAAAGTGGTGATTTGTAATTGTTTACTTTAGTAAAGCAGGTCCATTGCATAATAAAATTCATTCACTTAAATAGTTACTAGGCCTATCCTATGTTAAATTAACGTTCATATTCTTACTGACTTGTAAAAAGGTCTTTTGCCGTATTCAAGGTATTTTTTGTATGTGTGGAAATGTAGCTAATAGCCGCAGCTCCAATTACACTTACACTTACACTTACGATTTAATGGGAATAAGTATTAGGCTTCATAAGCCTTTATTGACCCCATATCTCTTCCAGTACTCGTCGAGCTCATGTTTGAAAGAATTTGTGGTCTTGGCATTCACAACATAACTTGGTAAATCGTTCCAGGTGTTGACTACTCTCTGGGAGAAAAAATCTTGCCTGCATCTGTTGGTGAATGAAAATCCGTTTTCATGGTATTTCTTCTATTTGACTTACGTACCTAAATAGCTGGCAATATCATGAATTATGGAAAACAAAACATGCAAATGAAGATGGCAATAAAGCGGATTATTGGAAAGCTTATCGTAGGCTGTTGAATACGTGTATAACATTTTGCTGAAACGCAATCTCTGATTGGTTTATAAAAAAAACTTACGACACTTGCGGGGAATTGTCAGGACTGGAAACCAGACTAGCTGGGTTGCACCCATTCACATATATCCGATTGCAAACAAAATTTGGACTAACAAAATGTGGTAAATTGGGGGTGGTATTTGAAAAAAAAGTCAGTTTAGTTTTTCAATGATGGTCGAACAACCATCGTTGGAAATTCATAAAAATTCCACTTTTCTTTAAAATGACAGCACACCAGGTGCCATGATTTCACCGGATGCCTGAGACTATTATTCACTTACAGTCCAGTAAGGTATTTCATAATAATTTGGTAGTTTTGTTTTTGATGTTTGCAAATGTTGTATATTACCTTGAAGATTTTCTTTTTTGGTACTTGAATACATGCAGAGGTTAGAAATATGGATTTGGATATTGTTTAACTTTTAGTGGCCTTTTTTGAACAATTATAAAACTGACAAGGATTTTTCCTCATTTTTTGAAAAACAAAAAATAGAAGTTTACTTTTAACCTTTTGATTTGAAACCTTAAGAGATTTGTATCTGTATGGATCTACATGTAAGAATAAACTCCCAGTAAGCAAGTTACATGACTAAATGTAGTGTGTAAAAAACAAAATACATACATGTACATCTGGAATGGAACATAGTGCCTACATGTACATACAGTGTAGGGAATCTGTGCAAATTGTTTACAACACTTGTCCCAGATGGACCCAGTGTTTTGGAAACAACAGGGATGCATTATTTATAAACATGAGGTACAGATAGACTAGCTTTAATTTAAAGGAACATATACTATCCCTGTCAGGGTGTATGGGTGATTTTTTTCACAGAGATACATGATTTATAAACATGAGGTAAAGATAGATTTGCTTTAAGGGAACATATTATCCCTGTATGGATGATTTTTTTTTCTTCACATGACTAACATAATCACAGTCAAATGTGCATTTACATTGCATACGCAATGATCTAGATAATATTGAGCTTCCAATATATTCAGATCTCTGTGGAATTATCAGGAGAGGGAATGAAGTACTGAGGACAGGAAGTTGGGCAATTAAAAAAGCATCATACTTAAAAAAGAAAAAAAGAAATAGTGGTTTAAGCTTTGTGGCTTGTGTTCAGAAGGTCAGGGATTCCAATGTAGCTGCCAACCATATGTTGTGTCCTTGGGCAATCCACTTCACCCCACTTGCGTCTCTCCGCTCAGGAGTATAATTGGGCATGGTCATTACTTTTGGAAATCTGTGATAGACTGGAATCCATATTCATATTCAAACAATAATTCATGTAACAGAAATTCCTATCATAATAACCAGTGCATTTCCTGTCTTCTAATTGTGTGATTGATATGTATAGGCACATCATGCCTGCTCCAGCTACATCATGTAGCCCCAGAGCTGTAAAGCATATACCTTAAAAGTGTCCATGAAATTAATTTTTCTACTCTTTTAAATGTATGAAAATTATTTAACATCCCTTTTTGGTAAATTATATTCAAAAGTGCACTTCTTTTCTGGACAACTGAGGGCGCTGTTGTTGTGATGTCATTCAGGAAGACACTGTTCAGTTTTAGGGGTTTTCTGTTCAAATGTGAACCCAAAAATCTGCTCGTTGAAAACATTTGTGAGAAAAGTTTGCTCATTGTCTTACTGCCACGTACTGACACAACAACGAATCACCAAAGAGAAGACAATTTACGACAGCAAAATATCCAAAATTCTGGTAACTTGTGTGCTGAAATAGCTGTAACATTGACATTTCTGCCTGAAATGACATCTACACTTTTGCTCATGAATATGGAAATTTGCATTAGCATAAAAACCAAAAAAGGCACTAAAATACCCTTGAAAAATGGCAAAACGAAAATTGAAAATAAGATTAAATGGGACACAAGTTGCATTTTCAAGGGTTGCATTTATAAAATGACATCACATGGCCCTTTAATAGTGGCTGCACAAACTTGCAGGAATTGCTGAATCAAATTCTGAATATTAAGATATTTAACTGATTGAAACTTTGAATTTAAGATTATGAAATTATATAAATTGACTCAATGTGACTAAAAAAATGGATTTAATTTGGACCACAAGCGTCTAAATCTCAAAACCAAAATTATATTTTACTTTGCATGTACATCATATGTACACTACACGGTACATGGAGTTCTACAGTCTGAGAGTTGCGAGCCCTTTAATACATGCAGGAATGCCACAAGCAAGTTTTGGAAGATATTCTAACCACCATAACTGGCATTCCTCAAATGTCTTGGGGGTTGGCCGTTACAGATGATCAGTGGCCAAGGAATATGGAATTGAAACTATGATGTAGTATTAGACTATGCTGAGCATATCCACACCAGGGATTAAGAAGCTAGCCATGTCTTCTCGTGGTCAAAGCCCCTGGTTTGTAATAGGAGACTCCTGCACAAGTTTCACTAGACAATCCGTTAAAGGGGTCTTGAAGAAAAAATTACTGTAAAATATTCTGTGTTAATAGTCATGCCTCTGAATTTGAATCTCTTTTTGATAAAAAAAAAATTTTTTAAGGCACTGTATGATCATTTACATGTAGGATCATTTACTTTTCATGCGTTTTGTTCGTTTCCAATAAATAAACCACTCAAAATCCAAAGAAGAATGTTCAAAACCCTACTTGTTGAAGTTGCAGCAATAACACTTTTTGAGAAAGCCGTGAAAAACCATGCACAACCTTTTGATCACGAAACACCATTTCGTCGATAGCGCTGTTTATTTCTAAAAATCAGTCAATTGACTGATTGTTGGAGATCACCTACATTCCAGACGGAATAATTTCATGGGGTGTTTAGTAGCAGCACTATCTTTAATCCAAGTAAGCTTTTTGATAATGATTCGGTAGGTTACTTGTGGGGTTTGATCCTGGATAGATGCTGGAATAACCAAGAAAAACAATCATGTTCCTGTAGTCTGGTTCCAAAGAATAACACTTTTCTTGAAAATGACAGCGCACCAGGTGCCACGATTTTACAGGATTCTTAAGACTGTCATTCACTAACAGTCCAGTAAGGTATTTCATAATAATTTGGTAGTTTTGAATTTTGATGTTTGCAAATGTTGTATATTTCCTCTAAATCCTAATCATTAATCTAATATCGCTGATCTCCATAGTCTTACCATCCAGCCAACATGCAGACCCACATCAAATCCAGGCCCCCTCAAATATGCCCCCACCTAGTCATCATTTTCTTCTCTTTGTTTGTCCAATTCCCACCATTCAAATGCTTCTCAAAATAAGTAGAGTCTTAAAGAAGTGGCTTGATGGTCTGACCTTGGTGAGTTTGTCTCAGCTTTCTTTCATCTCTCTCTTTGCCTTTTGAGAAGGTGACCCTGAGATCTCCTACATTTTCGCCTCTCTCTGTTAATGGGCTGATTTTCACCAGCGTTGACAGCACATATTTAGCAAGTGGCTGCCAGATAGCTTTGTTGGAGGACACTCTCTTACGTACCTCCTGCTAGGCGACTTAAAAATTCACCAGTCCCACAATCAGAACTTCCGATTGCAAGACAGTTGGATGAAATGAGAACATAAATCTGAACAGATCTGGACAGAAGAAGATCCCCGTTGACTAAAACTTGTGAAGGTTTAGTCACAAAGATTTGTAATTGTAAGAGCCTGCAAAGTTCATTGTGAACAACTGCTTTATATGAATCCGTGAACTGGCATTAGATGGGGGGAAAAAGTTATCCGTTTGTGTTTTCAAGAAATCCTCGCCTGTGGGAAAAATCTCTGGCGTATGTTCACATAATAATACACCCAGTGACTATAAAGGGTTTTATTCACTTGTCGTTTGCTCGCCGTGATGGAGTACAAGAGACACGTGCCCGCAGGCTGAATTCCAGTGGGTTCCAAGCACAAGTAACTAATCAGTCAAGCATTGAAACCTGCCTTCCACACTCACACATGAAAAAAAAATAACCCTCCATCCCTGAAATCGCTAGGGTTATTGTCCATGGGGGGGGGGGTGTTGCATTCTTCTGCGCTCCCTAATGTGGGTTGAGCGAGGAGCGCGTGCACAGTGAAGGGGGGTGGTGTGTGGGTTCGCAAACCTTGTAGATCCCCCTTCCCTATTTTGACTGACAAAAGAAAGGGAGAGGTTCTTGAAGAGGGCCTCTGAAGAAACAACTCCAGAATACTGACAATAGAATCGGATTTGCAGAGGAGGCTGATTGACTATAACTGTCCCTGCTTGCAGTTTTAATGCCTTAGCCACGCACAAGGGATAAAACCAGGCCCCACATACCAAGCATTGTCCGTGCGCATAATTGTATACACAACAAGTCGTACTGAATTTATAAACTACATCAGCAGCCTGTGGTAGAAAAAGGCAACGTTCGTTGTTCGCTGAAAAAAATCAGATTGTTTTTTTTTCCGGCACTCATGTTGTTGTAAACTTTGGGATTGTTATGAAATAACTTGCGCTTGGTATTCAACGACAGAACTGAAGGGGACCGCACTGCCCTAGATACAGTGGTATGTACATATGTATGCTTTGTTGATGATTACCTATCAGTTGTGCTTATCTCCTTCAAACATGCCAAAGTCATGGCGGAATTTCTTTCGTTTCTTCTCTTTTTGGGGGGGGGGGGGTGGTGATCTGAGTAACCGGACTGGTTTAAAGTGTACAGCATTGGGAGAATGGAAGTCCGTAATCTCTAGTGGAGATCTCGTTCAGTAACGCTTGTGCATTGTTTGGTTTTTGATTTTTGGCCACACATTTTGGGGTTTCTGGGAAGGATGGTAAAAAAAAAATACACACACAAAAAAAGGATAAAAAAGAACAGAAGAAAGAGGCAGGAAATGGATTTAACGTTGACATTTCACAAGAAAATGAAACAGCATTGTTATACCCTTTCTGTAAATTTGCTCAATCCATTAACTGAAATTGTTATGTCAAGGTTTATAAAAAAAATAGGGGGAAAGTCACCCCAAAATTTCCCTTTTCAATAAAATTTCTTAGAAACTCAACTATATTTTCATTTTTCAAAACTGGCCTCATTGCCACTTTGCCAGCTACACAAAAAAAATACCGAGCTCATCCCCCGTGGCGGCAAAAAATTGCGGGATATTTTCCCTTCATGCTGGGTAACACATGACAAGTTTGGCGACATCAAAAGAAAAGAATGATTCAGAATTCTTTTGAAAGGATTCTATTCATCGAAAATATGGCAAGTATTTCGGAAGGCCGGCGGGATTTGGCACCGGTGACAAAAGAGCTTATGAATAGCGTGGAAGAAATTGTAAAGGAAACTAATTTATAGATTTCTTTTTGTATTGAAAGTCTGGTTGGTTTTCTTTTTTCTTTGGTGAAATGTTGAATACAGCGTAACAAACAACCATGCGGATTGTCAAGTCTGTGCTTTTGTGCAAGGATTGCCCATATTTGGTTGATGTAAAGGACTGTTTTTCCACTTTTCCCCTCCTTTAAGAACTGTAGAATCTATTTAAAACTCTCAAATAATATTGAAAAATAAGGTGTTTCCCCTTAACCTTGGGTGTCATATTAGCTGACATTGCCTAGAAGTTGGTAGTAAACAATTTTACAGTGAAGCATTTTCCAGACACTTTTACCAGACACAGAAAAAAAACTATTTTTAGAAATAAGGAAAAAAAAAATGGTCGGTCTCTGATCAGCGTGCGCGTCAATTTTGATCATGCGCGTCAAAGTTTTTTTTTCAAATTTTCCGCTGTAGCTATAACAGTGCCCTCTATTGCCATATTGCCTTAAAGTTTTGTAGGCAACTTGACTCCAGATGATGGAGGGCACCAAGGTAAATGATGGCGGGCACAAGGTATATGAGGACACAAAAAAGCAAGATAGTACCCACCTTGTCTGTACCATCCATGCTTGCAAAAAACAAAAATGCCAAAACAACCAAAAAACCCCGTCTGACCAGAGACCGACTATTTAAAAAAAAACTTGGCCTGAAGCTGCAATTTTTTTAATGAAGGGCTGTCCATTTTCGAGTAATTTAGTATTCAGTTATTCGGAATGGCTTTTCACTGAATATTCGATTATTCGAAACTCTCTGATCAAGTTTACACACGCCACCTGCAACTGGGTGCTACCACGTCGGTCAAAACTTGCCGACCAAATTAGCATGAGTTTAGGGGATCGATATTATGGAAGGCTGGAGTGTTTTACAGTCAGTATTCAGTAAAAGTCAAGGTCTTTAAAGCTATAGTCCATCATTTGTAATTAGTGCATTTTGTTCGTTTGAAGCAACAAAAGTGTTCAAAATCTAATGAAGGATACTAAGCAACTAACCTGATGAAGTTTCAGCTCAGCTTCAGCTGTACATTCTGAGAAAAGCAGCATTCTAAGATCTCAATTTCAAATCAAAAGTTACTGAATCATGTTTTGAATTGTTTTGAATTGCAGCTATACGCGGCGTCGCGCACTGATCCGACGAATTATAACAACCGCGCGTGTGTGTGCGTCGTTCCAATACTTGTGTGCGCTGCGCTGAATAACAAAACGAACTACTAATTTAAATTTTCCTACGGTGCTTCTTAAGAATCACCGTTGGAAATGCCTTCTTTTGTTGATTACTTCAAAATGACAGCTTCCCAGAAAGAATAATTTCACAGGGAGTTTAGTTCCCTTACTATCTTTCAACCAAGTTTGTTTTTCAACAGTAATTATGCCAGTTACTTTTCGGATGGCTGCAAATGATGGACTATAGCTTTAACCTGCTTAAAAGATGGGAAACAATGAACCGCCATCTGACAATAAAGCGCTGCAACTTTACGATTACAACAACATCAAAGCCGTGTACAATTTATTGTTTTTTTCCCCCGAATATTCAAAGTGGCAAAAGGCTATTCCAATATTCAGCAAAAATCGAAAGCTCAAATATTAAGTATATTCGGGACAGCTCTATGTGATGGCCACCTCAAAGATGTATACATTTTTCCTGTCGTTTTCGTTCAATGAGCGACACACTTGTGTGTGTCACATAAATTATTCACAGCACCAATACACAAATATTGTTTCCTGCACGTCCGCAGAAGGCAACCACTGAACAGCTCCATTTTTCGGGACAGAATAGTGACACCCGAAAGTTTTTCTCGCATGGTTCTTGCAAGAATTACTCAAAATACACGGTTTTTACAGGATAGTTGTTTGGACGTTTATAGTCTACTTTTAAATGCTCTTGACATTTAATATCATTTCATTTGAAACATGGAAATTGGGCGTATTTCAGGACGTAATGCCCCTACAAACAGATTAAAAATTTAAAAAGGCGAAGATCATACAATTGGTTTTCACACTTTGTAAAAGGTAAAGGATTCTGATGGCTTTTGAAAAAAAAACTTTTTTCCCCCTTGTCTCTTGACAATTCTCAGAACCTTTTTAGACTCGGTTGCTAGGAATTGTCTGAATGCGACCACAGTGTGTATATTTTCAACTATGACATACATTTTGTTCTCTCTTTCAAACCACCAGATTAACCAAGCCACAGACGTTTGCTGACTGCTCTGGAGATGGTAACTATATCTCTGTTTTTCAACCCTCTAGTAATTTTTAACTTTGTAATTTCTTCTGAAATTGGTGCTTTTAAGAAGGAGTATTTATCTGCTTGCGACCAGTTTGAATAAAAAAACGCCTGTCAAAAATTGTACTATAGGTCTCTCTCAAAGACAGCCATCTCTGTAGGTGAACTGCAACTGCATATTTTACTCAATCAAGCACGCATTGCGCAGTGTTGAAAATGTTCCAAACGTGTGCGCTTGTTGCTTTGAATGTTTTCGAAATACAACGCAGCCGATAAGTGTTATGCAAGTTGACGCTCAAAATATGCACGTGGCTGGTCTGTAGGAAATGACGTCATTTGAGAGAGACCTATTGCAGTAGAAGGAGGCAAACAATTCTAACTTTTGATCAGTCTTTCATTCTTAAAAGTTTGGGTATTAAATGCTTTGATTGTGTGAGATTTTTTATTGCCTTTTTTTGCTCGATTTCAATTTCATGGATGGATTCCCACTCAGTCCACATGGGGAAGTTGAAACGCTTACCAAAGAGGAAAAAAAAAGGGATGAAGTTTTGTTTTTCTTCAAAACTCCTTAGAGTTTTCAGGGAACTTCAGTGGACTGCACTTTCATATTTTGTCAATTGGATGCTCTATTAAAGCTAAATTATACATTGGTTTGAGAATAAAAACATTTGTGAAATTTTGCTCATCAATGAAGTCAAAGCTGCTGATTCAAAATAATATATTATTTATCTTAATTGTTTATTATTTGGCATATAACCAACTTATATACCATAATACCCTACTTGCTGTGCTATTTGATGTTGATTTTCATGGTCTTTCTTGTTCTTTTTTTTTTTGCCCATTCTTGTCTGGATTAGAGTTACCGTTTGGATGGGAAGAGGCATATGATCCTGTTTTGGGTGTTTACTACATAGACCATCTAAACCGTAAGTTGACTCTTTAACCTAACTCCCTAGGCATTTTTGCTAGGATGCAACCTCAATCCTGCAAATTCCTCCAACTGCCTCCATGTAATAATTGCGTACTGCCTCAATTGCCCAAAATCCTTCCATTTTTTTTCTTGAATGTGGTCCTTGGAGAACAGCAATCGCTGGCAATATGTTGAGGAAGAGGCAGTGACATCCTTGAGCAGTGCGGAGGATTTCAAGCATAATCTAGGCCTAAATTTATCCACGGCTGAGCATAAGCAACACAGGGTCCGGCCCAAGACCTTGACACAGTGCATCCAAAATCAGCTTCAATAATAGCCTCAATCCTGCAAAATCCTCCATTCAGCAAAGAGGGTTTTGGAGGATTTGGGAAGGTTAGGGTAAATGTGGCTGTGGTTTGTAGAGAATCAATACAGTAATAACTTATCAAAATTATTTGCATTTGCTTGTCGGAGCTTTAGATAATGCAATACTCTGTGAAGAATTCCAAGGTTGACAAAGCCATGAAAATTGACGTTGGCCGAACCATTATTAAAGCATCTTTGAAAACTGTAACAGAAAATTCTTAGCAAAGGAATAATGGACATCCAGTAGACACTGCTTCTGCAGTTACATGATGCACAGGGCTCCATGGTTGGCAGAGCCTCGAAATGCAAACCTTTTTTTGCCTCTCAAACCAATTCATCATTTTTTTGTGGTTGTTTTTTGGTGTTTTCTTTTAGAGGGCAACCAGATAGAAGATCCTCGCGTGCAATGGCGGCGAGAGAAAGAGATGATGTTGCGTGAGTACCTGACCACCCAGACGGACGAGGAGGACTCGCAGGCCAAGCAGGAGATCTGCAACGTCAAGCAGCAGCGACTGCAGCTGGCTGAGAATGAGGTTGGTCTTAAGGAAGCCCTCCCCCCCCAAAAAGAAAACCAGTTAACTCTGCGATGAACAGTAGATGGGACTAGGCCTGGGCGAGTAGTGGATTTTCCTGCTCGAGTACTCGCAGAGAAATTACTCGCCAGTAGTCGAGTACTTGAGAGTAGTTTACTAAATTCCCATAAAAACAGAATGGCCAAAACAAAATGGCCAAGACATTACTAAGACGTGAAGCTACTACGAATAAACAGCGTGGAAGACTCACCACAGTCTTCAACTCTGAGATATCCTTACTGCAGTTAGGCGGTCCAGGCCTCCTTAAAAGTTTGTTGTACTGGATAATGTAACAGTTCCCAGTAGCAGCTGCATAACAAGACCCAGACAAAAGACAAGTTTGGTGCAGAAACCACAAAGTGGTTACTTTGTTCTAAGTCAAAAGTTGTAAAAAAAAACTGCTGCTGCGAGTACCTACTTCTACTCATGCCAGGACGAGTTCTCGCGTAGATGAAAACCACAAGTTGAACAACGATTAGCAAACACTACTCACGAGTACTTGGTGTACTCGGCCAGCACTAGATGGGACATTGTGACCACTCGCTGGAGCTCCATGTGAAGGACACACCACGTGCGCCTTCTGGTGTGAGCGCAGATGGAGCTAAGCATGCCCAGCTAATTTTAAAACCCTTAGCATCTTCGCGTAAGTGCCAGGCGTGGTCATTATTTTGAAGACTCTGCCTTACTCGCTTTGTCACTGTGCAGCGTTTGCTTGTGAACAAGTAGCAACCAAACGAGCAATCAGTATTCATGTGCAAAACTGTGTCTTGTGCGTTGTGTGCATTTTTCTGATTACTTTAAGAGTCGGGCAATTTTTCATTAGGGAGCAGTCTGGAAAGTGCCTGTGAATTTTCATGTAATTTCAAAGTGTGTTGGCATTATGTTATGGTTTAATCAATCAGATGTCTTAAAAATTTTCAAGAGCACATGACTTAAACATTACAATTAAAATATTGTGACCTTTGCTTTGTCTTACCTCAGGTTCAACATTTGAATGATGCGTTGAGTGGCTGGCAATCCAAAACAAGCCGTAAGTGTGGCAGCTTTTTTCCATATTTTTAAAAGCAGGTAGCAACATCAATGTTTTTTTTGTCTGTTTCTATTGCTTGGGCTGTATCTATTGATAATTTACTTACGGACCAGTAACTTTGCACTGCTCACCACGAAATGAGGATTTATTGCTGCTCCAGATAAATTTAGTCCCATTTTCAATGTGAGAAATGCACTTACAGACTTCACTTCAATCCCAACTCCTTCAAAACCCTTCAAAATCCACCTGAAGTTTTTGAAATATTTTGGAGGATTGACAAAGGAAGAGCCCAGCCACAGCCAGTAAGTTACACTGAGCGCGTCTCTTTGAAAATTAAAGTACCAGTTTTCTTTTTAAAAACGTTGAAGTGGAATTCTTTATAACCTCAATGTTAATATCCGTGTCTGTGATGTTCAGTCAACTCCAACAGCTCGACCGGCAGCACCCGCTATGACCCAGACCTCTTGAAGGTAGAAGTGGCTAATGCCAAGGCGCGTGTGGCTCAGATCCGCAATGAGCTGCAGCACATGAAGGCCCAGGTCTACCTGCAGAACCAGGAATACAGGTGAGTCGAGTCGACAACAAGCTCAACAGACTGGTGTTCCAAAGTCACGCCATGGGGAGCAACTTGGGTCGCCCCAAAATAAGGTGGTTTAGACAGGTGGATTCGTGAATTAACCCTAACTATCCCAAATCCTCCCAAATCCTCCTTTCATAAGTGGAGAATTTTGAAGGGTTGAAGCTGTGTGACAAAAATGTGCGGCTGATTTTGGAGGATGCATTGTGTCAAGGTCTTGGGCTGGACCTTGTGTTGTTTATGCTCAGCCGTGCATAAATTTGGGCCTAGATTATTACTTGAAATCCTCCGTACTGCTCCAGGATGTCACTGGCTCTGCCTCATCCTATTGACAGTCATAGCCAGAGGATTTTGCAGGATTCAGGCTGTATCCAATTTTTACAAGGAGGCAACTGGAGGATTTTGCAGGATTGAGGTTGCATCCTGGCAAAAATGCCTAGGGAGTTAGGTTTAAGTTTATATTCACTAATGTCTAAAGTCATTTCGATCAAAAGTTATCACAGTGAGGTCACACATACTTGTTCCCCTCCGTAGTTGTGGGGACTACACCCGAGTTGCCCCATGGTACTATGGGGACCTTGATGCTGTGGGGACAGCAGAAAGTCCCCATAACTCGCTCCTAATTTGCCTAACAATAAAAAATGACGCGGTGACTGCCTGCCCACAGAAACAGGGTGTGAACAATGGGGGCTTGTGTTTCTTGATTTACATATTTTTTATAATTTTATATTATTTTGGCACTTGCAGAGGTAATGAAAAGGCTTGCAGCAGCCCCGAGATCCGGTTCCATTCAGATGAGGGCGGACACTATTCTGAGGTAATCCTAATCATACTTCCTTACATTTGCTTTATTTTCCTCATTGTTCCCTTTCCCATTCCTCCCCCTTTTCATTTGCTTATGGAATATTCCAATCAGTTTTTCTGATCTTGTACCCAGAACCCCTCCCAGATGCCGTCTATGGTCTACCACCAGCACCGGCTGAACACCACGCTGCAGAGTGACCTACCGGGCCACTTCCATTACATGGGCGGGGGGAGGCTTGCCGAGAAGGAGCGAATCCGGATGAAATACGAGGATGCCCAGAGGAGGTGCGTCATTATATAAATAGATAACTAAAAATGACCTATGACTTACGATGATGGGACTTGTGATGACCTATGGTGAATTTCAATGACTCTATCTTTCTCTGATCTGTACTATTATTTTTTGGTGGTGTGGTAGGTTGTGTCTGTTGCAGATCCAAATAGCGGAGCTGGACGACCAGAATCCTTTGGGACAGAACGAGGCTGACAAAGACAGGCTGCTGCTTATATCGGTAGGAACATAAAAAAAAATCCAGGCAAAATTCCTGAAAAATATCTTCAAATGTGCATTATGTTGTTGCCGTCCAGTCTTTGTGGCAATGACAGACTGTGAAGCACACTTCATTGTTTCATGCATGCTACTTACTGTTATTATACAGGGTGGTGCAAAAAGAAGGAAACCAACTTTTGACAGGAATTTTAACCTACTTACTTATTTGAACTTTTTTTTTATAATGTAGTGAACTATAGCTCTTCAACCATATGTGTGAAAAAAATCTTTAAAAAAATCGCAAGAATAGTGTTGTTATCCTAATTCGAATACAAGTCACCAAAATCACTGTTGTCCGCATGTAATTCTAGTGTAGTGTTTTTGTCTTCAGATCAAGCTCCGGAGCTCAGTCAAGCCGATGGAATTAAGCCGTCCGTGGACAAACAGATTTGACACATGAAATTTTTAGACTACCATATCTCAGAGACAAAATAGGCAGTTACAATCATTTTTTCGTCACTTATGTTTAAAGATCAATATTTTAATACCATTCAATTGAATTTTTGAAATATGATCAACAAGTAGGTGAAAATTGCTGTCAAAAGTGAGTTTCCTTCTTTTTGCCCTTTATAATCTTATGTGTATCAGCATGGGTAGAGATGGCACCAAGTTTTCCTTCAATATTTGCACTCTTTTTCGTTTTCACTGATGAGGGGTATATTTAGTAATTTTTTTGTTACATTTTTTCTCTCAAAGGAAAAGGAGGAATTACTAAGGGAATTGAGGAGTGCTTACCAGCACAAACGCAGCGCTGAGGAGAGGCGGAAGCTAGAGGCTGAGAAGCAAGCCGTGATTCAACAAATCAACGAGGCCAAAGAAGAAGTTACAAGGGTGCTACATAACAGGTCAGTAATAACCCCCACCCAATAAGTCTACTGACTCCGCCCAAACACATACCTCTAGCCAAGAGTCAGCGAAAACAAAGAAACATGTTAAGAATCAACAAATTAATTAGGGCCAAAATGCACTGAAGGTGCGATGTAGCACCTCTAGCCAAGAGTCAGCAAAAACAAAGAAACACGTTAAGATTCAACAACTTAATGAGGCCAAAATGTACTGAAGGTGCGATGTAGCACTTAACCAGTTCTCGGGGATGGCATGTATACACGCATAGGTTTTGCGGTATTAGGAATGGATGATGGATAAACACGCAACGAGCGAGGCTGGAAATATCTGTCGGTGACCCGCTCGTAGCGAGTGAGGCCGAAATATCAGGGTGTGCTACCCGCAGATGACGGCCTGAACCCGTCTGGCATCGAGGTTCGTGAAAAACAATCCCGCGCCTGGGTCTGGTCAATGTCAAAATAATCCCGGCACAAACTCATTAAGTAAAACACCCCTAAATCGTTACTTCATCTGACTCGTCCTGTTCTTTTGTCCCAACAGAGAGATATCCACTGTTCTGAGAAACTGACCCAATTATGTTTTCCCCCTGTTTTCCTGGTTTTTGATTTGTAGGATAAAACTGCAGGAGAGGAAAGACCAGTTGAACCAGCAGTTAGCAGAGGTCACGAGGGAAGCTATGCAACTGGAGTCACAGCTGAAAAGGTGGGGCTCACAATTTTTGTTGTTGTTATGTTAGCATGCATGTGATTATTTCTAACCATAGAGCCAATTTAAATAACCTTGAGCGCTAACTCCTCATTCTTACGTGCAGAGATTCTTTGAATCCTTCCTGGGCGCAGACATTTTTGAATTCATGTGCGTGTTTGTAGAACAAAGTGAAATTAGAGTGAATTTTGAAAGTGTACTCTAAGTGCAATGTGCAAGTGCAACATACGCAAACAACTTAAACGCGTCGTGACAGTTGAAAAATGTCACGGCAAAAATATCTGCTGCAGATACACGCATGCGTTTGCGTTGTTTACACAGAGCAAAATGAAATGCTCATTTACTGATTATACGTTTCAGTTCTGGGCGTATCGGCCAGCAGGCATCACTTTGCACATCAAGTCAACACTAGTAATTTTAAAAAGCTCTATATTTCTAACACACTGACGAATACTGCACAATTTTGCTGTAATATATGATCAGGGAATGCAGAGTATGTATTAGAAATAAGATGCAGAGAAATAAGGTCAGAGATCTTAGTAACAGAATCAATCAGTCAGTATTTCATTACGCATGTTTCGTTTGAATGTTAGGAAGATTGAGAAACCATCTCTCTTTCAAGAGTGTATGAAATTGTGTAAAGCCGTAGTCTAAAAACTGGGATGTTTATCCTCTGCAGTGTGTCCGTCAGTACATTATCCTCCAGCTCAAGCAGGGGATCCTTAAGTGCTTCCAGCCGAGGTTCCTTGGCGTCCAGTAAAGGCTCCCTGAACAGCGCCCTCAGCTACCCCGATATCTACATGCCGCCGTCACAGTATTCTATGGATCTCAATATGAAAGACATTAAGCAAAAGGTAAACAAATAAAAATGGAGTCCATATTTTCTGTTTTATAAGCCATGCGCTGTATTCATCTTGACTCCAATAAATGCAGTTAGCACGATGGCTTTCCTGTAATATAGCATTGGTTGTAGCAACAAGGGGCTATGGGCCTTCTTCATGAGTCGGCCATATTGGATTGAGAGAGAGGTACAATCTTCATTTTTGGAACTTGTGTAGAGAAATGAAAGCAATGACGTTACAAATTAATACCAGTCTGCTCAGATGAATCATTCAAAATTTGTGTAACATTTAAAAAATATGCGAGTGAGGCTATAGTGAATAAATAGTCTGGCACCATCCCATTCAACAGTTCACAAGTTATAAAATACTTTCAGGGAACAAGACAAAAATGGCCAACTCGTGCATAAGGGCCATTGGATACAGTCAACATTGGCTTCTCATACACTGTTCCATAAATCTAGCAATTCAGTTATTCGTTGCACTTTTTTCTATGACAAGTTTCACGAAGGAACGCATTGCTAACAAAGGCGTCGTTGATCCCCATTTGCAGGTGGACGCTCTGTTCCACGGGAGCATGGAGGGCCCTGGAGCCCTGGCCCCAACCTCCCCCCACCACCTCCAGCCCGGCCCAGCCCCCGTTGCCATCTCAGTTCCCGGTGCCGTGGACACCAACCACAAGTCCATGACATCGCTGTCCTCTCGCTCCTCCCTCTCCTCCATGTCCCCGCCCTCCTCCCCGGGCAACGCCCACCTGAACGGCGGCGACGTCCGATACGAAGGCCCCCCGCCGGCCTACTTGGACCACCTAAGCAGCGTGCAGCAGCGGCAAAAGCAGAACATCGCGGGCTACCTGCGCACCCAGGGACTTGAGGAGGAGCACGTTGTGGGCTCGCTGTCCCAGCTTACTCTCAACGGGGGCGACTCGCTGACGCAGGTGCCTCCCTCGGGTCCAGGGGTTGCTCCAGAGGGCGCCCTCATGGCCGGCGGTGCCGGAGTGGGCGTGGCAATGGGCGGTAGGGGGCTGTCGCGGCTCAGCATGGACCCCAAGATGCCCGTCTCTGAGTACAACATGGAGATGCTTGGTAACACGCCGCTGAGTCCCATCAGTGAAGGCATTGCAGGTCAGTCCATCAATAGCAAAATCCATCGTCAATTTGTGAGTTTGATAATCGGTGATCAGCAAATATATACATCAGCATTTCTAGAATACAAATGATTCGCAAATTATCAAAGAAATTCTGGCTGATTGTGTAACCGATTGTCCGAATTGAATGTTGTAAATCCATGATTGAATTTTTTGAACAGTTTATTGGTAGCGTACTTAGTTGATTTAAGGATTAACGTTATTGATTGGTAATAGTTGATTGAGTTATCACTTGACTGATTAATAAATATAGTTTTATCCGTTAATAATCGATTGATAATTATTGATCAGTTGATTGAGATATATTGATTGACTATGAACTGATCAATGTTAACTAATAGACCAATTACTTCATTGTCTTTATATTTCAGGTGTCAATCTGCAGCGCCTTCAGGGCCAATCCACAGCAGCAGCCAGGAGCGTATCGGCAGCAGTGTCTGATGAGTCTGTGGCAGGGGACAGCGGGGTGTACGAAGCATCCAATAAAAGGTACTGCTCAGTGTTGATTCAAATCCGTGTTATCTTCATACTATTGATTGTTCTGGTTCACTCTGGTTCGTGCGCTGATGTCTTCACACACTAAGCTGTGTGCATGGAACCGAATACATTGTGCACTTTGGTACTCTATTCAGGGATTGGATCAAGTTACAAGAATTCACTCACTAGTCATCTAGTCACAAGCCAATCGACAAGTTGCTCAAATTAACGGTGACAAAATTTGTTTGTCCCTTGTTACTTGTGTCCTGACGTGTGAATGGACTTGTGATGGCCTCAACCTTGCATTCAACAGGGATGCCAAGTTTCAAGCTTTAAGCCCAGTTCATGCGAAAGCGAAAGTGAACGCGAATTTGTGACATTATGACAGGTATTGTGGATTTGGCCGTCTTTCACATGTCCATTTTTTTTTCAGGCCATGAAGCAAAGGCCCAAAGGCATCCCTGATGTAAGCTTATCTTGAAATGCTCTGTAACCGTGTTATTTTCCCTGTACCTCTCAGATCAGCGGAGTCGGATGGTGACCACTTCCTGAGCAGCATATCCAGCCTGAATTGTGGCCAGATCCTGCTGACTCTCCAGTACCTGTTAAGCGAGGGCGTCCTAGTGGTGGCACTAGAGCAGCTGCGACACATTCGGGAGATGCTGCCTGAGGACTGCACCAAGTTGTGAGTGCAAGTTACGCTTCTAAAGTGGATTGTAGACTATCAAGAGTTAAAGACAGTTCTTACGTATCTCTTAAAAAAAAAAAAATTGGCATTGTCTATGAAACCCAGCAAATTCCAAGTGTTAGTCCCGTGCAGATTTCAAATGATAGTTGAATATTTCGGGGGGAAGCTCATTGAATCAGGTGGGGACTGAGAATCCAATCTACATGGACCTGGTCGGGAATCAAACCCGGGCTTTTGAGGTGAAAGGCATGTAAAGGACCGCTGCGCTGACCTGACTCCCCTTTCCTGTTCATTCTTGCAGCTACATTAAGGGAGACGTCCTACCCTGCCCGCCCAACGCCAACCTGAGCTTCAAGACAGATGACATCGAGGACACAAGTCTCAGGGTACTAGGCCAAACGGTCAGCTTGCCTATCATGGAGAACAAGATTGGCACCAAGACGTTGCAGCTGTTTGTGTGGAGCGTGGGCGCCACGCAGCGGGAGGAGTGCGTGGTAAGCATAAAAAAAAAGACGCCAAAACCTCCGGCTAGATTTTTAAAAGATCTGGGCGGTCGAGGTTAAATTTGCTGGACCTGCCACACATAAACTTCCAAGCATGTAGAAGTTTTGCTCAGAACAAAAAGGTCACCAACCCTATAATCCCACCCCCCAACAAAAGGAAAGTTAAGTGACAAAGGAGTTGCTTGTGATTAGTTTTTCCGCAGATTTGGACTTAAATTGATTCTTTTTTCCCCGTGTCATTCTAAGGGAGGGACAAGGATAAGCCTTGCTGACCTGAACCCTCGGCACGTAGCCAAGTCCCAGTGGCACAACATCGTCAACTTCAAGATCCTCCAGATGGAGACTCAACGCTATACTGCCTCCAACACACCCTCCGAAACAAGCCACCAGGTAATGTGATGAATGCGCATGCCACGCCCATGCCACACCCTAGTCACACCCAAGCTACACCCAATTTGAATATACACTTCCTTCAAAACACCCTGTGAACCATTTTATTAGTTGTGTTGTGCCTCCTCCCAGCCCCCTCTGATCATGCGGCCATTCCCCACCCAACTTGTGAACTTTCTGTCTCATTTTGGATCAGCAGTCTGGGGAGCTATTTGCATCCCGAACGCGACGAGCGTCAGTTGGTGACCAGCCCTCCACCGAAAACAACCCCCCACCACCGGCGCCCGACAGCACCGCGAGCACCACAGATACTAGGTAGGGTACTAGTTTGTAATTGCATAGTACTTTTCATATTTACTATCCTCTTATGGATATTTAGTACCACTTTGATCAAATCCCTTCAATTTCCACCCAGGCCGACAGTCTCTGCCGGTTTGCTAGGGTTTCCCCAGAATATTTATCATCGTCCTCTACCACAAGCTTTTTCATTTATTCTGGACAGATTTCGATCCTCCTCATTTGACAACTCGTTCATCAACCGGCACCGTAACCTGACCACCATCGCCGTCAGCATCGGCGACGACCGGTCCGGCCACGCCCACTCCTCCTCCTTCCCCAACTCCGCCCCCCAGCCCCAACCTCAGCCGACCCGCCCCTTGCCCCTGCTAAGTCCCGCCCAGTTCCCGGCGGACCGGGAGGCCCGGTTGGAGATGCTGAGGAACAGTCTGCGGGGGACGGAGTCCCAGAATTCCAACCCCCACCACGCGAGGGCGCCCTCGCTCTCCCGGTCCAAGACGTTCAACGCGGGTCAGCCACCACAGAAACAGTACATATGCAAAGTGAGTCAACCCTTCCAAGTTTTACACAAGAAAGAAAGAAACGGAAAAACAATCCGTCATTTAAGCCTGAGTGAGGTTGAACTGTCGATGTCGCAAGTTTTATTTGCGGTTCCTAATGAGGCCCATGGTGACACCAGAGATGCATTTCACGGTCTTTTTCTGCTTATAGAACCTTTTCATAAGTATTGACGCCTTCAAAGACTTCAGAGGCAGAATGAGTTTTAAGTACTAATATGAATGTAAATGTTTTCCTATTTTGTGCTGCAGCTTAATCGTAGCGATAGCGACAGTGCCATGGCTCTCCAGCGGAGGGCGCCCTTCATGAGAAACTCACTAGAGAGACGCAGTCTCAGATGGAAACCGGTAGGACAGTTGTTTACAAGTCTCTTTTAAATGGCTTTGTTCCCTTCTTATTGTTTTTCTAATTGTGTACATCATTAACTTACCCTTTTTTTATGACGCTACATTCCTGTTCATAAAACCCATCTCTGTGTGTTCCCTTCCTATGTCCAATCTTACCGGTGCAGCCAACCAGTCTATCCAGCAAGAGGTCATTCCACCAGAGGTCACCCAGTGACCTGGAGGTCAGTCTGCAGGCCTCCAAGGAGCGGCAGGTCCAGATACGGGAGGAGATTCAAAGACTGAAGGAGATCAAGCGATGCGTGGAGCAGGCCAGCACCAAAGGTAGGATTGTCAGTACAAAAAGATTGAATTACAGAATATTGAACATGTCCTTCCTGAATCAGCATAAGCTAGCAAGATTCCCAAGTCTTCCACAATCCACCGTTTTACAGGCACATTCTTTGTACTTAAAGGCAATATACAACATTTGCAAACATCAAAAAACAAAACTATCAAATTATTATGAAATACCTTACTTGACTGTAAGTGAATAATAGTCTCAAGCATCCTGTGAAATCATGGCACCTGGTGTGCTGTCAATTTCAAGAGAAGTGGGGTTTTTGTATCAATTCCAACACCAGTGCATAAACTGCCAATGCTGTGACCATGAGAGCTAGTCCCAATAGTTTGTGGCACTGTAGGGTATTCCATAGACTAGGTGGGTAAAGGATAATTCAGTGAACTCAGAAGTGCGTCATTACCACAGCATTATCGTGATGTAGTTCCCCTCATTCCGCTTTTTTTGACAGACGAACACAATGCACAGCTTTCCTCAACATCCAACAACAGCGACATTCTGCACCGACTCATCAAGAGTGCAGAGAAAAGCACGCACAATCAGCAACGCAACGCCACCGGGTTTACCAACAATGCATCCACAAAACAATCGTCCCACATGTCTACTCCTGTACAAAGGTCGGCCACATTCAGCTAAGCAACCAAGAATCATTTTATAATCCAAAAAGTAATAAACAATTCCTCTCGCATTTTCAACAATAAGAATATTTATATATAAATATATATATATCAAAACCTTTTTATTTCCAGACCAGAAAACTGGGTTTTGTTTTTTTTGTAGTTCACAGTCGCACATGTATCCACAGCTCTCAACGTTTTTCTATTGTATAACTTTCAGAAAATAACGCTTTAGTTCTAATGATTTGTAAGGTGTACCTTTTTTCCAGTGTTGAATATTCATACATGCAAATTGTATTTTAACGAAATGGAATGACCGAGGGGTTGTTTACTTAAAGACATGTTTTTATGCAGTTTTTAAAATTAAGCTGATTCACTAAAGATGTGCCCTCACAATATGTCTTTCGTAAAATCTGGCCGTTAACTGGGTCAGATCGTATGCAGCTTTTTTGTCTTGAAGAGTTCAGAATAAAGGTTCCGTGCTCAAAAAAAAGTCATTGAGATGTATTTGCATAATCAAAGATGATGTAATTTGAATATGTAGTCTGAAAATGAGTTTTGAGAAACCACAGATAGTACTATCAAATTCCTTTTGTCCTAACTTGGCTTTCCCATTTTAGAAAGAATTTAGTATCCTGACGCCACTTCTTTGGTTGTGCACAAAGTCTATGGAAAGTTGAGTGCATTTTCAAAGTACTTTCTAACAAAATTGGAAATGTTTCTCAGTCCCAGATTCATGTCTGTTCAACATGTTTGCAATGACTGACCTTCATTGAGATTAAACAGCGCGTCCCGAAATACCCACACCTTTTTTTTGCGAGGCGGAAACACGTACCGCCATTATTTTTATACCATTTTAAAGCTTGGAATCTGAACTTTATCCCTGGTGAGTATTTGTTTGATATTTAAAAGAGTTTTACAATTTTTCATGCTCAAATAAAGGCATGTCGAAAACAAACTCAACCAATTTCAAGGAAAATCGAGGAGTCACACTTTGAGCGCGCTTTTTGAGTAGGTACATACTTGCACGTGAATTTCAAAATTGAACTTGAAACAAAGAACAATATTGTGAATTCATTGAAGGTGTAGTCTACGTGGATCAAAAAGAATAGGAAACGCAGAAAATAAAAGGCAACGAGATCGTCACATCATGAACATTATGAACCATTTCCACGTTAGAAAAAATGCGCATGATTGATTTTCCTTGAAATCGGTTGAGTTTGCCTTTATTTGAAAACGAATAATCAAACTAATACTTACCATGGATAAAGTTAAGATTCCAAGCTTTCAAATGATATAAAAATAATGGCGGTACGTGTTTCTGCGGCGACGCTAGAGCCTCGCAAAAAAAATGTCGCGGGTATTTTGGGACGCGCTGTATGAAGAAAAAAAAGTGGCGTCAGGATGCAACATTCGTTCCCAGTTTCTTCCACAACTGCCCTCCCCCTAAAAATTGTATTAATGACTGTGTTTTTACTGCCCTTTCAAACCACAATTGGTGTGCAACATGATTTCAACATCTTTGTAATTTTGTAAAAATTCTGACAATGCAACCTTGAGCCCACTGAAAACCAAATACCAGTTCTCTATGCAAACAGTTGAGTGCCTATCTATTCACCAAATACTGACAAGAAGAAATCGTAATGGTTTTTTATTTCAAATCTGTTTTAAATGTTATAAACAATTCAATGATGAAATTCTTAAAAAGAATTAAATGCAAGTACAGCCTGTCTCCAAAAAAAATGGTACAATCAGAAATTTTTTTTGTTAAATATGAAATTTCAAAATAAGTCATTCTTACTTAGCATAATATTAAAGAACAAAGACTGGGCTTTCCAATAGTGTTTGTTTGATCTTTTTTGCTTTTGTCAATTCAGAGATATAATCAATTTAGTGCGATACACCAAAATCGATTTTGTGCCACTTTTATGCATGGGCAGAGTTGTTTCGAGTACTGTGCCATGCTGTCTTGAAGCTCACACCCAGAGAGTGGCACAAACTCAATGTTTGTGTTCCGCAGTAAACTGGAGTTATCTCTGGATTGACAAAAGCAAATGAGATGAAACAAAAAGTATTGGAAAGCCTGGTCTTTTTTCTTTAATGTGATGCTCAAAACGACTTACTTATGTTGAGATTTAATATTGAAAAAAAAAATCGTTTTCGATTGTACCATTTTTTTTGAGACAGGCTGTATAACATCCACAGAAATCTTCCCAGCCTTTTAGAAGCTAAAAAGCCTTGTAGAGTGTGTATGATTTCTTTTGTTTGGAGCAGGATATGTCATTGCTGTTGATGCTTTCTGTATATCTGTGAATTAATGTTGTGTTCCTTTAATAGCTTGAAAGGCACATCTACTGCCAGTGAAGCATGTTATGCCTTTTCTGTCATATTCTGTTATTATGTTATGTACTTGTGAATTTGACTCATTTTCACATGAAAACAATTTGTGGGCCCTTTCTGATAACAGTGACCATTTGAAGTTTTTAAACAAAATCCTCATTTCTGTAATTGCAGTTGTTTTTTTGTTTGTTAATTTAATTGTTTTGTGTCTAATGAACTGTATGTATCTTGGCATCAAGGGAACAGCTTTGTTGCAGGATTGGCAAAAGCTTTGCATCGGATCAGAATCTTTGAAACGAAGAATCCAGAAAGAGCAAATGCTGGTGCCCTGTGTCCTTGAGCAGGATACTTTGCTTTGATTGCTTTTCTTCGGCAAGAATTAAATAGGCTTTCTCGAAAGCCTTATTTACTCATTCATCATTGTTGCCGATTGACATACGTCCTTCGTATACTCTAAGCCAAATTTTACATTGTGAAACTGAAGCAGCAAGTACATAAACGACATGTTGTTTGCTTGAATTTTTTTTTTTTTATAAATAAATGTATAAAAAAATAAAGAAATTCGTTGAAATTGCAAGTGACGGCAAAATTGAACAGTATTATCGTAATTCTCAGTATGCTGCTATTTATCGCTCGTCATGCTTTTTTAATAGGCTTTGTAAAGAATAATATTTTAAATAATGTGCAAAACGCTATTTTCCAATACACTAAATTGTTAGCTAGTGTATTATATAATTATACCAAAATGCCGTTTCTGTCGAGCTATTATATATGAAACTATGAAAGGATCGGAGTATTCGACATCAGCCCTCTCTCCCGTTTTTTTTTCTTTTTTCAATTTGTTTTCAGAACCGTATTCTGAGTACTTGTCAGCAAATTCTTCATGGGGGAAAAAAGACTCTTTGCTCTTTTCAAATATTTCTTTAAACAAAAAAGGAATACAAATGATCTTTCGTGTAACTTCAGATTTTTAAGTCAACATGTTAATGTCAAATAAAGCTATTTTTTTGAGTTATTGTATGAATTAAAACAATGCTATTATTTTATATATATATAAAATTAATTTTGTGTTATTTTGCTTTCTGTTGGTTTAACACACTGCAGCCATTTGGGTCACGTTTCTTGACTAATTTGGCAGCACTCAAACTAAAATGGATTTCTGCATAATATTACCAGCCTATTTTTTTTTCAGGTGGATAGGTTTTAAATTTCGACACCCAAAGTTGTTCACGCTGCAAAGAGAGCCAACCAACTAATCAATAATGCATTTCTGGGATCACACATGAAATTAGATTTATAAACTGTTTATTACTTTTCTGATATAAAAAATACACACAAAAACAATAATGATAATGTGAAAAAAGCATACACAACAAAATTCATATTTTTTTTTACATGTATGTACACAAAAATCAAAGGTTGCCGTAAAATAACATTTTCTTGGGTGACTTCTTGGAAAAAGGGCTTCAAATTACAAGTGCTTTTAAATTATGCGTGAGCTGTTCGAAAAACACTGCTTGATTCTGCATTGAATAGTTATCCAATAGAATCAAGTAAAAGATTTGAAACGCATAAAGGCACAGTTCTAGACCCAATTTGGGAAGGCTAGTTTCTATATTGTCAAGCTCTAGATCCTATTGTGCTCGAAATTGCTAGGTTGGTATTTTTTGGGCAGTTTCTTTGCAATGCAGAAAAAAAATCCACATTTTAATCGGGTTAAATGAATATACTCAAGTCTGTAGTTCTTTTATCTTTCTTTTTTTCATAAATGATACGGTGAACAGATTCAGTCTGCCAATAACTTGGATGCATGTGTTTGGGAACGTTTAGCTCACAATGAGTACCATGAATACCAGAAAAGACCATCAGAGTACATATGTTGGTTTGGAGGCATCGAACGACTGGTTGGGTAGCTTGTTGTCAGAGCTGTGTCCGCCAATATGGACGCCGGGCTGGCAGCTCGAAGTGCCTCAGTCGTGGAGCTACTCCAAGCACCCCCGACTGGGTCTAGGACTCCCCCGTTGATGGAATGGCTCTGTCCTAACAATGTCAACTGGGGTGGTGTAGGATCGCCGCATTCGCCCAAGGAGGGCGATCCTAATTCCTCCAGTTGAGGGGCTTCCAGATGGGAACTTGACAGCGAGTGGTCGGGGCTGGTCGTCCATGGTTTGAAAAATGTCTCGGTGGCTGGAATCGGTGAATTGGGAATGGCTGTATAGTTGCCAGTACTCGGCACGTCAATGGCAGGATGTGATTGGGTGAGCGCCACTGGATATGGTTGCCATGGATACGGATGGTTATAGATTTCTGCACAAAAAAATTGGAAGACTAGCAAAACATTTGAAATCAATGACTAACTGAGAAAACAAGATCCAGTATGGTCAGAAAATGGAGAATGTTTGTTATTAATCCCCCAAATTCAAGCACTGTGCAGGTAACCAGTGGTGGTACATTTTCTGTACCCAAATGGAAGCTAGTCCCACGTTAACTAATTCTGGCTGGGCTTTACTTTTCTCCTCATCCTGCAAAACCCTCCCCAAAAAAACCCCCCAAAAAAACAAGTGGTGGATTTTTAAGGATTTTGGAGGGACGGGGTTCAAAATATAAAGAGGACATTACCTAAGCTTGACATATTGGTACCGGTAGAATCCACAGAGCTGGGCCTGGCTGGGTTGTCGGCCCTTGTGTTCGAGCTGGACTTCTTTCTGATTGGTCGGAACTTCTTACTTGATCCCCCCTGGACGACCAAGCCAATATCGCACAGCTCCCACAATGCACTGCCTCGCTTGTATGGTTTACCTAGAGAAAATGGTGGTGATGGAAAATGTGTTCACTGTAAGGGTTTGGTATGGAATGCTTGGGTCAAACATCCACAAAGTCGCCTCATTTTGAAGATGATTTTTTCTATTTTTGTCAAGATTTTCATTTAATTTTTTTATGATGGTATTACCACTAACTTCCTACTTTCTTTTAGTAAGTGCTGGAGCAAGTCTGCCAAAATCCATCAATCACACTGCTTCCAATGCATGCTTTGCTTAAGGCCTCCAGGCCCAAGTCCATCATACTCCATCAGTTTTTAGTCAAACCAGGCCTGCAGGACCAATTCCCATACAATCCACCATAAAGGAGGGGGGATGGAATTTGATGGGAGGTCAGGGTGAATGTAAAACCTGCTGGTCCTACTTTCTTTGAGCTTGTCGGCAGAAAACACTGCTAATTTATCAGCTAAACAAAAAATCCACTGAGAATTAAACCAGTCCGATACGCACTGCACGATAGTCGTGGCTGGTATTCGGCTTTAGTTTTAGTGCACTTTAGTCTCAGTGGTATCCGGCAAATAGTGCCTAGCACATGATATTTTACCACTTTCCTCCAGATTAGCTTCCTTGATTTTCCGGAACTGTCGACTCTTGCACAGGTTGTGCCGGATGGAGTTCTTCCAGAACCGACACTCCGTGGCCTCCTTGTAGTATGGGTAGGACTGCTCGATGAAGTCGTAGATCTGACCCAAGGTGGCTTGACCCTCCGGCTGGGACAGGAGAGCCAATCGGATCAGGTCGTTGAAAGTAAGGTTGGGCCGCTGGTCCATGCTGACTTGAATAAGACAACACGGATGAAATGTCAAGTGCAAATAATACAAAACAGGGGGAAAAAGTTAAATTGAAAAGACATCACTTGAAAAAAAGTCGAGTAGAATAAAACATGGGAAAGTCTAATAAGATCATTTTGCATGTGCAGCACAGTCTATTATTATGTGCTACTTTTTTTACTTAAAACACTTCCATTTCAAGTACAATACCCTTTAACTTTACCATACAGCTTGAAAACAGATCATCTTAACAGATGTCCTATGTCGTACTGAAAATCTTTCCATCGATCATATTCATATAGTTCAAAATTAAAGACAAATCCTGGTTGATATTGCAGACATCCTATGAGCTTCAAAAAATCGGAATTATGTGCCCCTGTCATTTCAACCCAATGAATATGCCGAAAGATTCCCATATCTGGCCATCACTGATTTTTCCCTTCAATGACCGATCAGCCATCAGAAAGTGATATGTCCTAAAAAGTCAAAATTAGCAGGGAAAATATTGAAGTATTTACTGAGAAAACACTTAGAATTTTTCAGACCAGTCTCATATGGTTTGTGCGCAGGGTGAAAAGTGATGGTCAGACATGGGAATCTTTCCGAATATGCCACCTTGTCAAATTTCTCGCCCTATTTTACCTGCAAACGTCGTCTTTTTCGGTGCAGTACTGTGTCAGAATGCTACTTCTCTGAGCTTTGCAACTGCAAGGTAAATCGTCAGCGATCCTGCTGGTCTTGTTTCTGCTCGTCTGTACCCAGCATATATGTACATCAGAATACAGAACCAGACGATGTGCAGTTTGCACGTGCTGAATTGCTGGTTTTAAAAACGTCCCGCGATTTGTTGCCGTAAAAGTCGCAATTGCCAGTTAGTATTTAAACTTTGTAATAAGGAGCAGGTGGCAAGTTGCCTTTTTTACCAATTTCTCTATATATTTCACTTGGGCTGGCGCCTGGAACTTTTTTTTAACTTTTTTTTATCTCAACTAAAAAGAACTGTCTGTATCATGCCGAAATCAGACGCCCCTCGACATCGCAGTGAAAGACAGTACCGCCTTTTTTAAGACCAGGAGTGCTTAACAACAGAACACAGTGTTTTAGTGGTAAATTTGAATTGATTTCTCATTTTAGAAAAGACTTTTTAAAAATATTTTCATTTCGAGACTAACTGGTGTAGCTCGGTGCTGATTCGGCGGCCCGTACGTAAGACCGCGAGACAATGCCGGTTGTGGGCCTAACGCTAAACTATGTGGTGACCGAATTGACAGCGTTTTTACTCCATCTGACATTCGGTATCAAATTATCTAAAACCTGTTCCTGGTGAATACCTATATTGTTTTACCAACTTTTTGAAAGAAGTTAATTACCGAACGCTTGGATTATCACCAAAAAATAGGGCAACTGAATGTTACCTAAAAGAAGAACTCCATTGAAAATCATTACTTGGCACATAGCAGCCACCGTACCTGTTGACAGCTAAAAGTCTGTTACCGTGTCAGCGAACGGTGGTGCATTTGGTACGTGTGAAGGAAGTGCAGTTACCAGACAGATTACGTTGCGCGCGCTCCCTTTAATTTTCCCGGGAAAACTGACGAAATGTCTGAAAACGGAGTTAAAAGTACGGCTGGATGTGTCACGCCGACGAAGAAAAGCCGATATAGTGATACAAATGGAGATCACAAAGAGTGAGTAGTATAAAAGATGTGTAGAAAAATTAAGATCCTATACATAGTTAAAAGGAGTGTTTTCAACGCATCGAAATATTACCAGGCATTACCAGACCCCACTTCACTCTTCAGCGCGCAGCGCGGCGGTTGTGTATCTTTGTGATACAAAGTACTATAAGCGTGATAAGGAGAGTCAAGAACATTTTCTAACAACATTGGGGAAAGATTCCCACATAGGGCCTATGGCCATCAGTAATTTTTCCCCTTAAATGACCTATCAGCCATCAGAAAGTGATAATATGTCCTAAAAAAGTCAAAATTAGCAGGGACAAATTTTGAATTTTTAGCACTGAGAAAATGTAAAAACACTTAGGCCTAGGGGGCCTAGACATTTTCAGACCAGTCTCGGTTTGTGCACAGGGTAACAAGTGATGGCCAGATATGGGAATCTTTCCATCATGCTTTTTCGTTTTCCATCAAAGACTGGAATGATTCTTCCTCAGATGCCGTAAGCAAGCTTCTCAAAATATTTGAATCCCTCTTTACAATCCACTCAAAGTGCAGGTGTTAGGTGTCTAGATGGATGGTACTTTACAAAAAATAACGGGGTTAAATTTTGTTAACCTCTGATTGCAGTGTTGCCAAGAAGCGAGACAATTACTTAGACTGGGATGAGTATTTCATGGCAGTGGCTTTCCTCTCCGCACAACGCAGCAAAGACCCAAGCTCACAGGTAGGTAGTCACAGGCCTTGACTCTTCCGAAATTCTCTTTCAGTCTTTGCCAACATTTTTCATCGTAGAGTATCCTTCCATTTTTTGTTTGATTCTATGTGAACGCATACCTGTAAAACTGTTCAGTTGTTCAGAGGTAATCTTTCCCATAATGTTGTTCGCCCCCACAGGTTGGTGCGTGCATTGTAAACCAGGAAAAGAAAATTGTCGGTATCGGCTACAACGGCATGCCCAACAAGTGTGATGACGACGAGCTTCCCTGGGGGAAAGATGGGGAATGGCTGGACCAGAAATACCCATATGGTGAGACTTGCTTGAGTCCTGAGCTTACCAAATCCTCTAAAATCCCGTTGCAAAGTGGAGGATTTTGCAGGATTGAGGCTATTTGGCAAAATGTGTGGTTGATTTCGGGCCGGACCTTGTGTTGTTTATGCGCAGCCGTGCATAAATTAAGGCCTAGATTATACTTGAAATCCTCCGCACTGCTCTAGGATGTCACTGGCTCTGCCTCAACATATTGATAGTGATTGCCGGAGGATTTTGCAGGATTGAGGCAGTGGTCACCCCTCCAAGGACCACATTCAAGAAATAATTATTTTGGAGGATTGAGGCTGTATGCTATTTTTACATGGAGGCAGTTGGAGGATTTTGCAGGATTGAGGTTGCATCCTAGCAAAAATGCCTATGGAGTTTAAGTGAGTTACCGATAACCGCATTATGCTTACATTTGTGGATTACTTTACAGCTTATTATGTTCTTTACAAATTTGGCAATTTTTTTTTGTCCTTCAGTCTGTCATGCCGAAATGAATGCCATCATGAACAAGAACTCCTCTGATGTCAAGGACTGCACGATCTATGTTGCTTTGTTCCCGTGCAACGAGTGCGCCAAGCTCATCATCCAATCGGGCATCAGGAAGATTGTCTTCCTCTCTGACAAACATCACGAGAAACCGGCCACCATTGCCTCCAAGAAAATGCTGGACATGGCCAAAGTGGAATATGTGTAAGTTTGAATTGAACTATGCCACCCCCTTTTTTTCTATCATGGCTTCATTGCTGGCCGTCCTTCCTTTCCCTTCAATAACCGTAAAATTCTGCGCCATCATCACATCAGGGAGTGATATGAATCAGTTGTTGATTTGAATCATCAATTTTTGTTCAGTTGAGAACTTCAAGTTAAAGAGGGATGGAATATTTTGTTTGCAATCTTTTATAACCATTTTTTGTGTGTGGGGGGGGGGGGGGGGGGGGGCTGGGGCTCGGGAATTTTGGCCAATGAGAGATGTGACACTTGTTTACATTTTGGTAATGAAATCAGGTGCACATGATTAAAGGTATTTTAAGTTAATCTTAGCTTAGAGGTTTGCAAAACCTCTAGAGAAAACAATAGACCTTTATCATGCTGCCACCATTTCAGTCATGTTCCCTGTATCCAATTTCAGTACTGAATGATATTTTTGTTGTGCAAAAAGGTACCAGACTATTTTTCCTTCCAGCCTCGCTTTGGTTCCGTGGGAATGGGAAAAATGAAGATGGCCACAACATGATAATGGTCTATTGTTCAGTTTATAGAGGAAGAAAACCCTGGAACGATATACTCAAAATATTGGTGTATTTTAAAAACTTAAATATATTTTTAATTGGGTAATTAAAAAAACTTGGTATTTTTTCTTCTTTTGTAATGAATACGATGACTGTAGAAGCACAATATTTTTATTCCGCGTACGTTTTGGACAATGTTGTAAGTAAAAAGGTTAAATGATCAAATTGGCATAATTTTTTTCGAATCCGTTTATCGTCACTGACTTTGTTGCTCTTTCAATTCACAGGAAATACATACCGAAACAGCATAAGATTGAGATTGACTTCTTCGAGATTGATCCAGACTGCCGTCCGGGACCAATGAGCTCCATCACGTCACCGTAAGGAGAGATCACATGAGGAGAAAGCCGGATAGGTCAGAGTTCAGTTCTAGGTCATGTCAAAGGTCAGATTGTCAAGGGCAGGAAGGAATAATTTAAATTGTGTATCTTAGTGGTGTTTTCGGATGATTGACAGAACGAGACAAGCTGAATTTTGAGGTCTTCCAATACAGGCTCATAATTTTTGTTCCCAAAAAGTCTTTGGGTAATTTTTTTTTCTTCAATATTGATATTTTTGGAAATGAATAACGTTTGACTGCCAATTTATTACAAAGTAAATTACCTGAAACTCTTTGCGAGAAAATTTGGTTACCAGCATTTAAAAACCGCCACTATAACAAACAATGGCTATAACGAACACTTTTTTGACTAACAATGGCTATAACGAACACTTTTTTGACTCCCGGAGTATTAAATTCTATTGTAATGTACAATCACTTTTATGAACATTATCATGGAACCCATCATGTTTGTTATAGTGGCATTTATATACAGGTGAGTCAAAATACACAAAGCCCAAATGTCAGGACTATTATTTTAAAGAAGTTCTGCATGTAGCACTTTCAATATCTAGGATATGAAGGCTCAATTCATAAGCTTCTTTTAGTCTAAGAATCAATCAAATCACTCATGTACTTTTCAAGCTACAGAATTTTTAACACAACCACCGTTTTAATGTTCTGTCCACGGATCACACAGAAGGCGTGCGTTCTTTCAGCACAACGAAAACAATTCACACACATCCCTATGTGATATATTTTTTGTGATCCGTGGACAGAACTTTAAAACGGTGGTTGTGTTTAAAAGTCTGTAACTTGAAAAGTACAGAATTGATTTGAATGATTCTTGTACTAAAAGAAAGCTTATGAATTGGGCTTTCATATCCTAGATTTTGAAAGTGCTACATGCAGAACTTCACTAAAACAATGGTCCCGACATTTGGGTTTTGTTTTTTTGTACTCGCCTTGTATGATGTTGCACTGTAGTGAATTCTTTGCAGAGCAAAGGGTAATCACTAACACAAATACTAGCCAAGAGAGTTTGAACTGGCATTAATTTGAGCGAAATGTTAAACATATCTATATTTTCTTATATTTTGCTATGTGCTAGTTAGGTATTTAATTGTAACACTTTTTGTACATTTTCATGTAAATATTTATTACAAAAAGAGGGTGGCTGACTAAAAATTGAGTTTCTTCCAAATGGCAACGTGTCAAATGCACAGATTTCACAAGGTGCGTTATTCCCGTCCAACTGATGTTTTCAATACAGAGCAGATAATCTCATCTGATTCTGTTAACTGGCAGTGTGTGAAGATTTTAGGGCTGTTCTGAATGTACCAAATATGTTATCATCAACCAAATATTCGAATACCTTTTTGAACATTCAAAAAGAAACAAAAAAATAAGCACAGTGCACATACAACTGTAGTTTAGGGGCTAGACATTGTTATGGCTTGATGATACGCGATAACTCGCCGCGAGAGGGCGTTATCACAACCAACTATTGGTTGTGTAATGCGCGCACCTGTTTGAACCTAATATATGCAGCGTGCATTCAAAACATTTCATTGTAGTTTCGAACCAAACTCTTAAATTTCTTCCAGTAATATAAATGATGCCGCTGCAACTTCACTGGTCAGCTCTTTTGTGGTGTATAGTGTGCGTGGGACTGAAAATGGACCGTTATTGCCTGCAGAAGAAGCGCATGCGTAATAGTTTCCCTAGTTTTTCGTTGGGGTGGGGGAGATTTAACGAATTTCCCTTGACGTGCCAACGGGTTCGTGGGTGATATTGGTTGGTCGTGATAATCTCGGCGGGTTATCGTGGCGGCAGGTTATTATAAAAAAAAAAATCAGCATACCCATAGTTTTTCTAGGATGTCCACGAGGGTCCTCCCCCCCCCCCCAGTCGGGTTTCGAGATGCCAGTGACGAGATGACAGCCCCTATAATGGAAGAAGTTTGTGTCGTCCCACCTCCCCTTGAATTCCAGGATGTGGAAGGGTCCTACCTGTATGGTTGATTGCCGGCTAGTTCATTGTCATTATTTATTTATTGAAGTGTTTTGTGGTTTTTTTCGTGTGTTTGTTGAAATCATTTTAATGGTATATAAAGTCTTTTGTTTGCCATTGCTGGGGACAGCAATGATTTTAAGATGGCGTGAATGTGGCAGGGCCCAGTTCTAGTTGTATGTTTTCATAATGTATAGTGTATTAAATAGGAGTAGCTCCCCTTAGAAAACAAAAAAAGAAATCATTTTAGTTACTCAAGATTCCCCCCCCCCCTTTTCTAGTAGTGTGACCCCCTGTTTGTTTACTTAAGCCCACATGTCCCCCCCCCCCCTATATAAGCTGCCACAATTGCAAAGTACTTCACAATACTTGGGCGCTTAGTAAATCGGCGCATCTCGGTACTAAAAAAAAAGGGGGGGGGCACGGGGATCCAATGGCCCATCGCCCTGGCCGGGTGGGGTGGGGTGGGGTGTGTATCCCCCGCCATCTACGCCCCTGTATTGTCTCGGTCGCTGACAGTGTAGGAGTGGGCATACACCAATTTTCATTGTTATTTCCGGGGGTCTTTGGCGTAGGAAAATACCCGGATGGCCAGAACAAAAACAGAAAAATGGGGAAGCGAATATAAGAGATTACACACGAGCATTCAGATCATCAGATGGGATTTTTAATAATTGTTGTGGTCATTGTTCTTGGCACCTGATTGGAATACATGTATTTACAACAAAACAAAATGTAAATTAAACCATGTTTTTGACTAAATTGTCATAAAACAAATATAAGTTAACCTTATAGTTCTACTCTACCAATGCGCTGATTAAAACTTTATTCATAATCATTCAATTTTATTTTGTTTTCAATTTCAAGAACATTTATTTCCATCTTTTGACAACACAAACAAACAATTAGAGAAAAGGACAAACAAATGTGATAAACATTACAAAAGTGCAATAATAATAATGGAAGCGTATTGAACAATAGAGGAGCAGCGGCAGAGATGACAAGATAAATAAAAAGCAAAGTAAGAGGTAAAACGCAGGCAAATTAAACTGAGAGAAATGAAGAAGCGGAGAAGCTATGTAATATAATGGGCGAGCAGATGCGTCTTATAATAATTTTTAAATCAATTCATCAAGATGTATTGATAATGTACGTCTATACCATTCATTGACTAAAGGTCGTGCCTTGATGCATTTCTTGAATCGATTGGCCGTTGGTGACGTTGAAAGATCTTATCACAGGTCTACTAAGGAATTTTAGCCTGTTATCATTTTCAGGATATATCATGTCGGATCGACCTTTTATATACGGAAGTTTAAGTCGTTACAGCCTAGTTGACGGCTGTATTTGTACAGCTTGATTCGCGCCCGGTAGTCGCCACCCACGAGCCAAGAGGGAATCCAAGTGGACGGGATGTCGATCACCCCCTGTACATTGTACGTGCTCTGGTATTGATAAAAAATATATAAAATAAATTGTAATTGAAACGAATGAAATATTAGTTGAACTTCTTCGTCTTCTCCATATCTAGATTCATCATTCCTATCTTTTAATGCCTTGAAATGGAACATTTTTTTTCTATCCCTGTACTCTTCTTGGGTTCACTTCAGAGAAAATACTTAATGATTGTTACAGTAAACAACTCCAAGAGAGTAATAAGTAATACAGATAAAAAACAACAACACAAATGTCTGATAGCACCTCTATATGTCTTTTAGACGAAACACAAATTTATTTTAGACAGCGGGATCAAATAATGAATCGGAGTGACTATTTTCCTATTAATAGACCTTTATCAGGGTACGCCATTTTGAAACCAAAGCGAGGCAAATAATGCAGACAAACAAACATGGCTCTACTGAGACGGGTGTTTCGAAGGCTCGTACAACATATTTCTTATAAATTCAATGAAAAGTTGGCCTGGTAAAAACCTTTACCAAACCCAGCAGTGTATGTCAGACGCGCGCCTTTTCCAGTTAACAGATGAGTTGTTAATAAGCCAGTTCGGTAGTTCCAACTGCGCATTTGCACATCAAGTTTTGCCGATCATTGTTTTTGGGATATCATCGTATGCCTGCAAAAGCATAGTACCAGCAAATTGAAGAGATCATCGTGTTCTGAAGTACAACTTTGCAAACGAAAGTGGACAGCGAAGTGTTTTTAGGTGTCTCGTTTGTCAAAACTTTTGTGCGAACTAAAGTTCATGCTTTTTTTTCTCTATTGCGCAAAAAATTGCACAGAATGCAGATTTAGTTACCACGTCCCCCATAGCCTTGTGTGCATTTATCTGCCGCGGTTATCTAAAAAAATCATTGAATCTTGCTGTGCACCAGACAATTTTGGAATTCAGAACTGCCTCATTAAATAGAGAAGGCAGCACCCATGTAATATGATAACTCACGCTTGGTATCGGACAGTCAGGCCATAGGTCAGACGGAGCCACGAACTGTTCGCATACGTCATTATAAGTACAGCTTCCATAGCCGTACGCACAGGGCACTGTGGCCCACCACCAAAGCACCTAAATGACCAGGGGTGAACAAATAAATAAAGACAAAATTTACTAGACAAAAACATTCACTGCATAAGGGGATCACCTATCTCTCCTTCCCCCTTAAAAAAAAACTTCTGAAAAAGAAGAAGAAGTAGTAGTAGAAGTCCGTAGGATTTTGTCCAGGCTAGAGCATTCGTGATTGTATAACTCAAGTCAATAAGTGGTCGTGAACCGCCAACTGAAGACTAGTGTTTGGCAAGATTATTGGTTGGGCCGGTATACGTGAACCATTTTACAATTAAAAATGCAGGGTGAATCAGCAACTTACCAAAATTCGCATGTGTGAAAAATTTTCATAAAAGGATGGTTACAAAATTACAAAGTATAGGGGGCCTATATAGTTTAAAACCATCCCATGCAAACATTGTATTCTGTGCCAAGTAATCCTTTCAGTCAAAATCAATCAAGTGAACGGTTTTCAACAGTTAAGAATTTCCGGCTATAGGCCCTACGATAAGGCCAAAAAAAAATACTCTGGTCTCTGGTCAGCGCGCGCGTCGATTTTAATCATGCGCGTCAACCTTTTTTCCGTCAAATTAATACTGAAGCTACAACAGCGCCCTCTATTGCCGCACCTCCTCAAATTTTTGTACCAAAGAGCACCAAGGAATGGGGAAATTGCACCAAGGCAAATTATGGAGGACACCAATGTATAATGAGGACACAAAAAAAGCAAAATACACATAGTACCCTAGTCTGTACAATTCAAGCACCAAAAAAAAAAAAAGCCACCAAAAAAAAAAAAAACCCGCGTCGCTGCATCTTCGGTCTGACCAGAGACCGATTATTATTTTATTTTTTTGGCCTAAAGCAGGATTGACTGGCTGGGACTGTTAATGCACATGCAGCTTGATTCAGCTACACAAAATGTACTTTGACTCCGGGTGATTGATAAACCAGTTGCGTAGTGACCACAACTTGCCTGCTTTGTCTGTTGACTGAGTTTGACTAGTAACAGTACTTGCATAACCATGATCTGACTGCTGGTGACTAGCCTGTGTTAAAGAATATAACTTGTGCATATAATGGAAGTTTGGTCACCTTTTTCTCGATCTCAACAACGGCTTTCAGGGGGTAATCCAGGTCCTCGTCGACATGTATGCCGCTGGCAGACAATGAGACGCTGTTCGAGCCGACCGGGTCCACGCTGAACGTCCCCCTGACTGTGGCCGAACTGCCGCCGCAGTCAGTAGACCGAGCGTAGCTAGCTATGGTGAGCGCACTCTGTGTCAATAGGAGTGAATACCGAAATTAAAGAACCTGGAAAAAAGAAACACTCGGATTGGTAATGGTAGGAAAGACAATCTCTGTATGCAAATCAAAAATGCTGTAATTCGATTGGTAGAAACAGTTTGCAGAATCTGACTTGTCATAGAATTATATAAGACATTATATAGGGGTACTTGAATTATTTTAAGATGCTGGGGTTATTTTACAAAATCGATGCAGATGCTAAACCCTATCCGATTTTGGAATGCAGAACAATCCCGTCTTTTTATTATCAAAGTTTCATAGAATGAGGCGAGAAAAAAAAGAAAGAATGCTCCATGGATCACCTCGGGAGTCTATAGTTTTACTACACCACACTCGAAGCAGTCAATTATAAATTATATAATACTGATTGTGCTTACCGTTTTCTCGTGCACAAGAGCCGCAGCAATCAAACACAGCATACTGATGTAGATGGAAAAATTCATTTCGAAGTTCGCTGTTTACGGACACTGCTTGGATGACTTCAGAACGCGCCAAAAGAGTGAAGGCTGCGGGTGAAGGCTAACTCCAACGCAACGAATGAAACTTAATTCGCAGAGTATGGGGTATTTATGCACATTTTTATTGATGCAGATACCCGGATGCTTATACCTGCACATCCTGGTGTTCTCCTGCCATACACCAGTTCATCCTGGTTCTTGACATTCGACTCTGTGTTTGTTGGCTCAAGGCCAAAATCTGTGCTTGCAATCGCAGCTTGCTTTTTTTTTTTTGGTACAAGCTTGGAAATAATCACTGTGATAACGATGAGAAAATCGCTTTTTCGACAGAAATGAACTAATGATGAACTCCCGGATCTTGCAATCTTGTGATATAAGGAACATGTCGGGGACAGCGCCCCAAAAATTCCCTCGATACTGCCAACAGGTATAAAATAAGGAATATCTCGGGCGGTGACAGGCCCCCTAAAAATTCCCTCGATCCTTCATCTGGTAAACTCCTGTCATCTGGTAAAAATAAGGGATTTGTCGGGGGACTAACCCCCGAGAACCCCCTCGGTCCTGCCAAACAGGACTTTCTCAGGGTCGCACCAAGGGAAATTATCAGATGACACAAGAAGCCTGATCCCGTTAGAGATAGTTGACAATATTCATTAGCCATTTTACATGCGCATTGCAAGCTTCAAGTTGAATCGAGAGTAAAATGAACGCTGATACATTATTGCTTAATAAGAAGTTACTGGTTTCGTTTCGGTGTGCGGTAACACCATGTGGTAATAACTACTGCTTAGAAGATATTAGTTCTGAAAAGAACTTGTCCTGCTTGTTATCAACTTTGCTAAGTAGTTTTTTGTTCTGTTAAGAACAGTCCTGCTGTAAGTTCTAAACGAACTTGTCTTTAAAACGGACCCAGTCGTTTAGAACTTACAGCAGGACTAGTCTTAACAGAACAAAAAACTACTAAAGTTGATAACAAGCAGGACAAGTTCTTTTCAGAACTAATATCTTCTAAGCAGTAGTTATTACCACATGGTGTTACCGCAAACCGAAACGATACCGATACCCCACCATGCAAAGCCTCAAGTTACTGGTTAACCCCCGCTCAAATTAAATAAGAAACAAATTTAATTTGTGTATACATGTATTATCATCCTTTATTATCCTAATATTATACCCAGACTTTCATCTGGATTTAAATCCCTGAAATCTTATTTTGAAAAAAAAATAAAATGATTCTTACTTCGAAAACCACTTTAACTATAATAGTGGATACATTGTTATCAAAGAAACTACATCGGAAAACTGGCTTTTGGAACCCCGTGATTGGACGCTGCAATGGGGGACCACGGACCCAGTCGTTCCCACTGGAAATGTGTTAAATGCACGGTTAACGGGTTTAACAGAAATTGGGGAAATTTCAGGGAAAGACCCGGCTTTTTTAGGGGATGGTATTTTCTTGAACTCAACTTCCTTTCGGCTCTCTGAGGGGCCCTACTTTATACCAAAGATTGCAAAGCACTTCACAATGTGGGGGTGGGGGGGGGGGGGGGGGGGCACGATGATCCATGGCCCATCTCCCTGGTCAAAAAGTGGGGGTGGGGTGGGGAGGGGGAGATAGTGTATCCCCCGCCATTTGCGCCCCTGTATTCTCGGTCGTTGACAGTAGTGTGAGCAGCGGCGGCGGGGTTTGAAACTTGGGGGGGGGGGGGGGGGGTCACCAAAAAGGGGCACTTGCAAACCCGTGCTGAAATGGCGACAGGTTTTTTTCACCAGACACTTGGCCTCCGTAAAATCAAATAGTGGGGGTGGGGGGGGGGGGGCTGGGCTGGTACCATCTTCCAACATAGGGTGCGCTCTTCAAAACCAATTATTATATGCTAAATATGCATTATGTGCCCATTTTCAGGCGGTATTCTATGGGTTTTGGGACTTGGTTTCCATATTCTTCGTTTATATCAAAAATATCTAAACCATTATTGGGATATGGTTACTTCTAAGAAATAGTAAGATACTTTAAGGGCATTTTTGTTGTATCTTGAGGGGCCACTTTACTGTTCGAGGGGGCACATTTATGGCCGCAAAAAAGGGGCACTTGCCCCCCCCCCCCCCCCCCCCCCCCAGGTTCCGCCGCCCCTGAGTGTGAGAGTAGGCATACGCCAGGCTTTCATTATCATTTGAGGACTTCGGCGTAGGAAAATACCCGGATGGCCAGAACAAAAACAGAAAAAAAGGGGAAGGGAATATCCTTCCAAACTGTTAGTTTGTTTTGCCGGGAAGCCGCCCTTAGTTTGATAAAAAATCTGCGTTTTAAAAAAATGTTTTTATTCAAGTATAATTTGCTACTTTGTTTCACTGTCAGGCGTTCTCCTTAGTAACGGGAAGTCTTTCAGTAATGATGCGCGCGCAGTATAGACTGCGGTTTGAACTGCACGTGTTTCGATGGTATTCATCAACTCCATAGAATATCATATGTTTACTGCTGCTACCAGTGAAAATTGAAGTCGGCCATCTTTTTTCGGCGAGGCGCGGGAGGGTTTGACATTTTTGGTGCTCGTATTTGAGATAAAATGTTCATTCCCCAAATGGCTGTACAAGGCTTTAAATAGTGATATTTTGATGAATTAATGGTTTGTCTGCCAAAGTCCCACGGAGGTGAGCGTCATATACTTGTAGTGAACCTAATTTGAGACAAACTTGTGTTTCCTGCGGGCCGCACCGCCTTTGGATTATCGTTGGGGGCGGGGTTTGTGACATGAGAAGGGGGACGACAATGTGGCGAGCGTGTATTTTCGAGCCCTATAAGACTAAGACAAAAACAATTTAAATTTTTTTGATTTACCAAATTAATTGGCGACATTATGCATGCAAATATAGATCTATGGTGGGGTTTTGAATTCTTTTAGGGAAGCTTGGGGGAAAAATGACGATGACGACAAAACAAAACATAAAGATAGCAAAAATAAAGATGGCGATCATTAAATGCGCAAGGCCATGGGCGTCGCGAGGGGGGGGGGGCACTTGACCCCCCTGGAAAAGCAAGCCAAAAAAAAAAAAAAAGGAAGAAAAAAAAAGAGAACAAAGAAAAAAAAAAGAGGCACAAAGTCATTGTGTAAATTTAATGGGGGGGGGGGGAAATGTCCCTGCCCCCCCCCCCCTAAAACTGATAAACCGAGAATGTGTTGAGAAATACAGGCTTCTTTTTGGCAAAAATATGTTTTGCCCCCTCTAGAAAAAATCCTGGCGACGCCCATGCGCAAGGCGTGTTGAATCGCACGGCACCAAACGTAAACTGCGTTAAAAAATATTTGCGTATGCCCAAGAAACTATTCAAAAGAAGGCAGAGTATATTTAGCTGGTGCCGGCTAAATTAAAACGATATTTTGCCAGCTAAACACTGAAGATGCGCAGTGACATTTTGGGGAACTTAAAAGAAATTTTACCTTGACAAATTTAGTCTGGATCCGGGTCAACATTGTCGTGACTTCGTATTCACGAGATGGGAATCAGAGTTCAGACCATTTTACGATTTAGGACTTTATTTCCCCCTAATAAAATAAATCCGCCAGAGCCAAAAATCACAATAAGATAATGTAATACATCTATCATCAATTGTCCCCCCCCCCCATCCCCGGGATGCCCCACTGAAGATTAGGGGATTGTCACTTTTAAGTGACAAAATCCCCATCCCTCGGGCAAAATTTAAGTGACAATCCCCAACATGCATAAATGGGGTGCACTAGTGATTGCCTTTCCATGTAGTACGCCAATGTTAACAAAGTAATTTGAGTGACCAAAATCCCCACCCTGGGGCATGAAACACGTGACCAAATCCCGACATCGGACCTGGGGCTGCGCAGGGGGAGGGGGGAACATTTGATAGGCGCCTAATACTCGGTAAAATGTTGGAGTCAATTTAAAATGAGAAAAGAACAGCATTCTTAAATTTTTAGAAAATATTGCCTGCAGGGCCAGGATTTGAACCAAGGATCTCTCAATTTCAAACTATGGTTACGTGCCCTTATCCACTAGGCCATCAGGTGCTGCACAAAGATAGAGATAATTAAATACCTTTTATAATACGCCGTACAATCTAGCAGGCAAAATATCGTTTACTGAAAGAAAGCGGGCTAAACTAGAGGGCTAATTATACACTTCCTCAAAATTAAAAAAATAGGTGTTATGACAATTGACATTAGAATTGAGAGAAGTCCGCTCATAAAGGAGAATCTGTACCGAAATTGAAAATTTGTCTGAGAGTCTTAATAAAAAAGTTTATTTAGAGAGAAAATAATCAGATCTGAAAGAAAAAAACATCGATTTATTTTGGAAAGAAGAAATGAGATAATTGTGTGCTTGCATGGTATATCCATATTTGAGATTGTTACAGTAAAAGTGTCCCTAGTACAGTTCTCAGTGAAATATTTCAGATTTTTAACATCTGAAAGTGATAAAGATGACTTATTGATTTTGATTATTGGAAATCTTTCTCATTTCTCAGATGAGACTGACCTTTGCAAAACAATGTTGAGGCTGGATTGGACCAGACCAGTGCTATAGACTAGGTAAGGCAGGCTGGATGACCATCACCATGGTAACTGGGATGACCTTAAGGGTGAGTCAAACTTAGAATCCAACCTGCTCCATCAAAACTCATCACAATGGAACCTCAAATTGTCATAGTTAAGGAAAACAGTTCTGGCATAAGAAACCTGGGTTTTTTTCTAGATTGATTCTCATCAATTAGTAGCGTTTTGATAAGAAGACGAAGCAGAACCGACAGTGATATATTTTTTTCTGACAGTAGTTCCATAGTAAATTCTGAAGTAAACAGAGGAATGGAAACGTCACCTAAAAAAAGTACCACCGTCTGACTTCACTCGTGTCCAAAATCAGTCAAGAAAAACACTGCAGTGCAACAGAAATGCTCATTAGATGTTTACAAGCAGATAAAAAGTGATATCCTAAACTTATGAATTGCTCTTTTTTTGTGGCCAACTTAATTATGGTGCACCTGTAATTTGATGGAGCAAGTTTCATAGGGATGATAGAGCAAGAATAACTTGGTGTTATGAATACTTTTGTAATTTGTTTAACAATTAGACCATTAACATTCAGAATGGTGTTGATAGAATGTAAGAATGTATCTAATAGTACACACATATGCCAAATCTTTCGTTGTGACACATTATACTGATTAACATCTTGAAAGAGGTTTCATATTTAGTTTTTTACAATGCAAAAATGGACTGAACTTATGTTCACTTGATGCTGAAATATACTCAGTGATATTTTATCATGAAAGAAACCATGGAAATTTGTTTTGTGGTGGGTCGCAGTGGGAAGCCAGTTGCATTTTTTTATGTCATTGTTGATATTTTTTTAAACAAAAAAGTTGTAAAAATTACTGAAATGTTGAGAAGAAAGTGAACATTTATATATTTTACTAGTTTAATCACACCTTTCAGTCTCTGAGCTGCCTATTTGGTGATGAAAGAAGTGTTGTCTGAAGGAAAGAAAAATATGTTTTTCCCCTATAAAATTACACATCAATAATCATTTGACAATTGACATAATATGGAATAGCAGTTTTCCTTTCTTCAACATATAAATTATTTGGAAACAGAAGTGAGTCAGTTAGGTAAACACTTCAAGAGTTCTTTACAGTTATGTTTGTAAATCATGCCAGCCTGGGTCAGGATTCCCTATTTACACCTGTTTTCCCTTTGAAGTGCTTTATGGCAATCAATAATATTTCCATTGGAGAGATCCCTAATTAAAGATAAACATTTAAAAACTTTTTCCCTGCAATATTTATCACACAAGCTCATTTCTTCCTTCTTTAAGGCTAAGAAAACTTTACAAAGCTATGTGCTCTGTACAATTTTGCACTCAAAATATGCCTTACTCAAACCTAATTGCTATTCCCATTTTTTTTAGTCTTCATTAATTCTCACCGTAACCCAGCACCCTACTGAGTTTTACTATAAGAACCGTGCAGCCAAAATCCAACACTGGCCCTGCTTCATATAACTCCACCAAATCCACCAAAAAAAACGTCACTACTAAAGGTGGATTTTGATGGACTTGGTACTCATGGCTTGTCTGCGAAAATCCCCCCAAAGGTGGATGGATTTTAATGGAGTTAGGAAGGTTAGGGTCAAGTTGGCTTCATATTACATGGAGCTATATTCCTATGTCTTTTAAATTACTTGACTATCTTTTCTTGCCTTTAATTCTTTTCTCACCTTACCATCAAGTCTTTACAACATTTCAATGTAAAAATCTTGCCACACCTATATTTTCACGATTTCTAATCTAAAATTCTGTCTCATCTCAACATCCTTTCCTTATCTTTAATTATTTTCTCACCTTGCTGTTATCTCTTTATAAAACCAAAGCTCAGCCTCACTCAGTCCCATTTTTTTGTGTATAGCTGTACTGATAATATCATAAAAATCCTGCACCTATATTTTCAAAATTTGTAATCTGAAATTCTTTGTCATCTCAACATCAACAACTCAACTAGCCGAAATCAAATGACCTTATATTACATATTGCTGAACCTTTATCTACAGAAACTTTCTTTCAGATATTTTCTCTGCTTGTTCTTTTTTGACATTTTGCTCATCAATAGTTCCTTCTCATATCTGGCATCATGACAAAAATCCACAGGAGATATAAGCCCAACTCGTTGGCCTTTATTGCATATAACTATACTGCAATACTTCTTTGCCTATTTCTTTCTCGGCAAAACTTCTTGCTTGAAGTGTCTTGAATAATTGATGGGTGTCACGGGGAACTCCGAAAAGAAAACGTGTACATTAATTAAAAAGAGCATTTTAAGAGTAGCCATTGTGGTTTCTTAAGTCAAAGGTTGGTCTTAATTAAAAATCTTATAGCACTTCTCTAGACGCAAAGGGACTTTGTTCGCGTGGATCACAAAAATGTGGATTGAAAGCTTTAAAGACTTTGGAATCATCATAAAAAAAGTTATAGAAGTGATTACCTCAATATGTGATGTACAGTAATTAGTGTGCATTGCTACATCAGTCCACAGACTTGGTCAACCCAATATGGAGCGTTCCGTTGATTGCAAAGTCCCTTCAACTCGGGCCATTCGACCATAGGGGCGATCGCGTAATTTGTCGGTCTTGTGCACACAACGTTATTTCTGCATATTAATAGTCGGTCATTTACAGGCGGTCGTAAATGTTAGCTCCTTGGGTAGTCACTCAAGTCAGCCATTCCTAAGAGTCACCCCCTTCCCTTTGGACACCCTCCTCCTAGGCCCTTCATCCCTCTCATTTTCATCCTTGTCAGACTATTCAACCTCTCATCAGCATCCCTTCTGCTCTTCTTTATCTTTATGATACTTTGTATTTCCAGTGAGAATTTCAGCTCTTCTCACAATCCCTCTTCTGATGAGGCTCAATATTCTCATACATCCTTTGTCTTCTTTTTTTCCTTTCCTCAGCATACATCAAGTGAAAGTTGAGCAATATACAACTTTTTCTATTGCACTAATAAAGGACCTCCTTTCATGGCTATAAGCTACAATGTACTAGCATTTGCTCATTATATTTCATTTATATCAGAATGCATAATTTCTTGTGCACTTTTTTTCTGCCATTGTTTCTCTTATCGTGGTTATCATTGAAGCCATTTAATAGCTCTACTCTTACTCTGAGAGACTTCCTTCCTTACTATATGCGTGTATGTTTCTCAAGACATACACCTGAATGTATTCCAATATTCAACCAATTATTCATTAAAATTTCATCGTTGGCAGCAATTCATTTTAGAATAGAGAACTTTCTATCTTAGGCAAGTAATTCAGCCCAGATCATTCATGCCACAATTACTCCAATAAAACATACACATTCAGCTACCTTATTGCTCAAGTTTAAATTTTCTCTGGACAGCCTTGGCCTCAGCCAAGCTCCGGGTTTTTTATTACCTGTTATGTCAGCCCCCCCCCCCAAAAAAAAATGTGTGATGAAATTTCATGCCTCGAACTTCTTTAAATAAAGAAAACATGCATGAAATTGACTGGTACAAATAAACCATGTCATAATTCAGTGTTTTTTCCACACCCGACCTCTTTTCTTTCCTGTTTTAGACTGTTTCATCAATCTGTAGTCTTATGCAGCTTCATACTCGTCATCTTCTTTGACCCTTTTACCTTCACCTTTACCCCCAAGGATGTCGCAGTGGCTGACCAGCCCCCTTCTTTATGTTCGGCCAGTGTTGGTTATCTACTCATACCAGAAATATTGCCCTTTTTTCTGGGGAAAATCTTTTCTTTCCTTATCAAGTTATCACATGACATGACTCAGACCTCAGATTGTTGCTGAAGGCTTAATAAATTTGGTTTGTGTGTATCGACTTCACATTGACCAGTGAAAGCCAACTTGCCCCCCCCCCCCCACACACCCCTTGAACTTTGAATGCATCGGCCACCCCTTTTGCCTGCCACATTTGGCCTAAACTGAAGGCAAGTTCTACATGTATACCTTGTAAAACTCTACTATCAACTTCCTTTTCTCATCCTACATGTATATTCCACACCCACCCCTACCCCACCCCCCACCCCCCCCCCACATATGTTAATGTATTTTGCTTTGAACTTTGAACACAGATGGGAGCAGCAGGTATGAGGTTGACTGGCAATTCAGAAAAACATATCAGTCCTTGTGGTTTCCAAAGTTAAAGGCATCTTGAATTTATCTAACATGTGTCTTGATAGTTTCTGTCTGATGTGTGCTTGATTTCAAATGAAGTGATCAAAATAATGTGGATTAATCAAAGCTTTGAAGTTATGCCAGTTAATGATTCTGATTTGAAACTCTTTATAATGGACATGCATCAAAATGTATTAGTTTAGTGATAAGGCCTAATAGTGATACTTGTAAATTTAGATAATTTGGTTAATCATTCATCAAATTCGGTGGAACAGTAAGTTTGCTGTGTTCATTCCCGGATGGAGATCCATGAATCTAAACTCCAGAAAAACTTTTTTTAAAATTCTTTATTCATTCAGAAAACGTTTGAGGGCCTCATGAGGTTTTGACCCTGGCAGGATTCTGAAGAAAAATTCTGCCAGGGTCAAAACCTCAGGCTCAAAACCTCAGGCTCAAGACCTCAGGCTCAAAACCTCAGGCTCAAAACCTCAGGCTCAAAACCTCAGGCTCAAAACCTCAGGCTCAAAACCTCAGACTCAAAACCTCAGGCTCAAAACCTCACACTCACTACATTTCTTCATTGGTATTTCAAGTGAATCCAGTCAGGAAGCACTTTGCAGCCACTTTTCTCTATTCATTGATAAAAATCTGTTCATCAGTTAAAATCCAGACATCAGTTACCTAGCATTAATGCGAGGACTAAAAACATGCAGTATTGTACGTTGTTGTCACAGATTGGTTATAATAAGGAAGGCCAGATATTCACGTCCAATTTGAATCTAAGTTTTGCTTTGAACATGCAAAGCAGATCTTGGTGAGATTGAATGCTGACTCATATTCTTTTAACAAATAATGACAATTGATGGGATCTTTATTGCTTTCAGTTTATCTCTGAAAATGTGAAATAAAAATCATTTATTTGAAAGATCTT